ATATTGTCCGCTTTAGTTTAGAGATATTAGTGATTAAATGTCTTTATAATAAATATATTGACACCAGTCTTTACATATCTATATAATATTTAGAATAGAGAACTTTTTATCCCGGTCACGCGGTCAAGGTCGCGGCTAGAGCTAGATATTTCATAAATATCTAAAGCACTGCAGTTGCATACAGTAAATTGTAATATATTTTTATTTTCTCTGCGAAAGGTAATAACGACAATACTAACACACCAACTTATCCACATCATAATAATCGAAACAAATATATAAATTATTTAGTCAAAATATATAAAAAAAAGTTTATTTTTTTAGACGTTTAGCTAGTCACAAAAATTTTTCACATATTTGTCGCAACCTTTTTGTAAAAGGGAACAACAAAATAATAGAAAAGATTTAAACTGAACATAGTACAATTCTTACAAAAGACTTTCCCTCTATTCATCCATATAATTGAATTAACAAGCAAAATGCATAATCATTCTATTAAGCATTTACTCAATCACTATAATGAACCGCCGTGTTTAGTTGATACTTAAGTTTCATTTAAAAATCATCTGAAACGGACACTCATAATATGTAGTCATTGTTAGGCAAGGAATGTTGCGTTGGTTTGGTCATTTGGAGAGGATGGATGAAAGAAGAATTACGAAAGAGATTTATCGAGCAAGAATGAATGGAGATGTCGGTAGGGGCCGCCCTAGACGGACGTATGTCGACCAAATAGGCGACGTGCTGAAGAAGGGCCAAATTAAAAGTACCCGTAACCGACGAGCGTGTATGACAAGATTGATGAATGTGGAAGAAGCGAAAGAGGTTTGTTTGAATCGAAGCATTTGGCGTTCCATTGTTTCTGCCTACCCTAATGGGAGACAGGCGTGACAGATATGTATGTATGTATGTATGTTAGGCAAGGTTTATCTTTAATATGTGAGACGAATAAGTATAAAAATAGTCCCTTTCATGTTTAACTAGCATAGAAAATATTAGCATTTTTTAAAACATTATGGTGAATTAAAGAGAAAATAAATCCCTAAATCCACATATGCAACATAATTCTGAGCTAAGGGCTTGAGAACTATAAAGTTGCTAGTTTCTATTCTACGTCACTTGTTCAATACAATTAACGTAGAAAGTTAGATTCCATTTTATTTTTAAAGAGTCCTCCAAAACTTCGTATTTTCTTAATAGATTTCCTTTTGTTTTGGATCACAAAGCCGTGTATCTATTATATAATAAGCAATTACTTAAAATGCATATCCTTTCGAGTTTTACTTTAGCTGATAATTTTTTTAATAATTCTATTTTACAAATTTGATAATACAATTGTTTCCATCAAATTTATTCATTATAAATTACAAAACACCTTATCTTTAAGTACCTACGTCATGTAAAAAATACAATAGACGTAGATATTGCTTTGGCGGTATGTAACAACCGACATACCTACTTTAATAATAATGACGTCTGGTCAACGCATTTACTTGGCTTCCAGCTATTTACGCCATTACTTGTATTATCTACACCATACACATTCATATAATATTCAATAATGTATTTATCTATACTACCTAAACTATTCTTTTAAGAAGTTATGCCTAATTGTATGACCATCTAACTTACCAAAATAGAACCTATCGAAACTAATAAAATATAATAATTAAAGAATTTGTATGGCGTGCATGAGCAAGTAATAAAAAATAGTTTTAGACATTAACTTTTAAGGGTCTTAAATAGTGGTTGAAACTTGAATTTACATCAAAATTTATACAATAAATATATGACTGATATACCTGATTAATTCTGTTATAATTATTTACATTATTATTGAAAATAATACAACAAAAACACGACAGTTACATCATTCAATTAGATAGGATAAATACCAAATTTCAAAGACAGGAAGTTAAAAATTGGTTAAAATACCAATTCTATAAAATGTAAATAATATATATGCTTAACGATCTATAAATAAAAATATATAATGAAATTCTGTAACGGAGTTTCATTCGATTAGGGAAAGCAAATTTGTGTGGAAATTAATCATTTTCGAAGGTTAGAGATGTAAACAATGAAAAGTGCCTGGACGTTCTATTCTAAACATGATAAGGATAATGTAATATTGATTGATCATTTTTCAGAAAACAACACCATTAAAAGTTAATAGATATTATTGACATGTATAAAGATGACATTTTATATTCAGTGTCATCATTTTTTAGTTAAATTTTAAAAGATATCGTCAGTTATCAAAATTGAAGTTGAACAAATTGAAATATTTGATAAAACTCTATACAAGATTCAATCGAAATAGTCTACTTTTAAAATATTGTTTTACCAGTAACTCTATAATTTTACCAAACAAACATGTGACAAAAAACGACTCGACTCGTAGGACTCGATATATTCTGACGGTTTGGATTTTCAGTTTCACGAAATTTGTGTCTTAAGGAAAGGCGGGGTAGTTTATGCCTGCCACAGAGTTGTCTGGTGCCCATCCGTAGCGGAGAATGCAGTCCACGAAGTTATGTCTGATAAGAGTACATGCACCTTTTTAAGGGGCCAGACTCCCCCTAAAAGATAATCTATAATACACTAATAATAAGCACACTCTTAGCTAAAGGCAACGACTTCGATTTCACACTATAATATTTTGTCACATTGATATATTTTTCAAAAAGGTAACAAATTTTAAGTTTAAACTTGTGGGAAATGACGTGAAAATTTGTAAAGAAATAACAAAGATTATTTTAAAAAGAATTTCTTATACAAGAAATACGAGATGAGTAGTAGTCTACATTTTTTTATGTAATATAGAATGACAAACAAGCTAACGGCCCACTTAAAGTAAATTTAAGTTTGGAAAGTAGTAATCGTCGCCTATAGACGTGAACAGTAAATACTATGGACATAACAGAAGAGTAAGGGATACGCAGGAAGGGTATGCTTAATATACCCTTCTTGCATTGCCATTCCTGAGGACTAAAGTGTTATGTCTGCGTACCCTGTAATTTCATTGTCATATACCCGACCCTTCAAACCGAAACACAGCCATACAAACAACTGCTTTACATACATTTTGCTACATGCTAGTAAAAATAGAAAATGAAGGTAAAACTTATGGTGGCTGTCGTTATTGAATGTACCATGAAACTTAAAATACTAATTATCTTCAAAGATGTGAACAAACTCTATTTCAACCCTATCACATATTAGGAAGTGGTCGGAAATCCGATATATATCCGATAATAATATTCACTTATTTCTTTAACCCCTTGAGAGATAATTTTCTTAGAACTCGGAAATTTACTTCGGTGAAGTGGCATGTCAATTGGTTACCTTACGTTATGGAGGTCATTGAAATTTGTAGCAAATGAAGTAAAAAAACTTCTTTCGCCCACACATTAACCTCTTATGTAAGCAATTATAAATCCGTTACGCTCGCCATCTCTTTTACAAAGCCTTTCACGAAACCCTGTAACTCTGTCCTTATCACACTAGGTGTGTTGTCTACAATAAAAACTGGATGTTATTTTTAACTCGTCGGCTTGTCGCGCCAACAGCGGACTAAAAACCCTTCCGTTCAATGTAATTTATATAAAATAGGTAATGCAATAGTTATTTAGAATAAATAAGCCACTTGTTTATATGTCACGATAAAAAAGGAAGACATCTATTTATAATTTGTTTTTATTGGCATATTTAGTAAACAATCTCGACATGTTATTTATCGGAAATAATTATTTAAAAATAAGATAGCGTAAAAAATAACAACATACAATAATAAGTTCATATAAATAATTAACACAAAAACCTTTTTATTCTAGTTATTTGTTCATTTTATTCACTATTATCTTGATAAAAAACCTGCCGAGATTGTTTATATAATATGCCAAATATGCATAAAAATCATATAATTATTCTACTTCGCACTGTCACACAAATATATGTGTACGATGATTGATGATGAACAATACAAAAAATTGTTAAAAATTATATTGGTTTTCATCTAAACGACTACAATACATAAGTTACTTAATGCTTCTATCGCATGTTATAAATACATTCTTCAATTATTGGGATAAAACTAATGAAACATAACAAAATGTCACTGTTTGTTTTATAAAATATTTCGTTGGAACAACGTTCCGCTTTCATGAATATATTATTTGAAAAGCTTCAAGTTTAGTATCGTAAAGAATCAGAACAAGCATAAATTGTTGGTATCGCGAGGAACGGCTGCTTTATATTTGGAATAGAGCCAGAATCATAAAGAACAGCGGAGTCCGTGCGTTATGGGCCCGACGTCCTAAATTTCAGGCCCAAAGTTATTAAATATTTACTCGTATTGAAGAGCACACAGTTAACCTACTTATTATATTGACGCCCGAATCGTAGCTTAGATCTGTCGTCTTATATCTACAATCTATGTAATACGTGCAAGGACATCCTATTTCAATTTTACAATATTTTTTATTTATTTATAATTACATATTTGGCGATTACTAATTGCAACTAATTATATTATAGGGAAATCATGCTCCAATTATGATTCTGATTATGTTTAGTCCTTTTCTCTCATCATCCTGCGTTTCTGCTTCCCTAAACACCTGTCTCCCTCTTTGCAATCACACCATAATTATTATAACATGACTATTTATATTCTAAATATATTTAACATATGTAACACCTTTCACTACTTCAAGCTTCAGTTCATTACTAGTTTGTCGGATTCGCATTATAAAATTCCATCGTCAGTTAAATATCACATATTCAGTTTTTTTAATGAAAACTCATTCATTAATAACTAAATCAAATTAACGTAAAACCTTTTGGTGATTAATTATCTTTTAATAATTCTCCGGATAATTAAATACTTAAAAAAATCTATTGATTAAAAAATATAAGTAAACGTGTATTTATTTTATTTGAAAGTAAGTGCTTTTTGTGTCTACGACTGTTTGACTGATTGATATACTTGTTTGTTTCAGCTGTAAGAGCGGACCGCATGCGAGGTGGGCGAAATAAATTTGGACCCATGTACAAACGTGATCGAGCTCGTAAGTTACAAATGATGCGACAGCGACAGATAGCCGTGCAGACTTTGCGCGGTTCGCTCGGTGATGGCGGTTTGGTGCTTGGCTTCACATCGCCATACGCCGCCGTTCCAGTGAAACAAGAGATCCAGATCCCACAAGTGTCATCGTTGACGTCCTCTCCAGAGTCATCACCGGGGCCAGCGTTGCTGGCCGCACAGCAACCACAACCCCAGCCGCCGCCGCCGCCTGCCCATGACAAATGGGAGGCGCATTCGCCGCACTCGGCGTCGCCAGACGCTTTTGCGTTTGACGCGCCGGCCACCACAGCTGCTACACCATCCAGCACAGCCGAGCCCACCAGCACAGAAACCCTCCGACTTTCACCTATGATCCGTGAATTTGTTCAAACTATCGATGATCGCGAGTGGCAGAATTCGCTTTACGGACTCTTACAGAGCCAAACTTACAATCAGTGTGAAGTCGATCTCTTCGAGTTAATGTGTAAAGTGCTGGACCAAAACTTGTTCTCTCAAGTGGACTGGGCGAGAAACACCGTGTTCTTTAAGTATCTAAAGGTGAATTTTCAGATAAGTATGAAATCCTGCCCTCAATCCCTGAAACCCAATCCTGGTGTACACCAAATTTGCTGGCGAATGTGACGCATTGCGCTGCAAAGCGATATTTATTCTCTAGGGTTGATAATAATGAGGCTTTGCGAATTTTTTTTAGTTCTGTACGTGCAGACAGTAGTTATGATATGGTTGTGTGAGTAGGGGCGCGTGTGACGCAGCAGGCGACGCGGTGCTGCTCGCAATCGATACACCGCGCCGCCCGCGCCTCGCCACACCAACTGGGTCAAGTTCCCACGACAAGCGTGCCGATTGCCGCTGCCGCGATGCCGGCCGTCGTTTGTCGCTATTCTATTCTACATAAGCTTACATATATATATATATATATATATATATATATATATATATATATATATATATATATATATATATATATTACATTAACGCGATGCAAGACATTGAACATAAGTTAAAAGAAATATTCCACGAAATATATAAAAATGAGAATTTACATTACCTACTTAATGCGGATAAGATTAACACATAGGTAACTTATTAAAATAGATTAATATATATAATAACAGCGAGCGTTAACTAAAACAATAGAAGATGCCAATTATGGGCGTCGAGCGGGAGTTCAATCAATCAGCTAGAGTCAATCGACGAGGAACGGGAGCAGCAACGTCGGTGGTGGCTGCCGCAGCGTGGTCGTCGTACGCTTACGCAAGACCCGCAACCGGTCACGTGGGCGCGCGACGTTGCCACACTGTTCTCATCGTTTCATCTCATTCCCGCGGACAGCCTCCACTTCACAGCTAGCAATTTTTGTTTGTACTGAAATGACGCAGCTTAGTTACGGCCCATTCTCAGAATTAGGACAGCGTTGAGATGACTCTATGTCTTATATGTATTTTTCGGAAATGTTTACCCTAAATAACAACACATATTTCAATATTGATAAAATCAATTCTAATACAATTCATTATGTAGACGACATTTTAATTAACAAATAACCTTAATTCCATTCTTACATATATCTACAATTCATTTTGTAGTCATCCATCCTTCCAACAAGTCGGAGAGTATTTTTAAAGAGATTCCGCTTGGCTGACCGAGATGTTGATGACCTACGCTTTCTCCAGACGGATGTGATGTAACGGTTCGGTGCGGGACGGCAACGCTGCACTTTCGTCGGCGCACTTGACACACTGGCCGTGGCCGAGTTGCCGCGAGAAAGCACTTTTTACCGCGCCGCGTAACCGACGGTAACGGAGACGTAACGAGTTATGCGATCTTTCTTCGCTTTCTATTACGTAATTTCTTTCCTTTAGTAATACCATGACACGGTGAACTTGAACGATTGATGACATCGTTTTGTCATATTATCTTATTAGTTGGCTACGTATTCAAAATACATGGAGATTGACACTCGGTAATAATATATCCTGTTCAGGTAGTTGATCGGCATTGTTATCATATTAGTTTGTTGTGTACAGCACAATTGTTCCGGTATCCTTTGGACTTTGTTTCTATTAATTTGAACGAAACCATGCATATAAACTATTTACATGATATTTATATTCATACAGTAGTTTATGTAAATGTATAATCATCTCAATTCCAAATTACACCATTTATTTTTAAATTTCTAATTTTTATATCCTGAAGACCTATCAAATCTCAAGAAGATAGTAATGATTATGTTTAGATCATATTTTAAATGATTTCTGTGTTGTAAGTCTAGATTATTCTGACCTAGCTGGATTTCATGGCTTTGCCTGTGGAAATTAGGATTAAATAAATCCTAATTCCATTCAAGTTTGTTCTTAAGTGATATATGATTGATATTTATAATATAAATAGGATTATTTATTTTGACATTTCATTCTTATACTTCCATCACTGTATTTCCTTCTATGGTCTAAATACCAAATATATTCTGTACAGATTCTTGTTTTTATCTGAAATAAGTATAACTAGTGCAATGCACAAAGGAATCATGCTTAGCCTTTTATGAATGTATTCAGGTCAGTCAATCCTCTTTTCCTCTTTTCATCTCAGTTCTAATAGGATAAAGTGACCACACGACAAGCGTTAACGTGCCTATTTATGAGTATTTGAAACAGTCATGTAGAGATATCTGTACTTTAAAAATTACAAATACATTCAAATTAGTTCCTTTTTCCAATAATCATAAGATATGCTTTCTATTCATATTTTCTTTCCTTTGCACTCTGACTCTTGTATTGATACCTATTGTTGGCAACTTAGCCAGCCGGCCTTTTTATATGTTAGGTTTTTATATTCTTTTTTTATATTCTATTTGATATAGATATGCTCCTTGTCGACAATTTCTCTGTACATTTTCAAATCGTTCACATGATGTGTGCATAATTGATATTGTTCCTAAGTCACAGTACTTATCAATTTCTGGCCGATCATTATTAGTAAATAACTTTAACAACAACTTTTTGTTAATAAGTTTTTAATCTTATAACGTTAAGATTTTATTAACGTTATCACTGTTATATAACGACAACTATCAAATAAATTCTATAAACTTCCTGTTGTTCAAGTTTTCAGGCACGCCGCAATTCGAGGCGACTTTGACCTACTTTGCTTGATACCTAGTACCGACAACTCCAACCAAGATGGCCGCCCGAAGGGAATGCTAACCATCGTAACCATCCCAAAAGGTCACATATCTCAACAACTGCTACGTTCCTTTCCCTACTTTATAACACTAGCAATAAAACCTCTTTTTGAACTCATTTTAACTGTTCAGTGGGCAGTCGTTGATATTATTAGGATTGATATTCTCAACCGTGACGAGTTCTTGCAGCAATGAAAAGCGACTAACTTCCTTCGAGGGAAAACAAAGTTACACTCATATAATATTACAGTCACATTTAAAAAACAGCGATTGCTAAATTGCAAAGATAATGTATTTTTACTGCTGTATTTTACAAGAATTAACGTAATAACGTAGCCTTTGTAATTAAATATTATAACCGAAAGGACTTAATATAAATGTTGAGTAGAACAACTGTAAGTACTCGAAAAATGAGTGATCGGATAAGCAGATACAGTATGGTTGGTAAAGATTTCATCGGGCCGATCTCGATTCATCGCGTTGAGCAAGCAGTATGCGGTGTAGCAATAGCTTCAAGCTCTAAAATTCAGTTGTAACATTTCGTAAACGGCAAATTTAACGCGCTCGCGCACCGCCCCGTGTTTTCTAATGCAACTCAATAAAATGTAGGTCATGAAACGATGCACGAATTGACTAAAACTTGTCTGATAGAATAGTTGGATTAGAAGTGAAGTAGCTATATTCTCAAACGTTGATTTCTATTCCAAAATTATCCATCCAAGTCATTAATTACTAAATTAGGTCAATTAAAGGAACGTCACACGCTTCACTATCACACAACATATATCGCGTCCTCAAATTTTGCCGTTAAATTTTTATTACATAAATGAATGAATTCGAGTAACGGGGCAGTTAGCAGTTGAACTTGATAACAAATATTTTAAATGATTAATTGCGAACCATAATCAATAAGTGCATAACTGCTTCATTACTGGTTTTTTCTTTTTTGTTTTCAACGGCAAAGTACTTCCTCCTCCCTAAAATTGTTAAAATATTCTGAATAATTTGTGCTCTGCACGTGTAGAAATTTGTTCGTCCTTTGTTCCAGGTTGATGACCAAATGAAGTTATTGCAACATTCGTGGTCGGACATGTTGGTTTTAGATCATCTTCACCAGAGAATGCACAATGGTTTGCCTGACGAAACAACACTACACAATGGACAGAAGTTTGACTTACTCTGTCTCGGCCTCCTTGGGGTGCCTTCCTTAGCTGATCATTTCAATGAGCTCCAACATAAATTGGCGGAACTCAAGTTTGACGTGCCGGACTACATCTGCGTTAAATTCTTGCTTCTTCTTAATCCTGGTCAGTATTATTATTATAGTTTGATGTTTAAAATCATTTTGTTAATGTAAAGAAGCTTCCTTTGCGAATGATTTTTATTTATGTTTGATTTTGTTTTGAATATGTACATACGTGTTTATTCTGAATAAAAATAATGCAGTTTGCATTCTAATTTATCACAAAAATTACAACGTATTTACTTTATGTTTGTCTTGAAAAGTTATCTTGGGGTTTCAGAGGTGAGGGGCATCGTTAACGTGAAGTGCGTCAGAGATGGTTACCAGACAGTGCAAGCAGCACTTCTTGATTATACACTCACCTGTTATCCTACGATACAGGTAAGTATAGTAAAAAATATCACTACAGTTTATTTTAATTTTGCCAAACAATAAACTTGACAAGATCTTCTAATCTATTGTACTCGTAATATGGTAAAATCAAATGATTATAGTATTATCGATAGTGTCTTACCTTGTATTGTAATACCTAGTCTATTTAGGTTTGTCATAAAATAGAAATGTGTGCGTCATATGAAGCTATAACAGCTTCTTAGGAAATACATAATTGGTACCAGAGACGATAAAATAAGTATTTTGCGCTGTCTATAGTCTATGTTCATGTTTATGTCTATAGATCACTTTTATCATGACATGAGAAAATATATGTTTACTTGACTGCTGAATAAATAATAACTTTGACGGAAAGGCTTTCTTAAGGTTGAAATGAAACGGTATCCCACCAGCAATATCGGTTTATGCTAATTGAGTACAAATTATGAATGATAGGTAAAGAGGTAGTTAGGTCAGTTGGTTCATGGTGACGAATTCACCTGTAGTTAATCGCAATAGTGTCCAAGAAGGACCGCGTTCAGGTCGACGACTTTATAGCATATCTCTTTATGGCATAACAACCAATACGAACTTGTTCAACAACTTTCCTCAAGAAGTTTAGTGGAAATCTTAAAATAATTTATGAACTTTTCATACAGATCGTATTTGATTAAGTATGAATGATTATTCTGTTTCATGAGTATAATCACTGAAATTCATTTTGACAAATCAGTTTAGATTAGTCCTGTACAATACTACGGTTCTAGACATTTGATCTTTAAGACTTTATACCGTCCATTTTGTTTAACAAATATTTTCAATTTAATTTTCAGGATAAGTTCGGCAAACTAGTGCAAGTAGTGCCCGAAATACATGCGCTGGCGGCGCGAGGAGAGGAACACCTTTACCAGCGGCATTGTGCGGGTCAGGCTCCTACACAAACACTTCTCATGGAAATGCTACACGCCAAGCGCAAGTGAGTACCACATTTACAACCTGTTTTTTAAAAATCTCGGCATATATTTTAAACAACTAAAAAAGAAAAATTTTATGTATTAGACAATGTTCACGACTATGAACTAATAGGGTTTCAAAGCATTTCACGCTTGTTGTTTTTATATTATTATATTATAATTTTTAAATAAATATCAATAAAAATACACACTAAGATTGTTTACTAATTGTAAGTATAGGAAAATCATAATATCATACCTTTTAAAACCACCTGAACAATAAAAATATTTAGTTTATTTTAATACATATGTATAATCATACAATAAATATATTATGTGTATTTAATAACACTTAAGTCTAATTAATGTTATATGTATATAGTATGTATATAATATATATGTATATAGATAAAAATGGAATAATGTGTCTCGTTCTAGGCCGAACGGAGGCGAAATGGTTAACCGGAGTGCTGAGCACACGTCAACTCTAGACCGATTGTACGTTACTCTGTATATATGGAATTATCCTTATTATCATAACACAATCATTTTATTTTTAAACATATATTTACTTCTTCACTAACCTCCATAGAGTTGCCAGTTACACCACATATATTTTTTATGTATTTAAATAACACATGATAGTGATTATAATTATTATACCCAATTATAATTGTATTCATAACAGTCAGAATTAAACATTTATACACCATTTATTAAACATTATATATAATTATACAACAATTATTAGATAAATAAATCTGGCAGCTCTAGGTTTATCACAGAATGCTTTTCAGTAATTTTTTTGGTGCTGAGTACTTAAGTATAGTTCTTAACTATTCTATTATACGCTTTTCACTACATTTTGGTTTTGTGTATCCTATTAACTCTGGTATACTAAAACTCTATTTAAATTATTTATATCTACCTACTAACAATTGGTTATCTTTTTATGAGTAAAGCAAACATGTAAATAAACACTTAATAGGTATATAAAATAACCTGTAAATTTGGAACATTTTATCAGTATCATTTGTAACGCGTTCCACTTACCACTGCAATAGTTTACTTTTTGTTCGGAAAATGTACTTTAATTATAAAATTAATCAAACCGTTTTAAAATGGTTGCTTAACAAGAGGTAAAAATAATTAACAAATAACAAAGATAATTAGATAGTTTTTAGAGTCTAGTAGTTAAACGATGCTTCAATTGGCAAGATTTCCCAATCATCTAATTTGTCGAATGTAGGGCAAATTCTACAGATATAGATAAATGTATTCTTGTGTTGTATTTCAGTAGTTATAGGTATTATAACACTTTAACATTGTTAACTACACAGAAAAGGTTGTCGATTAAAATATTGTGTGAAGCTTTTTCGCGATTTTTCATCGTTAAACCTCGATAAATATTATTATAAGATTTATCCATATTGTAGTGAAGAAACATGTTATACTTATTTAATCCAATTTTTTCGCAATTTTATATAATACATTTTGCACTGTGGAAAAAACTATTATATATTAGTTTTATATATATAGTATTATATATTAGATATTAGTCAAGACCCCTTTCTTCCCGACGTGTGATTGGGTGAAAATCAACTCGACATTTGAAGTACATCGACAGTTGCGACTCAGATGCAAATTTAGTTTAGGATTCGATGTAATATCAAAAATAAATTTTAGTATTAGAGATAGAAAATAGGTCCTCAAAAGTGACCCCATTACGTGTTTAATATCACTCCTGAAAGATAGTATGCCAGTCAGAACAATGACCCTATCACCCTCCAAATAGCCATTTGACAACAAAAATACGTAATGACGGAGCATGTAACCAAACCACAAGCAATAATAATACCAAATGTGTTAAAGAAATAAAAATGACAAGAGAAAAATCTTATTATAATAAAGATATCAGATAACTAAAGAAACATATCAGATAGTAATCTAAAGTGACCCAATTCTCTAACGATAACGATTTTTGTTTCTTACTATTTATAATCCGATAGTAAAAATATCATTATACGTCACATAGGTGCTTTAAATGTTGCTCGTTTACTGAATTTCATATCTTCTCATTGAATTAGGAAATTAGGTTACATTGGATAAGATATCGCAAAATGTTACAACGAAAAATTATCATTACATATCTAGTTTTATCAACGCTGTTAATAACAGAAAGGTCGTAAAATTCTTAGAAACAATTTTTTTAAGTAGATGTATAATGTATATTAAGAAAATCACTGCAATAAGCACTTTACATTGAAATTATTTGAATGTTGAATAATAGGCTATTCGCGACATAGACATGAACCATGTACATGAATAAGGGCTCCAATTGAATTCGAAACTGATCGGGCAATCCCGAATTTAAAACGTAAAACCAACGTTAACAAATACAATATTTGTATAAATAAAAACGTGGAATCGCGTATCCACAAGTAGATTTTGCTTAGCAACATAATAGCGAAAAAAACAGACGAATCAGTCTCGTAAAAAGCGAAGGGCTATAATTAGGATTTTCTATGTGCCTACCATATATACTAGCGATTCCACATACTTTGGCAGTGATAACAATTGGAAGCGAGCATGAAAATCATTTTACACTAATTTTTTTAAAGGAAAAAAAATATTTTAAACATAAAGTACAGAAGTAGTATCACAAGTTTTTAATATAAGTGGAATTTTACTTACCTCTTATGAGCAGCGTGTAATGATTTGTTCAAGCTCCGCAGTTACAATTTTTATATTCTTCTAAGATATGATCCTTCACCGATCCAACTTCCTGTTTTTATGTTGTTGTCACAAAGCCACACTCTAGGGATTGAAAAAAAATATCTTCCTTAAATAATAATAAACAGAAATGAAACAAAATGAAAAGAAACAAAAATAAGAATAAACAGAAAAAAATAAACATTATAAAAATTTTAATTATTAGGTAAATCCAATTAATAATAATGGAAATATGAACAATTTTTATTTCCGCAGTGAATTATTTGATTTTCATATATTAATTAGTTATAATATTTTATGTAGGCATATATTTATTCCGTAATAGTAATGTGTGGTATATTACTATTACGCAATAGTATAATGTAGCACAGTTTAGGGCGTTTATCATCATCCATGCATGCACCCATTGCAAAATACGTCAAAACCACACACTATACACAAGTATCTAAGTGAACTATGATTTTTTTTACAAATAATAAAGTGCAACAATGGCAGGTACTATCCTAAATCTATAGCAACAATATATCACGTGCTTTACAATTGACATGGACAATAAGACTGTTAACTTTTTTTTTTATTTTACACTATAATATGACAAAAGTAAGTTAATTTAACATAAGCCTTTACATCGTCCCCTTTGCAGAACAATGTTAATTTGTTCATTATTTGCTTTACTAGTCGTGCATAATTGTTCCAAGTATAGTTATGCGTTAGACTGCATGGAAAAATTACATTTATTAGATACGGTGGAATAGTTATTTATCCCTAGGGTTACTGCACTACTAAATATCTAAATTAAAAATATATAAATATAACTACACTATTTTTTTAGTAAATAATTACAGTTTAAAGATTAAATATGTAATTACACATTACAAGTTAAGCGGAAACGTTTTAGGTAAAGAAGGTGGATGTAAAATGAATTGTTAGAAATATAATAGTGTAACTTTTTAAAACTGCTTTAATTACCAGGTTAGCTCCCCAAAATGTATTTACTTTATAAACAGAGAAACCAGCAATATCTATAGATAGGTTGTCTCAAATCAATAAATAGGGATATTAAAACTATTCAAAATTTAAACTTGGTATCTGAATTTGCCAATGGAGATTTTATATTTCATAATTTTAATTAGTACCTACGTTGATGTTCATCTTGTAAAACGTATTGAAATATCAGTTTAAAAATCTAACAAAATGTATTTAAATATTATTTATACAATCTTACTGAATGTATTTAAGAGCAGTTATTTAAAATAAAACCTTAAATGATTATGAGAAACAAGGCAATGCCATAGGCTTTTTTTATTATAGTGAGAACAATGTAGTTCTAAAGAAAAATAAAAAATAAAACCAAGTTATGGTTCACATTATAAAAGTTCATTAATGCAAAATCAAATTAATTTATTTTTATAGCGACCAGGCGGGTGTCATAAATAGCTTTCCTTAGTTACCATTTACGATACCCATGAGAGTTGAAATTAAATCGAAGGGCACATTACTAGTACCGCTGCGTATACTACGATCTTGAATCACTAGGCTATGTTTCATTAATCGGACTTCCCAGTTACATCTATTGTACCTAAAATATATCATTTACTGACCATTTGGTATACGGTTTTATTGCAAGTATTCAGTCTTTTGCATATGTATTATATTTAGTTTCCTTAGTTGCCTCTTGAATGAAGATGAAAGAAGTTGTGACAGATCGTACCTATTCTTGATCTGAGCATAGCATAATATATTTACATCGCGTACTAAATAATAATCTGCACACAGACTTGATGATCTCGATATCCTAAAATATTTATTATAATTTTATTAAATTTATTTTTGTATATATATACAGTATATAATCATATACACATATACCAATAGAACGTAATAAGAAAAATATTACATTTATTATTTATATCGTCTTCACTCAGATATAACAATTATAATTATTAATAATCGAAATAATTATAAATAAATAAAATTCATAGTTGTAATTCAGTATAATCTAGAATAGGTTTAATTGAACAATAGCAAAACTATATTAAAAGTTTCAGATCTTCAAAAACGTTAGATTTAAATCGATATTTTGGGATTTAATTTATGAAGTTAAATTGATTTTAGTCAGTTATTATTACCAGTGTCATTAGCATAAAGAGTACTATAACTTACTTGCCATCACATAGAGTCACTGTCACACAATTTTTTAATAATCCAATTTGTTACGATACACATAGTCTGTTTTGATGCTATTAAAAATATTTTGTTGTAAAGCTTTCTTGTGCATCTAATAAATAAATTAATATAGTAATGATAGTAATCATCTAGTTTTTATAGTAGTTTTAAAAATATTTTCTACTATCCACTTGTGCCATTTATTAATAGTTTTCTGTATAAAACTATAACAAAAGAGTTAATATGTGTATATAATACTGCAATAGGAATATATATTTTAAAATGTTTGTATTGACTGCATGTAGTTGATGTTTATTTTTGCAAGAGTTATACTCAAATTTGTTTAGTATGGGAGTGGTTTACTGTTAAGAAATATTTATTTTCTTGTGACATCAAAATAATAAAGTCATTAGTTTTCATATAGATTAAGGTACTTCATCCATATATTTCAATATATGTAATGTTACTATAAAAGCCTGTACATTGTTAAATCTTAAGATTAGGTAGATTCCATGTAATGAGTTAGTAAATGTAATACTTTTCTAAAAAAAGATAATTTTTATACCATTTTTCACCAAACCAAAATTAACCTTTCTGACCATGAGTGTGGACACCACGCACTAAACATGTCTTAATTTTTTGACATTTATCAAATCTCTAATGTAAATTTAAATAAATATAGAAAACTTTAGATTTACCGTAATTCAAGTTATTACAGCAACAGACATAATATTATCATATCTTTAGTGCGTGGTGTTCGTACTCGTGGTCAAAAAGGTAGGTTAGGTATGGGACAATAAAAACTTAAAAAATGATCTTTTTTTTATAATATCCATACATATATCAACTCATGTTGGTAAAACCTATGATTTACTAAATACGGGCCTTTATAGTAGAATAGATCAAAAGTTAAAGATTCCGTATGTACCAAATCAGTCAAAGCAATTCATACATTCATCAAATGTAAATAAAAGACTGCATTCCTCATGCAGTAGCATTGTTTAAGAAATCGATTTATATATAATTATTTAATAAAAATTAAACACAATATTAACAAGCCAGTCGGGCTGTTGTAAATTGGTGTATTGGCTGGTATCGTATTTTCAACTTGCGTATGTTTATTAAGAGTGTAATCTGTGTGGCAGGTGCGGTTTCCTGCCAAGCGACACGATTGAGCCGCATTCGCCAATATAGAGTAAGCATTTATCTAAGCGTAGTATTTTGAGACCACTAGCTGCCACTCGCACATTTTCCTATATTTCCTAGACTCCATACATGGCACTATCACTTCGCTATATTTATAAATCTTAGATTGCAACTATTGAACTTCCATAATTACACATGGCACAACTCATTACTTATTTATTGCGAACATAATTAACTGAGGAATGCGGCTTGATCATTTTCAACCCTAAAATGTGTTGCACTTATTATTTTTACTATCAAAACATTACGCATAAAACGTAAATAAGTCATACAGTAATAAAAAATAGAAGAGAGTGACGTAATTTCATTTGTGATTTTAAACGCTCCTTTATAATAAATTTAATAATGAATATCATTTAATAACATATTTTGTTCGTTAGCCACCTTGACAGTATGAAATTATTAATACAAAGAGGCTCGTGCCTTCTTTTTGGTTTAAGGTGTGACCACGAAATTGCTTCTCTTGCACCCTTGTTTGCTTCTTTAGCATTAGTTTTGAAATCTCGATTTAGGTTTTCCTTAATAGAAGTTTCACAAAATCACTTAGAAAGTTGCTCGTGCCACCATCTTACAAGGTTCTGTCATGCAACAGTGCGCAGCATGTGATAATTGAAACATTGATTCTATTATTATATTTATTCTGCATAAGCGGATGGGCAGAGGAAAAATTCCTGTACTTGCCCTCGACGCTCATAAAAAAATATACTTAACACTCGAATATACTTCGCTCGTACAAACTTGCCCATATTTAAATACAATTGTATCGCTATTTTCTAGCGTTCAAGTAAGTATAGTTGAAGTTCAACACATCTGTTTTATTTTTGACGCTAAGCGCTGGCACTTGTAGCGCAAAGTAAATTCATTTTGAGCGTTTAGAAGTCGTCGCCCTCAAGTGAAGGTTATGAGAGCTAATGTAATCTTTGTTGCGCGGCACTTAAACATTTTAATCCAAGGTGATGTCTCTTGTCTAGACAATGGCTACGACTACTACTATCAGCAGGGCCTATAAGCTTGCATTTTATCCCCAGGCCTACCATATTAATGATCTCTAACTTCTTTCAGTGTACTTCATACACTCTTTAACCTGATCTCTATATCCGTTTCATATCAAATCCTATGTTTAGCTCGCCCCACGTTTATTGTAATAATATTGTATATATATTAATATAATAATTACATTAATTTTGATGCGAAGTTATGTTCTTTAAACGTTACTCAAAAAATCTAAGTATCAAATTACTGCGTTAGTATTTTTGATAATTGGCTGTAGGATCGCACACATATATATCATTAAATAATGTACTATTAACACTAAAGCTTGTACACAGCGATAAAATTTAATAAAATTGTTCAACCAATCATTACCGATTAGTAGATATGATCGGTGGCAGTGCGTACAAAACTGCATTCATTACACTCGCTCAATAAACATACGAAAATAAAAAAATACGCATATTTAAAAAGTTCAATTTTCAACTTTTGTCTTGTTTTATCTCATCTTTTTTTCTACCAGCAGTCGAATACAGGGACGTTTTCGTGTTCGAAATTATTCCTAAAAATACTTTGTAAACTCTTTATAATTGTCTAACGAAGAGATAAAAATGCGCAGACCTCGTCTGATTTGACAATAGTTCTAAAAATACTCTTTATTAAAATGTGTGCAATTTCTGTAAATACATTTGTATTTGAAATCATTACTCAAGTTATTTTACTAACGATATTTCCAACATAATCTAATCACTCATTACAAGTTTTCATGATTAGAAGCGGATATGGGTAATAATCATCGTATTAAACTTAAACATAAGGAAAGGGCATTTTTTATTTTGAAATAAATACTAATTACTAATCTAAAAAATGACATCTGTATCTACTATAGATGAAATACCTCTTATATGTACCAGTAACCAATTTTTAAAGAACAAAGCAAATTGCAAAAAATTACGTTATATTTAATTCATCATATTATGAGTAATGTAATAATTGTTTTTATTATAACTATACCGTACATTCATATCTATAAAATATATATAAAATAATGTTCAAGTTAAATAATGTAAATTTTTTGTAATTTGTTTACAAACTATTATCATCTAATACAATCAATTGAATAATCACATTTTACATTGTAGGATTTTAACCATGGTAGTTGTGTATAAACTGCAAATACAACTTTTGTTCATATTTCTGTCAACAGATCTTGAAGACCCAGTTGAAAATAAAGGTGGACAGTGACGTTGCGCCAAGCGCTCCCGACACCACGAATAGTATATTTTACAACAAATATTACTTATTAATTAGCTTTAGTTTTAACTTGGTGTGTGATTACATTTAATAAGTTATTGATTGCGCCGAGCGCCGGCCGGCGGTGCCGTGCGTGCCTAGTCCGAATACAGATATAAAACAAATATTTATCTACCTAATATCTGTAACATAAATATACAAAAATATTATACACCAGTCTTGTGTAGCTACGGTTAATTTATTTAGCAATCTACATTATGTTACTTCAAAATTGAATAAGTACATATAAACTAGGTTCTCTTTAACTCCGGTGCGTTAGCGAAGGGAAACATTATATTACAATACATATTTTAGGAAAGCGTCTGTGATTATAAACGAAGAAATTTGATGAAACCGTTTTTAATGTTAGTTGAGATGAACATATGTATAATAATTTAGTTATATTGCTATATCTACGCATGTTGCGGGCTCGTTGACACCCCGAGTTCCACAATCACGAAGCCCGCTTTTCATATTCGTTACATATTATGTAAACGACTTTACTTGTTCGTTTTAAGAGTTTACAATAAAGCACTTTATACATTATTATGAATCGGCTTCACTGATATCTTTCTTGAACGAATCGTTTATTAGCTTATCTGTTCCAGAGGTATGTAGATCTTATGTTGGTACGTGTGTGACAAGTTACGAATGGTGCGCGTAGTTATTGGCTTCAAGTGTTACAGGTTTTATCGAAAATTGATAGAAATTTGAAATCGTCTATATATATATATATATATATACATTATAGTGTAAGAAGAACAACTTTTTCGCGAGTCATGTTTAAATTTTACCGTTGTTCCCTAAAATGTTTATCTAAATGTTGTATTAAATTTATCAACATTATTTTTATCGGCCATACCAGTACAAATAAAATTATATCCTTGTAAATAACATTAGCACATTTACAATGTTTTAATTCTACATATAGTGTAATTATGTAAAATATTTCTCAACATACGTGCAAGAAGCCTTAAAAATCATAGATTTTTAAAAAAATATGGGTACTAGCATCTACCGGCCGATGGCCCAGAAAGATGATGTATTTTTATAAAACATATTGTTCTTTATTAACATATATAATATGTTAACTGAAAGTACATGATTTCGTATTTTTCTAACATAATTAAATATAGGGAGTACGTAACCAAGTGTAATGATCAACTTTTGAAGTGGAAAAATTATTATGTATACATAATATTAAACGTAATGTTATCATTGTATGTAGTACCTATATAACGTTGCAAATTTAATTTGAAAACGTTTTTATTTTTGTAATTATTGATGTCAATTTGATGGTGAAAATGGAGCTCCTTGCATAAGTTGACAACTTCTGACCACACTATAGACAAATTACACAGTTGCATAAGACACTGTTTTAGATTTAATACTTACGAATTATAGTTAGGTATATATTTACTCCCGCCCCGTACTGCGCAAAATAAGCTATGAACAAATTATGGTGTACCTATCTATTGTTATGTAAATAGTGTGTAACTGTAACTAAGCGTCAATACAGCTATTCATCAAAACAATACGAATAAGTGTTAGACAAGAAAATGAGAGTGGTTGGAGAGTGCACCTTATGTATCGAGCACCCATCGAAATATATGAAACTGATGATTTTAGTTAATTTAATATGTGATTGATGGTTTGTGTTGAAAGTGAATGTCTATATGTAATAAATTACATTTAAATACTATATCATAATATCATCACCGCACCAAGTGCGAACGTATAATAAGCTACATCAACGATTAGTATATATATATATATTTTTTTACGAATGGTATTCTTTTCCATTTGTTTGGCTTAGGTAAGAGAACTAATAATTTTTTTACAAAAATGTGGCACCGCGTTTTGTCTATAATACCGTCCAGTGAACACACTACTAATTTTATTATCATGACATTAAAATTTTAATGTATATATGTAATTATTTTGGATTTAATTGCAATTGTAAACAGTCATAGGTGGTTGATTGACATTTTTCGATCGAAGCGCTATAGACGTACCTAAATATTTTATAGGAACATGGCAGTTGTATTGACAATAGAAAGGAATGTAGTACCTGCTTTTTAAAATTAACATAATGAAGTACACTCAACTCGAACAAAGTTCCTTAATGTATTGTTGTGGTACAATTTTTAAATATACAATATTAACAAAAGAATTTATTTGAACAGCGCAAATTTAAATGGTTATGTACTTTTAAAATTTTGCTCTAATTTATCAATATAATGAAAATATTGTGTACTTTTTAATTATTGATGACCATATTGAATAGTTATATTTAGAAAACCCCACGTCTTATCTCATTATTTCTAAAATCATAATAAAATATAAATAAATTCACATCAATTTCGGCGGAGCTGCGACATTGTAATCTTTGGATTAAAAGATATTGCTGTTAGTCTAGTATTGTTACTAATGATTCCGTTTAACTAACATTGTATTTTGATATCGTATCCTTTATTCCAAAGATTCCATCCGTTGCTAAGTTAAATTTGAATACGCTCAGTGTAAAATGTATGAAGCAATATGTCGACCACAATAGCAATAATCCGCAAAGTGCATGGACTTTTTAGGAGTGGAGGGGGGGAGGGTGGACGTTCCCAGCCCAGAATTGACTGGTGTCCACCCGACGATGCAGACAAAGCTTCACAAAAACGTGTCTTAAAGTACATACGCGCTTTTTCTAAGGGGCTAGGCCCTTCTATAATGCTAAATACGCCAATGGCAGAATGTCTCTGATTACCCCATTTGGGATTATACTCATGAGCATATTTTATTCTTCGATTTCATGTAAACGTCTAATTAAAAAAGGGAAACTGAATCGCAGCTTCACGAATTTAGACGCTTTATCGAAGGCAAAGCTGATCTGTGATGGTATGACATAGTTAGGTACATTAGGCTGTGTGGGTCTTATTTGTCCGCATTGTAGGGCACAACGACGACAAATTGTGACCATTTTCTTAGAGATCACCATTTTCCACTACAGCTTTAAAATTGACATTATTTTATTATGGTAGAGTGGTATTGGAGTTTTTAAATAATACCGTGCTAGATTACGAGAAGACATTAAGATACACTATTACAGAAGCCGTTTACCTCGTCTTAATTCCTTTTATTAGTTTTGTGCATATTTTTTAATAAACTGACGTTACCATTTTATGCAGTATTTACGCATCAGACCATAAAATATTATGTCACTTATTGTAGAATACTTACTATGCAGTATTATTGTTACTATGCTCCGATTTTCACTCTTCTAATAAAAGGAAAAGCGGTAATTATCGCCCGAAAAGTTGAGAAATTATGACGATTATAAAACTATTGACACAGAACAACATACTATGTACTTTAAATGTACTCAAGAGATAAGGAAAAATTAGCGCATAGAATTTTGTATATGTATATATTAAATTTCATGTTTATCATCGTTACATTTTAGTATTGTTTGCAACAATTTTTATAAACCTTAAAACCATGTAATACTTAATATAATTATACCATGCCTTATAAATCTATTTCTGTAATATACTTGTTTGAATAATGGTTCGTCAACGGGATTAGATCTGTTTAGTGGTTACAGAATGGTGTCACCGTGTGCCATTAGTTAGTGTTCGTACAGGGTTACTGCAGTTGAGCTCGCGCTTCACACTGCGCTTCAGCCACCCAACGACCCAACTTGTTTCAGTTTAGCGCCACATTACAAATTTTTATTCATTTAAACTCAGCTACAAATTTAGACAATAAACAATTTGTTAAGGTGCCAGTGTTCGTAATTAACTTTTTTCAGTTGGTAGTTCAGAATGTTATGTCATTTGCGTCAGTCTAATCAACAACCATTATAATAAAATATTTAATTTTTATAATATAAAAACTTATACATTAAATTTAAACCTACTTACTTCTAAGGTTAGGTTGTAATATACAGCGTAAAGTTGTATTTTAGTGTTTGTGTAAGTAATATCTATATTTATGAATTAAAGATATAAGTATTTTTAATTAATAAGATACACAATGAGTGTTCTATGTAAATGTACATTTTGAGTTCAATTAGATTATAAGAAACGTTGATAACTAGGTAGTTTTTAACAACTGCGTGAAGTCGGACGGGGGTGTTCGCGCGAGCGGCGAATGCTACACCTGTATCCGCCGCTCGCGCTCACGCGCTGTTCCACTCTGTTCGGGCACTGTTATTTCGCTCAGATTCCCTCGCGCAATGTAACTTTACCCTGTCTCTTGCTATAGGTGATTACTTGTTGCGGACTACGACAGGGCCCTTACAATAATCTGTCATTATCATGCTTCACTCGGCGGTAATAGTGATGTTTGGTGATTGATATCGATCGATTGATTTTGGTGGAAAGGTATTATATACGCGTCGCACACATTCCAAAATAACGCTAATCGCAACGCTAAGCGACGCGGGTCGACAAACGCGTTGCAATTTGTAAGTTAACCACTTTGTTGTTCATTAACGATAAGTTAGGTTTAATCTCAGTCGATGTTTAACTTTAGTCTGTGTATTGTATTCTCTCGGTTAAGTTTATATGAGGATGTGAATTTGAGCGAATCAACAGGCCCCAGCCTGAAGGGTTCATAATAGCTATAAAACTAAGTACCTAAGTGAATAATTCTGTTGCACCTAACTTTATTTTGCGAGCTGCGTTAGTTATATTTTATTAATTGTACATATAGGTAGGGCGAGGTATACAGTTTTCATCCAATCTTAGATGGTTATTGTTGAATCTGAAAATGTGGGGCTGGCAAATACCAATGCAATGTTGCATTTGCTGTTGATAAATTTAAATAAATTGTTTATCTGATACCATAGATATATGACTATTTATGTGTTACTGTTGTTTAGACGGTGGCGAGGCTGCGCCTTGGGAGTTTTCATACAAAATTATACGTTATTGTTTCATGGTCCCTAATTGCATGTAATCACTAAATCTACCTAGGAGTGATAGCACGGCAACTCGTTATAGGAGACAGAGCTCCCGAGGCGTACTGAATAGAAAGTTCCCGCGCCACCGTGGAACACATCCCTCGCATTGCGGTCCTGTGGCCGATATATATATTGTAAATGTAAAACATAAGTACACCCTATAAGTTTAGCCACGAAAGGCTTGTTGTGAGGCTGCTTCTATTTTAACTGAATCTGAGCAGAGTTTTACTACGGTCAGTGGAAGTCTTTTATCACAAGTATACGCTACATTACTGTTAACATCACAAAATAACAAGTATAATTATTTGTTAAGTTAAAAGAATTCTCAAGGGTTTTCTAATATATTTACATGCATTACATAAAGCATAATAAATTTGTATGTTTCAGTTAGAGTGAAGCAACTGGAATTATTTACCGCAGCCACATTAGTACCGTGTCATTACCTCACATTATGTCTTTTATAATACATTATGAAATAGTTATTGTTGTCGCTAAATCTTATTTTTATTTTCAATATTGTTTAGAGGTGTCTTTAAGTTTAAAGCTGTAAACACGATGATCTATTTTTAGATGGCAACATAGATTTGGCGGTGTGAAATGTCGCCCGTGCGTCGTCAGTGTATTTATTTTCATGTTTGATTAATAAATATTGTGAGACGCACGAACGCGCCGGCGGCGGGGGTGAGTGCTCTCGCCGCTGCTCGTTATTGTAGAAATAAATGATATTTTCGTTTAAATAATTGCGTCTTTATTTTATACATTGTACTCCCATCTGTTACATTAATTACTAGGGCATAACGAGTTCTTCCCTAAAACAAGGTTTTACATGAAAGTTATCAAAAAAAAAGCTTACAGTTCATCTAATGAAAAATGGCAACTGTCACCTATAGACCTAAGCATAAGCACCTCATGTGTTACCATTCCTAAGAAATAAAGTTGTATGAATTCGTACCCTATAATTTCATACCCTTCAAATCGAAACACACCGAGTATTTATTTATTTATTTTGTAGAAGGCGAAAAACAATTTCGAAAATAACATAACTCTGGCAGACACACCTCTATCTACTTGAGATTTGATATTAGAACAGAAAAATTCTATCTTTTCTCCCTACCTATCCTTCTATAGGCCATGCGAGCCTTACCCAAGTATGGTAGTCTAAATAACCTATAAGGACGATGTCAGTGACAATGAATTATTTATTATTATCATATAAATATACAAATGTATAATATATATATTATATACTAACTATTATTATTTGCCGTCAGCAAAAATAATTTCTATTCCCATAACCCAGGACCGCTGCCACCGTGGCGCTGTATTGTTATATTTATAAACGCCTAGTATTTTAGAAATACTATTTTTAAGTTAGTAAAAACACAACAATGCGCTATAACGACTCCTTTAACTTCCATGCTGCTAGATTGTGTAATTCTAGTCTCATTCCTGTTCGTGAGAGTCAATCTCTAAATATGTTTAAGAGTAGAATTAAAGAGCATTTTCAGCATTTATTTTTTTGTATTATTAGTGTGTACAATGAAGTATAAATAAATAATCAATTCTCTTAGAAACAAATCCTAAAAAAACTAAACTTTGTATATACATAACCAGCTGTTGCTCGCGACTTCGTCCGCTCCAATTTCTGTTATTATGATAAGGATTTTTATTATTATGTTGATAAAACTCTGGCAAATAATTGGCAATAATGCTTTAATTTTGACCAAATATGATTACCATAAATATATTATAATGAGTCAATCTTAAAAGATAGACATATACTGTCACGGACATTTTTTTTAGATCATTTAAAGAGGAATAATTCATTCATACATAATTTTTGGGTAACTTGAACCGTTTACGCAGCGCACGCAACGTAAGCCCTCAAATATGAATATTTTTCCCCGTTTTTGCAACATTTTTCACTGATGCTTCGTTCCTATTGGTCGCAGCATGATGCTATATAGCCTAATAACCTTCCTCAATAAATAGCCTGCCAACTGCTATTTCACGCGTGTCTTGAAGACACTCCTAGATTATTATATAACACATATGTACATATAATTATGGATTTTATATTATGCGAGAAAATATATAATTTATTCATAATTTTTAAATCAAAATATCCATGCAAAAAAAAAAAACACGTTAATATATGAACATGATACTAGTGATTGCCAATACTTCATGAAGATAAACAATAGATATCAAAATCTGATATGTCGTAGATGAAAAACCTTAATCTATGACATATCAGCTTACCACGCACCATCATAGTTTCATACTCGTTTCGAAAAAATTCAATTTCATAACAATTATAATATGACTCATATTTTAATAATATTTCTATAAAAATCTATTATCGATAATTGCAAAGTTTCTATCATAAACAACTGTAAAAATCTAAACTATAATATAAATAAAACTATAATAAATATAATAATACTATAATATACAATTACACTACTACATAACATATACTTACACTACAGAATTAATTTTCTTTAAAGCCTAATTATTTATTTATTTGGAAGACCTATCTAGCTAGCTTTTCTATCTTTATATATACAAAACAAAAAATTATATCATAATTAAAAGCTAACATTAGAAATACAAGGATAGGACAACAAAATAATGCTTATCATCCCATGTATTTGTAGACAGATAAGCCAATTCTAGATCGATCTATGATGTCTTTCGTTTCTTTAGATAAAACATTCACGACTCAACTATTATATGTGTAATTTACATTAAACGTAAACTACGAAAAATGCAAAAGCTAATTATAAAGGATTTTCTATTAAGTGACTACACTATTCATTAAACGTGCCAAATAAAAAAGTCGGTTAATATATAATACATTATATACTCGTATACATAAACTTACAAACTACAATAATGTATTGCTCTAACTAATAATCTTATTTACCTGTGACCTCTAAGTAACCAACTTGCAAAACCGATCGGTGCATAAAATAACAAAAACATTTCAATAAAGATAGTAATGCAACAAAGTATTATTATGAACAATATTTATTTATTTTAAATTTTATATATATATATATATATATATATATATATATATATATATATATATATAAACCGTCCATAATAAACTTTGTACACTTGGAGACTCGGAGAATTGGAATGATATCTCAGTCTACTTATACTTACTACAGGTACTTATAATGTAAAACCTACAAAACTTTCAAGAACTACATCTACAATGAAATAAAAAGCTATAATATAATAAACAAATTTATTTACAGACTACTCATTGCTACTACATAATATTATACCGTTGCTTTTGTGTCCGTATTAAGGTTGCATTCTCAGTGAACCGTCTAGCCGTATAGTTTCTCCATTGAGCATAGGATTCTGTATGATACTCTGAACAAGTAATGCAAACTCCCGAGGTTGACCCAAACGTGACGGGAATGGCACCGACGCTTCGAGTTGTTTGATTGCTGGTTCAGGTAACGACTGCATCATTGGTGTTCGAAACAAACCTGCAATGTAGGAATAAAGGTAAGCCCCTAATACCGATATTAATTCGTGCTCATAGAAATCAGTACCTAAATTACACACCACATTGAAAACTGTTTTAACTAACTTCTCAATAAAAAAAAAAAAGCAAAATGATTTCAGACTTTTTTCTTTTTACGTTAATTAGGCAATAACACAGTTCGATACAGTCTCATGTAATAAATAGGTATGTCCATTTAATTATGCACAAATATTTGTACACAAAAGGCTCTGATGTAGATGTCCAGATGACAACGATGTTTGATGATCTTTGGTTCCTTAATAAAATGTTATAGGACAGCAAACACTTGTTATCCTATAACATTCCAAACGTCAACATTTGTATCTTAGCAATAATGACTCACCAGGTGCGATCGTCACCACCCTGATGCCTTGTTTTGCGAGATCTCTGGCAATTGGTAATGTCATGCCCACAACTCCAGCTTTAGACGCCGAGTATGCAGCCTGACCAATCTTTAAAAAAAATTAAACAAGAATAAGCGAATATTGAGCTACGTGACTGTATGTATCAAGGGGATTCCTGTGAAATCTGTGACATTACACAGTACTGTTTATGTCTACTAATGACAGTTACTATTTTTATTTTAAAATATACATAAAAAACTTGTCCTAAGAGATTGATGTATCGATGCACACTTTTAAGACATAGTACATTATACTATATGATTATATCCGCCGAGGTTGGTGGGGATTATTATTAATGGATCTAGCCGCCCTATTACTAGCAATATACCCTGTCAAGTCGACCTCCACGCGGTTCCCTTTGGAAACTGTCACGATTAAGTCTTAAAAATTAATCACGATGGGCCAACAGACCTGTTTCATCTTCACATACCATCCCTACTAGTATTACTACTACTAGTATTACCATTCCATTATCATGTCATAAAAAATAACCGCCAGAATTTCAAGACAGGAATTAATTGTAGAGAAGTTAAAATTACTGAAATAAACATCTCTATGAAATACAATCTTTACGACAAATATTGTAAGATTAATTATGTGATAAATATATTTTAACATTGAATATCTTTATATTATTATCAACAGAAGTATTATCATGTGGAGATAACGATACCTATTTACTTCTTACTATTGGCATTGATCTCTCGTAAGTGACGAAGTAAGAATACAATATATCATCACTCATTTTCATAGCCTGATAATTAAAAGGCCTATCCTAATTATATAAATGTGTTTGTTTATTTGTTGTCTTATAACGCCTTAACCAATCACTATGAAATTTGGCATACACATACTTTATGGTATGGAGAAAGCTATAGGCTAATTTTTATCTCGGTCTGGTCGATAAACATAACTTGGACACGCGAATGTAGTCGCGGGTAAAAACTAGTAAGGAAATAAAGTACAATATCCCAAAAGAAACAAAACACAAAATAACATTTTAAAAATCTGATGTGTTGAGACTATTTGAAATTGGATTCGGATTCAACATGGTCGATTAGGTATAGTAGTGGTAGACTATATTCATGTTTCATTTTATTTTTGTGTGTAATTTATGATTTATGTTAATTATCTATTAAATGAGTATATTACTTAACTACTTTTTTATCCATAAATATAGTAGTAAACTGTATTTTTTTTTTAAACTAACGGTTTCTAACAGCTTTGCCCATGCGCATTAATATAGAAAGCACATATGTGTTAAGTTAGGATATAACTTATCCATATACTAAATTTCATTCAAATCGGTTGTTGTTTAAGAGCGTTCATTACAATAGTTTTCAAAAACAATTTAACTACATTTTAAAATATTAATCATGCAATTATATTTCTATAAAGCTGTTAATGAAAATTTAGGTTTTGATGGCAAAAATGTATTTGAAGAATTCTGAAATATTATATGAAGTAGGCATAGTTTTTAGTGGTAGGTTTATATACAACGTATTCTATGATTAACGTTTAAGTTGGCTAGCAGATCAATTTTTAAATAATCAGAGACATAAAATATGTTCAACTGTTTTGGAAAGTGACAGTTATTCGCGACGTTGCTATACTTCGTTACGAACGCTTTTAAGTACAAACATCCAAACACCTTTACAAACTTTACATTTATAATATTGGTAGGATATGACAGATATGAACATTACCTGTCCATCGAAAGCTGCGACACTGGCCGTGTTTATAATGACGCCCCTCTGTCCATCAGCATCGGGTGCATTTTTGCCGATCAAACCAGCTGATAGCCTTATCACGTTAAATGTACCTATTAAATTGACCTGCAAATGACGACAACACGATAATTTACTTCTTATACAAGTCGACTTCTACTATTATTATACCAATCACTCTTATATTTGGTCCAAATCGAACTCAGTTAATTAATTATTATAGTTATAAATTCAGCAGTTAATAAAAACCCTTAATTTATACCCGTTTTTTATCTTCTGACCACCTTGTGACGAAACTATTTATCGCCTCTCTAACAACTAGTCATTATAAACACTGTTTTTAAAAGAAGATTATAAATTTTCATATGTCATTTTGTTAAATACATACAACATTCACAATATACCTGCCTGACGCAATGCCAATTAAAATTTGCAATAAAAACACAATAAATTTAAAAAATTAAAACAATTCTAAAATAGATATAAAAAAAGTATTTAATCAAAAAAATGATTATACACTGCATTTTTTATATATACATATTATACACGGAATTTTTGAATAAGATAATTTTACTAATTAAATCTAATTGAATTTGTTTTGTGTTGATTAAGTATGCATGTATAAAAACCCATATATTCAATGTAACAAACATATATTAATATAATTGCTATGCCCTTTACATGATTCATGTTATTAATGAATCTCTAATGCTTAACATCTATATTGTTACAATATGAAAATGCAATAAACAATGAAGAAGAAGTTTTCATTGTGGAGCAAAAACTACTTATTGAGAAGAAAATTAAACAGGCTCCATCATTTTTATGGTTTGCCAAGATAGATTAATTTTTATTTTGCAGCACAATATTATTAACGGTGCTTGTTAACTTAGTGTAGAGGAGAAATATTATTATGAAACTTATAATAACAGATTCAAAATAAAATCATCATGTTAATGCATTGAGTAAGAAACAACAAATTTCTTTTTTATTTTAGTTTTTATCAAAAATTACTCCAAAACTGTGTATTTTTTTTAAAAAGGGCAATATTTGATTTAATATTAAACGCATCCCTCCTATATATGCAGTTATAATATAGAGAAACTTATAAGTTATTTCATTGTTACTATGTTTATATATTTTCATTGTATAAGGTTTATCTATGTACCCCTTGTAACCTGCTTATCTCAAAGGTTGTTTAGATAGAATGCTCAGATTTATAATGATGAATTTAGCATAAGTTTATATTTTATACAATGTAATTGTAAATTTTGGTAAGTATAATATGCATAATACAAATACTATTAGACTACTATTACTTGGTAGATTCAGTGATAGGATAATTTATCATGCATCTAACAAATACATATATGTATATATATATATATATATACATATATACATATATACATATATACATACATATATATATAAGTATATTTATTCCATAAAACAAACCTCAATTGTCTTCTGGAATGACTTTAAATCAAATGGTTGGTCCTTTTTGAAGTTGTAAACACGAGCAGCAGTAGCTACACCTGCACAGTTTACTGTCACGTCAAGGCGGCCAAACTTGTCAAATGTTCTTTGTAATGCATTTTTCACATCCTTCTCTGATGTTACCTATTAACAATTATGGGCACTTTAATAACAGATAAATAATTTCAATATTTCTGACCCACCAGGGATTCTGCTTAAGAGCAGCTGTACTTGTATAGCTATATTTTGGTTTGAAGGGTAAGATATGATAGTGAAATGACAAGGTACAGAAGTATAACACATTTGTTGTATACAACAAATAACTTCACAAGGTTACTACTCTTGTGTTGATTAATTTGGTTTTTTATTGTCTTTTTTAATGTTCACTGGAGCTTAAGCACCTGTATAATAGAATATATTCTGAAAAACTCTTCGATATAATGCCTTTAGCCATCGTTGACCATTGCACTGCTCACCATCAGCAAGAAATGTATCCTCACACCTTAGAACCAGAATTAATCACACACAGTGCGGTTTCAGAAAAGCTTCCTCCTACAAACGCTCAGGTTATGAAATGATCTTCCTGTCAAGACTTTCCCTAGAGACAACAGCACGGGGTTCTACAAAAAGGACATATTAAAGTTTCTTAAGGGTCACCAATGGGCACATGACATCCCTGATGTCACATGCATCCATAGACTATGATAACTCCATTTATCATCAGACAGGCCATTTGCTTGTTTGCCACTATAGTAGTATAAAAAAATTATAAATTTAAATTAAAACAAAACTGAATATACACTCATAATATGCATGGACAAATTAATGGTTTACTTACGTCAATAGGCACAAATGTGGAATTTTCACCAAGTTGTTTGGCGGCTTCCTGACCACTACTGGAGGGCAGGTCACATATAACTACGCGCCCACCTTGTTTCACTAACTGCTCAGCAGTTGCTCGTCCGAGACCAGATGCACCACCAGTCACTAAACCTACCAATCCCTAAAAAAATAAAACAAATTAAAACTAGTTTATATTAAGGCAGATAGAGATAATTAAATAAATTTTAAAATAACTACATAATAAATTGTTTACGACATGTGACATTTTAAACATACCTTAAACATTTTAAAGACAATAATGTTAGGACAAAATGTAACTAGGAATCAGTCTTTGAGATGAAGTAAATAACCTTTGTTCTTAACCTCAACAATTTGAATTGACAGTATCTATAGTGATTACTATAGCCGTTTATCGAAACTTCAATGGTAAATTAAGTGCCTAATATCCAAAAATTCTATCAAATTACAACTAACAAATAGAAAGATAAAACACAGGAAAAAGAAATTTGTAATTGCGGTTCTATTCCAATAATTTAAAATATGAACTACTACGACCAACGATCGTTATAGTATATATAATGTCAGTAATCACCACGATAAAAGAATAATTAATGAAGACAAATAAATAAATTATACAATTCGCTGTATGTTTACACAAGGTAAAATAGTGATAATAGAATAAAAATAAATAGAATAACATATATATGTATAGATAAAGAATCTGTCACTAACATTATTGACTGACACAATTGAAGACAGAAAAATAATCACTATGTTATAAAAGTTAACAGTGGCCTTACATCCATTAAATTTAGAAAATTAATGTATGTTACCGTTGCAAACCAACAACACAATGATGCTAAGTATACCTATATCAAAATATCGATAGCGTTTGTTGTCATAAAAGACCTAACGATTTCATAATGTAAAATTTTTAAAGTTTATAAAAATCATGTACAATAAAAAATTAATTACTTATGTTTAATTATTGTTCTTTAGATTCTACTTTTATTTTAGATCTAATTTTTATAATAAACGAGTAATATAAACTATCTTTGAAATATTAATAAGTAGTTGAAATTTTTGTGCTAAAATAAATAGAATCTGAAAAAAAAATGTATTAGCATTTATTAGTTATTATTCCTACTTAATAACTGCGCTCTTGGGGTGGTTTAAGAGACTCGCTGAAAATCTATTTTTTGTATTACGTCACACTTAATACAAATTTATTTATATTTTGTTCATTACTACGTAATTTATCACAACACACATTAGTTATTTTTTACACTTTTTATTTGTAAGTGAAGAGCTATTTTGTAAACGACGCCATGACTCCGACATCGTAGCGTCAAGACAGCCTTAATCCATCATGATGAAACTCCGTTTCTTAATATTGGCTAAAGATCGTAAGCTAGTTGCATACAAAAAAAATATTCTAAGTAACATTACCGTAGACTGACAATCATATGTTATGACTGACAGTACTGCTGACACTTATAGTATGATTTCATATGACAGATATGCAGTGTCACCAATCCTTAAAAACTTCTTTATTTTTTTATTATTTTAAAATTTAGATTAGCTTAAATATCGAAAAGATAGAAACTTGTATTTATGAACAAAATATGTAAGGGGTCATTATAATAGTTATAGATGTCATGGTTACTTACTTCTAAAATTGTCACGTAGGAAGTTACAGGCCTAAGGCATATAGCCCCGTTCTCCAAACATAAGATTACACATATATATAAAATATTTTTTTTATAAGAATTTAAAGACTAATAATATTTTTTTAATAATAGTAATAATAATATTTATTTATTCAGACAACATAAGGCCCATTTTGTCAGTTATAAATTTACTTAACCTATGTTAGTAAATGATCAGTCATGACGCTCTTGCAATAATAATACCTAAGATTTTTATATTAAACCCACTTCCATGGATATACCTATAGATAGTCTAAAATTCTGATAAAAATAAAACTACATACATTTTGAATAGTTCACCGCAGTGATGATATTTAAACAATATATTGTACTCTTGAATAACAATGGGTCTACCTTACTTTGTTAAGATGTTTTATAAAGGATTTGCTTTCCGTTTATCATAATATTAAGTCAAAGCCAACCATTACTGTCTGTATTGCCAAGCTCGAAGATATGTTCTGTTACAAAATGTGGAAATGTTATCTTCTTATGTTGCTCTACCTATTCTCTACGGCAATGACAAAGAAAGAACTTATCAGGGATAATTTGGAAGATATTTCACTAGAGGAGTCAGATGCGCGTGTTCATTACAAAAAGAATATGCCAACTACCATTTCACGTTCAGCTAAAAGTGATGCTATTGTTGAAAAATTTGTCGAAACCCTTATCTCCAGTGAAAGGTATTTAAAAATGGTGGAGATAATAGAACGGAAGCTGACCCTTTTGGACGCAACATTTCACGAAAGGACGAACAGTATTTTAAAGTACTTGACTGAGATTCTGAAGTTAGGAAAACCTTCTCAGGCCGACGCGTTGGAGAACACACTTGTGACAGTCAGAAATGATCTGGATAAGGTGAAGCAGTTCTTAGCAGAGCATTTGGAGAAACTACATATAATAGGTACTTAATATATAAAGGGTCATATTATATAACTACTTTTTTATAAGATTTTTTATTAAGACAGCGAACCAGGATACGATACCTGTGGTGGTAATCGGTTACCATAACTTGCTTTAGTTTATAGTATATGTACATATAGTCATATTTTACCTGCGTCTAAAAACTAAAATTTTTATTTATATTAATTGGATCATTCACAATTACATATTTGTACAAAGCAGTTATACCTGAGTATCCTATTACTTTTCAGATATAGTAGTATACTACTATGAATGAATGACTAAAACTATGTACTATATACATAAATAGTACATAGTTTTAGCCCTTGTAAACGAGAAAACAAAATTATCTAAGTAAACAGTGTTTAATACTAACGGATCGTAATAACCACGAGCTAAGGGAGATGAAAGTCAATAGTTGCTTTAAAACTTGTAAAGGAAGTAGAATTAATATTATTAATTATTTCTACAACCATTACACATAAACGGAAATGATTGTTAGTAATGAGATCTAACAGCCTCATTGCTTGCTAGCATATAGTCTATCAAGTCGACCTCTACTCGATTCCCCCTGGAAACATCGTGATTAATTCCAGATAAATTAGTCGCGACGGGTTAACTGACGTACCTATTTTCATCCGCATCTTTCACCCTTCACCGATGCCTTGCCAGCGTACACTGATAGCGCAGGCAGAGACACCATTTCATTTTCACGCATTAAACAATTACACGTAAAGTAGATGAGATCAACCCTTAAATGTAAACAGTGCTACTCCGAAAAATTTTCTCAGACTTTTCAGAGTTACGCTGCCAGGATGTTCCTCGTAGGTACCTACTCAATTTTGAATAGAGGAAAAGGATTGTTACTAACGAAGACAAGCGGCCCCATAATTAACAATAAACTCTGTCAGGTCGACCTCCGACCGACTGGTCAATAAGATCTACAGAAAATAAAAACAAAATGAAAACAATATTTTGAACAAAACAAATGCTCGGAAATTACTTCATTTATTTATTTTATTTAAAATATAATATAATAAGTATTAGGTGTCGTATTTCGTATTATAAATGCAATAAAAGTCATTTTATCTCATCATCATTACTGAACTATGTTTAAAAGGAAATTATCAATAATAGATACCCCATTTTTAGCAATATACCTGTGTCTATGTCAACATCTAACTAACCTGCCTTTTTATTCTTACCTATCATCCCTCACTGGTGTTTCGCCGGCATATACCGTTACATTGCATTATCATCCATTAAAAAAATATGTAATAATATTTATTGCGACATACGTACATAAACATATATAAATTAAAACCATAGTAATGGCACAAATACCAGCGATTTAGGAACCAAATGGTATTTTCCGTGAGTATGAGAAACGACCATAGTCCCTTGGAAAATGGGGAAGTGCTTGGTGTGGGATGTGACGTGTGTAGATACATTAGCTCCAAGCTATTTATCTAGATCATCCTCTTGTTCGGGTGTAGTAGCAGTGACAGCGGAAACAGTAAAGAGGCGTAAATATTCACATCTGGAGGGGTCTTATTGTTTTCAGCCATTTGTTGTAGAGGCGATGGGCCCGTGGGGCCCATATGCAAAAAATTTTTTATCGGACAATCGCAGCACGCCTCGTCGAGGTTACTGCTGACCCGAGAGCTGGTAGCTACTTTGCCCAAAACATAAGTTCAGCAATCCAGAGGTAATGCTGCCAGTATCTTTGTACGCTGCCTCGGTGTGGTGCGTTGGGAGATTAGTTATAATTAGTAATAGTATTTAAGAAATTGTATATTAACTTTAATTTATTGTTGTACTATAATTGTTAATAAACCTAAACAAATAACACATAAAACTATGTTTGTGCGCATATCTATATCAGTACTGAATGTAAACAAAATTGTGAGAGTATATCGCGTCAAAATTCACTGTAGTGGTATTTGTCCACTTATTTTTATTTAATCTCATCAGTGTTTGTAAACTTGCCTTCTGAATGAAGACTGGGAGACGGCAGTCGTCTCGTGTCATACTAAAGAGTCACATTTCGAAATGTTTAAAAATTTAAGATTAAAGTACTTCGTTATCGTCGTATTTTCCATCGCACCCTGTGAAATGAAAAGCGAGAGAAAAGGGAAAAAGAATAACTATCCGGACAAATTGTTGTGGAAAAAGGAATATGAAGATGAACTGACTGATGCAATACTTTCAACAAGAAGGAGGGGAAATGTAACTAGAGTGGCACAGTCTACAGGGGCAACGGACAATGAAGCTGTGCTCGAGAAATTAATGGAAATTTTAACGTCCAGTGAAAAATATTTAAAAAAGGTCGACAGTATAGATTTTCGATTAAATCGATTGGATATAGAAATTCACGAGAAAACAAATAATATATTAAAACAACTAATGGAGATCATGAAATCTATTAGAGGCCAAAATTATGCAGAAAATTTGGACATAGTACTCGATTCTATGAAGACAGATGTAAATGAAATCAAATTAATGTTGGTTAATATTCATAAATTGGATAAAATTGGTAAAAATAGGAGTTTATTTTACTGCCATATTTGTTTATTATTTTATTTCTTGATTCTTATTGAAATATTTTACTTTTATGCTAGTTTATACAAAAATATGCAACTGACTTAAAAGAGATGATTCTACCTGTTTTATGTGTAAATGTTCCACATATCTTCTACAAATCTGCATTAGTTTCGATTATTCTTATGTTAGTTTCTTGTATTATTAGGGATTATTATGTGATCCTGTTTTTCGTATCCTTACATCTCTACAATGATATAAAATTTAAATACCTATTGCTTCAAAATTATCCACTATAACTCTATTTGCGCCTTAATGTTTTATCTAATTACTATGAAATTTAATATTCATATACAATATATTAAAGAGACGGATATATACTATTTTGTTCCAATAAAAGTGAAACTGAATTTAATAATAGTTAATTCAATATAACTTTTACATAGTGGACGGATCTGAATTCCATGGAAATACAGCGATAGACTTGAGACTGTCTGTTTTGGAAAACAACATAAAGAAAATAGTTACCGGCGTTGAGTCTGTCGTATCTACCATATCGCAGGTGAAAAACAGACAAACCTCTAGAACATGTTCGAGGTATGTTTTTTTTTTTATTTCCGCCTATGTTTATTCACTTGGTCGAAGCGGGTTTATTTAAAGAAGATAGTATTTCGTAGTGTGAAACCCGCATATATAACATTTAATTCGATTTCATTGCTTTGTACAAATGAGGTCGAGGGTTAATTTATCGGCTGGGTCAATTATAGTAAACGATCTGTTCAAAATTGGTTCGATTCTCGGTGTTCTGGATTGTGCGCCGTAAAACCTTGTCGCCTTCATACGCAATTAAGATACCCTAAGTTGAGGACCAAGCGATTCAAATGATTGTGTAGCACTTACTTAAATCAATATTATAAATTTTACGATTTCAAGTAGATGGAACATTTATTATAATAAACTATTGCATACCACTGTACGAAGGGATAGGTAAATCTTTCACAGGTAAAATATACTTTGTATGCGTAGTCCTTTAGAATTACCGTCTCATTGCAGTCTTGTCTCACATGCATAAGTTTATATTTTTCCCCCACGATGTAAAACAATGGAAACTTTTCTCATAACAATATTGAAACTGTGAGAAAATTCAAACTTTGATGTCAATCTCCAGATTAGTATAAATATCAAATATTTTTATGTATATAGTATATAAAGGTTATGCTTATAATTATTGTAGGCATTGTTTCGAATCTACATGGTAAAAGTAGACTTCATCAATGATTTTTTTTCAGATCAGAGTCTGGTGGAGTAATTGACACAATTAGTTTAATAAATGAATTCAGAAGAACTTTACACGAACAGAAAATGAAAAAATGCGAGTGCAAGTAAGTTTTACTTATATTTTAAACTAGGCAGCTATCCGCCCCGGCTTCACACGAGTATAATTTTTTCTACAAATTTTCATACATTTTCTTTCGTTCAAACCTTGTCTTGACAATTACAAACACAAAAAAAGACTTGGCCAAATGGGTGCAGCCCTTCTGAAATTATGCGTTTATGTACATAAAACAATTGATTTCTATTTATATAGATTTATCTAATGATAAATCTACACTCCTGGTACGGGAGTACAATAAAAACTATATTGTAGATAAGTACGATATGTAGTGTAGTGTAACAAAGGAACCAGTCGATGTTCTATTCTTGTCGAATTCTCTTGAATATTTTAAGGAGCTAAACATTCTCAAGTAGACTAGGTTTGTTTATAGAAAGCTAAGCACATTATCAACAAGTAACATGGGTGGCGGTTAATAACAGCATAGTAACTAGATTTTATTAAAAAAACATGCGTAACCGGGACGAGTTGCTAGTAATATATAATGTCATGGAACAAGTGATTAATGAGGATATGATTTATAAAATATAGGAAATTCTATTACTTTAATAGTTATTGTCACATAGCCTTTTCATATACGTCATTTTTCATAATGCCCAGGCATTATGTATAATAATGTTCAATTAGTTACTTGGTCCATAATATATATTTATGTTTACGTTTTATTCAGATCCTATTAAATGGTACTGTATAATGTCTATAAATATTTGTTTACTATCATGCTCAATTAATATACAATTATTTTAAAATGCTGTTATTGTGTAGAAGTGGTCGCGTGGATCGATCAGAACGGTACCCGACAGACTGCCACGAGATACATATGCAAGGGTTCAACGTTTCTGGTATTTATAAAGTAAAACCGGACGATATGGAGCCGTTCTACGTGTTGTGCGACCTTACCACTGCAGGAGGAGGATGGACAGTTAGTATCGTCATCATTTCAGTAGTTAACTATCCACTGCTGAGTATAAGCCTTCCTCCTAAAGAGTTTTGCCAGTAGTTTCCAGTAATAGCCACACTTCGCAGGCGGGTTAGCAACCGTAGTTAGGCTTTTAGAGATGTTTTAAAATAGACGCTGCTGCCCATTCCTCTACCATTAAGTTTCTTTAGTCGCCTCGTATGATACCCACAGAAAGTAGGAAGGTAGGGGTGGCCTATGCCGGGACCACACGGCTAACTGTTAGCATATCCAAAAAAAATTAAGTAACTTACCCACTTACCGTCGGGTGGGTTACAAGCATACGGCTTGTTTGCCATCTCAGTGGTATGAAAAAAAATTAGAAAAAAATACTGAGGTATAAAAAACGCCAAGTAAAAAAAAACTTTTTTATATGCGCACCACCTTTATTTTCATGTAGGTATAAATGTATTAAAGACTAATCAGAAGTCTGCCTACGAAAGAAACAGTGTCCTTGTATATTTATTTTTAAAACCTATAATCTATCTGTTAGAAGATATATTTTACTCATTTATTGATTTTTATTCAATATACATATTTGATTAAATCATTTAAAAATAAATAAGTAAATCATGTCGTTCATATCAAATTGTTTATAGGTTTTCCAAAACCGCTTCGACGGTTCACAAGATTTCTTCAAAGGCTGGACAGACTATAAACACGGTTTCGGCAATCTGGCTGGCGAATTTTGGCTCGGCCTAGAGAAAATTAACTATCTCACCAACCAAAAGCTGTACGAACTAAGGATCGAGATGGAGACCCAACATGGTCAGGACGCTTACGCTGGCTACTCCGTGTTTACTGTCGGGCCCGAACATGAAGCCTACAGGATTAGCACGCTTGGATCTTATTATGGAACTGCAGGTACTTATTTTTTTTTCACTAAATGCAAAAGCCTAGTCCTCAAGTTAAGACATCTTGTGTTATGAGTAAACAGGCAACGAACATCTGGAGGTACCACCCAGAACGCCCAAACTCGAACTAATTCAGAAAAGTTATTAAATACCTATATAGTTTCTAAATTTGTCCGACTCGTAACCTCATTAATACGTGTGCTACAGAACCATAGCAATATTATGGTATCGACATCTTAATAAAGAAAGTGGACCAAGTCGGTCGCTGTTATCAACGTACACATGCAGTTTTGTAGAAAGTGCAATCGGCCTGTAAAGGACCTTGCCGTTTTTCTAAATTAGTGTATCATTAATTTTAATTAATTCTGCCGTGCTACTATACTAACAACTGTTGTTTTTTTTTTATACAACTTAGAATGGCAAACAAACTGACGGCCCACTTGATGGAAAGTGGTAACCGTCGCTTATAGACATGAACAGTACCATGGACATAACAGTGTATACTGTTTCGCCCATGATACCCCCATGCGTTGCCATTCCTGAGGACTCAGGTGTTATTCTTCTGTACCCAGTAAATTCACGCCAAAATAAATAAATATATTCCTGTACACTGTATAGGTTAACAGAGACTAACAAAATTCAATATCCAACAACTAAGAACATGTTTTTCATCAAATGGATGCTAATATAGATTTTGGTGCAGGAGATTCACTCTCATATCACGCTGGACAAAAGTTTTCTACCTTGGATATAGATAATGACGAATGGAAAGATGGGTCATGTGCTATGGAGCACGGTGGAGCTTGGTGGTACAAGGAGTGCGACAAAAGGTAAAAGCATAAATACGTTAAATTATATAAACACCCCTTAGTCCAAACTTCTTATAAATTTTCGCAGGGTTGACCGGAAGACATCTCTATTTGAGACAAATCCGCTTTTACTGTGTATTTCTTTTGTGTATCAAACTACTCTCCTGTGGTATACAATAAATACCTAATAACATAACTAATAAAATAATATTGTTTCACATGTACTTGAAACTTGCACAGCTCGCAAACCGCAAGCAAATGTATATAATTGTTAATAACATTGTTATAGTAATCTTAACGGAAAGTATTCGATGTCTGCGGATGAACATCGCGGCCAATCTGTGTACTGGATATCATTCAAGGATCCAAACTCGCCACTTACTAAATCTAAGATGATGATCAGACCTCTGCCCACTAGTAAACCTATCAATTTTAATGAAAGCAACAGGGTAATGTAAAATATTTTTATTAAAATATTGTAATTAAGCTAAGATTGAAAATGATCCACGTTAGGTACAACATACAAAATAATCTGTTATTCATGTTTCCTTACTTAGTAGTTATGTGCATCTACATCAATTCTACATTATCAAATAAGAATGTCCCCGTTCTAATAGTAGTCAATTTGATTATTAAGATAAGTAAATGAAACACAAAAATTACTATTTTATATATATAATATATATATATATATATATATATATATATATATATATATATATAACTACTTTTTTATTAGGATACCAAGGTCCTTTCAGTTGGGCGTGTTATAGTACTTTCACTATAATCTTTTAATAACCTTTCCAATCAACTCTAATTCAGTCCTGGTACTAGTTTTATACATCGTTCTAAGTTCTCTTTTGGATTTTTGTACTTACAACTCATACTAAACTCAACAAAGTTCTTAGTATAAGTTGTATAAAGATTTATATTACTATTGTGTTCATTATTACATCTGTTTTGTATGAAAATTTGGTTTTCTAAAATTAGAAGCACAGTTAAATTTTATTTATTTAATATTTATTTCTTGTAAAATTTAAAAAGCATTTCTAAATCAGTAGTAATAATAGGGGCTGATCTACTCTTTCTTTTGCCTCATATTTGTTCTTTCTGCGCCTCCACTACCTCTTTTTACATTAAAATTCAACTATGTATTTTGTAACTTTAATTTGAATTATTTATAACACTTAAGAGCTCTATTGCTATGCCTATTCCTAACTTTAAATAAAAGTGAACTGATTTCTCCTGACCTTTAACTAAAAACATATAGGTTTGTAACAATGCATCATTTAGTTTTATAGATCGAAGAGGCAGAACGATTGGTCACCGAACTAAATTTATCTCTATTGTAAAACATGTTTGTGTGAGTTGAAGGAAAAAGATAATTCTTGCTTTAAAGCTTTGACTATTTTACAGCTATTATTTATGAAATCTTTACTCAAATATATTGGCAAATGAAAAAAAGCAAGTTAACATACGATCCATGAGATTTAATTTCTTTATATTAGACATTTAGGCCCATAATAATCTAATCAATGTAGTTTTAATTACGATGTAAGGATATATGTGAGGTAACCAGTAACAGTAGTATGTCCATGGTACTGCTCATGTCTATAGGCGACGGTTACCACTTTCCATCAGGTGGGCCGTCAGCTTGTTTGTCATTCTGAGTTGTATAAAAAAAAAACAAGTTACTGGCAGCACAGTCGTTAAATTTATCTGCTTCTTCTTAGAAATAAGTTTATTGTTGTTAGGCAGTTATTATGTATATAAAAAGGTAATTAAATAAAAAAAAAGTGTATCAGTCTCGTTCGTTTTATTTATTTTTAATTTTGTTGAACAGTTAAAAATTAGCATATAAATTCAGTTGAGCAAATTGTGTTGGACACAATATAAAAATTTCAATAAACTGTGTAGTCGCAAGTGCTGATTATTATTAAATTATTATTGATGATGCCAAACAGCGTCATAAACAATATTATAAATTATGAAATACAGTCTATGCTAATATTTTTCTGCAATTTTTATGAAACTTTACACAGAGTTATGACAGTTGGGACTACATAGTTCAGTGAATCGCATGGCAGTGCAAGTATTACGCAAATGTCCAAAACGCACAATTTAATGTTACATTAGCTCAAATTACTATATAAAACTTAAAATTATGTAATAATATATGTACTAACGTTACGCTCGTAGAATGTTCCATTGGGTATTAATGGAAGAAAGAAATTTTATTAAGTAAACAAAAGTTACAAATGCAATGAAACATTCAATTCTAGAAATAGCAAATTTATACTAATAACAATAACGCAATTACATATAATATTATAGATTCGAAATTATTAGCGTTGGTCATTAAAACGACACGACACGAGGTACGAGCCTCAAACAAATAGGGAATTTAAAAATATTTAAAGTTTCAAAATATCGTCCTAAAGCCTAATAGCTATCTAAACAAATTGTATGTTGGTGATTAAAAAAGAGTTCTAGATACTTAAAATAGCTTTAAATTCCCCGAACATACATACAGTATGATATCCTTACTGACCTGTTTTTGGTATCTAATTTATTAACAACCTTAATACGTATTAAATCCAATTGCCTAATATTTACAACGTTTGAGATGTATAAAAGGTTAATGTCACATAGAAAATTCTTCTAGAAAAATTACCGATTCCTAAATTTAGGACGATTGTGTTTTTATCAATTATTTCTGAGTTTTATAACCGATTAATAATAACACATCACACATATATGATATATATAGACCTAAAATTAAAGAAAATAAAATAAATGAAATGGCAAAAAGAATTAGCACCATGGATTATTTTTAGTCCAATGCTCAAATTGATGAACATAAATATCGCTAATACATCCATCATAAACGCTAACACGCTCTTTAAGTATTGATCCTTAATTAATCCAGATGAAATTTAAAACATTCTCGAATAATTAATTAACATTGCACGCAAATATCAGATTATAATGAAAATGTTATTTCGAAGAAACATCGATACATTTTTAACAATATTAAATATAATATTTACAGACTATCATAAAAGTTATTTAACAAATAAATGATAGTTAAATGAGTAGCATTTATAAATGATATTTTTAGAGAGGTTTTAAATTAGTCGCGTTTCATTATTGCTTTTCCTAAAATCACAATAAGAAATTCGAAATCTATTTTTAAAACACATTTTGTTAATGATATCTGTTTATATCCGTTTTTATTAATATTGTATGCAAGGCGAGACGATGCGATGTAAAGCACTGTACTCAGCCTGCAAGAGACTTCCAGATGAAGTCGAAACAATTATCGAAAACTACAAATATAGTATGTTCATAACATTTCTATTTATTACATACATATAATATTGAATTTATTTTAAGTACAATGAGACCAAAAAGTACCATAATTATATATTAACATAGAAAGAATATTTGTAAGTTAGAAAAAAATTATAATGCATATTATAACTGTTAATTACAAGATGTTGGTGGTTAACTGTTGGGTTTACAATTTTAGCCCGCCTTTAGTTAATTTCTATGCATCAATAATTTTATCACTAGCTAAAATAATAGTAAATATCTTTGTGTATTACCAAAATTAAAAAAAAAAAAAAACCTCTCTGTAAAAAATATTACTAACATTATGTTTCCATGTTTCAAGTAGTTCTTATTAATACTAAATAGGGTCAGAAGATAAATCGCTTTAGATAGTTCACCGGAGAGTTACCTGACGCGTACACATATCAACGGTACAAGTATATTACAAGCGCATCTTCTACATGACGCTGAATCGATACATGCGATTCGATGGAATACAAAATGAACACGATGGATGGTAAAAATAAACATATATATTTACAATTTTATTCAACTAAATATCCGCATTACGACTTTTCAATAGGAATTTAGGATAATTATTTATTGTTAGAATCATTATTGCTTCTAACAATGCTGTAATTATATATTTCATAACAAAAAACTCATTTTCGTACAGAAAATTTAACTAGATGTATTTCAAATATCATTATAAGTGTCTCAAAATATGGGCATTTTAGATTCCCTTGCCGTATAATATATGGCAATGCGTTTATTATTTATATATTAAACTTAAAATATAAATTTTAGCCATTTCTATATTAGAAATATTTTCACTAGTTGAGATTATTATCAAAATATCAACTACGCTTTCCGTAGTTCAAAACTACGCATACTCATACGTGCGTGCGTGCGTGCGTGCGTGCGTGCGTGTGAGATGGATTTCAGAAGCGTATATTTCAATTCACATATTTAAACCATACAATAATGATCATACTCATTTGGAATAATCCGTTAATGAACCTGCATAAATACTTATGATATAAATAAGAGTGTGCGACTCTGGAAATTTATCAATTATGATAACATAAAAAAATACAGGTGCGATACGTTATCAATTTATCACATTAAATAAGTATTTTCATAATAAAATATTTAGTAAGTTATTTTTCTTATACATTTGTATAATTGTATGTATGTACATATGAAAAATGTATACGAAATATATATAACTATTGAATATTGTTTCAATATAATTCAGCGTGTAGTACTACAAAACGAGATATATGAATATACCTACATTACGAGTAAGTATAATTACATTATTAGCTACGAAACAATGTATGTCTCATACTTATTTGTAATGTTTAAAAAAAAGTATCCATATCACTGTAACTCCACAAGCCGTAACACACACTGTAACCCAACCTGATTTGTCTAAGATACGTCTTATTTGACGTCAGTCTTTAAGCCAGCCAATCAAAATTCTTTTAATGAAATTCATGTTGCATATGCTGTATGCACATGGAGCATGATTTTCAATAAAACTTAGATTATATAGATAGTGTCTGCATATAAATGATTCGAAAAAAAAACAGGTTAACTTTTATATCCATGTGTACGTGAATACAACTTTTTTTAATGGGTGTAAATGAATGCGTATATTGCTAGCAATATACCCTATCAGGCTGTAAGACCCGATTACTAAAAATCCCTTTCCCGCTTCGAGAATAGTGTTACCAGAATGTATATTTATTAATCAGTAAATGGGTAAAACTATATTGTAAGGTAAAATTGAAAAATAAAAACGATCAAAATTCTTACGAATATATTTAAAAGAACAAGATAAACAGTGAGTACACAATGATTTGCAATGATGCTTATTTTTATTGATTACTTTGATTAATATTTGAATATAAACATAAAAGATATTTTCGTTTTTAAGTAATTGAAAATAGTCATCACTTTAGTCAATACATGTATATTAATTTTTTATTAATATGTACATATTTATACTAAATCAGAAAAAATTGTTCCCAATTCAAATTCAAAAATTGACTTGGTGTGGGTAATTTGTAATCTAATTACTTGCAATACTGAAAAAAGCGCGTTTTGTATCTGCGCTCCTAACAGATATGAAACGCAATAATTAGAACGCGACACTATTATAAGAAAAACGCGGAAATGTGAGCTAGATCGCTTTTATTTTAGTTGGTCGGCAATAAGTTGGCAATCAAAAGTCAAATTTAGCTGTTATAAGCTAGTGAATATTCAATTTTAAATCCTTTGTATTTTTAATACAATAGTATTGAAAGTGTGCTGAAATTGTTATATATTTTGTAAATAATGGAAACAAGCTACAAGTTATATTCTGAGTTGTCAGAGTTTATAGTCTGACAAGAAAATGTACAAGTAAGTAAGACATAATATATTCGTTTTAAAATAAGACAGCATTAATTTTATTAAATTGACTATGACGTGACTATAAAATTTGATAATAGATACCAAGCCAACAAAATACACCACTACTTAACCTAATTTTCTTGACAAATCTTGTTTACTATATTGCTATATTGCTGGTATATTGCTGGTTTTGTGGTATCTGAATTGTACAAAGCGTTAAAATGCTACAACTGTTTATCAATTTCAATTTCTACAGAAAAGTATTAGTCGTTAGTTTGAGATAGATATGAGAGGACTTTAAAAGAAGTGATTACTTTAGGTATGTGAAATTGCAAAAAATGGGGGATTGTATCCCCATTTTTATATCTTTTAAGGAGCATATTATCTAGTGTCTGGTAACACCAGAAAAATGACGCCATTCTATTGCTATTTCATGTTGTATACGCTCATAGCACTTCTATGGCATACTCTGTCTACGACGTTTTATTTTGATTTAAAAACATATGTGTCATTTATTAGCAGATTAAATTTTGACCCGTTTTTGACATTCGATGCTCTATCTATATAATCTAAGGCTACAAAATATGCAAAAATAATTTTAATAATCTCATACCGGAAGGCGTTACCTATAGTAAAACATACTTAACTTTAAAATTTATGGGTTGTTTTCCACAGACATGTGCTGAAGCGACACCATCAATTTATAATCACTTTAGGAGTGGTGGTTTCCTCTGCTGGGCCGAATTGTTAATTTTGTGATTATGTTCAATACAATTCATTCAATGCGATTTTCATAAAAAAGGCGCTTCATAATCTGACCCAACGTAAAATCATATTTGGATAGAAATAAAGAAGATTTCTATCACACACACACACATACACTTAGAAGCTAGAGGTGTGTAACAATAGAGCTTAATACTAAGTAGGCGGCACTTTCGACATATGTCCTAAGTGTTGTACAGGTGTGTTGGCACAACAGCTACGCATTATGAAATGTATTAAATTTGCGCATATATATATATATATATATATATATATATATATATATATATATATATATATATATATATATATATATATTGAACCTAAATTATTGAGACGGCGCAATTTAATCATAAATGTATAACACAACGGATTTTTTTTTTATTTAATAATAATTTGATTTATAAATATTCAGATCATGGATTTCGCTTTAATGATTTTGATGCCAATTATAAATTGCTGTTACCAAGCACAACAAATAGGTAATTTTGAAATTATAAAACAAATTAGTGAATTTATACTATTGAACGAATGCGATGATACCTCAAATATATTACCTATTTTATGTGCTGTTGTGTGAACCCACTCTGACGAAAAGACGAATGTTAATATAATGGTACAATAGTGTAATTTTACAATTATCGTAACATCTATATAGAGTATAATATTCTAAAATTAAGTATTAACGAATAAGTGATTGATTAATTATAAATCATAGCAGTTTGATATTTCGTTCACTATTTTAAAATAGCAATTGACATACATTTATTAGGGACAAAACGCAAATGTTAGTATTGTCATAATAAAAAATGTTAAGCCTTAATAAATATAGAAATTACATTTTAAAACGTGTGCACTCATATGGTTAATCAAACCTTTAAATATTATCAAATCTAATTATACTTTAGAAAGTCTCATAATTCTGCTTTCTACTGCAACAATGATAAGAGTGAAGTCTGCCAAAATAAAGACTAACAGAATAGTTGTTAACTTAAATCCGTTTACTGAAAGATTTCTTAACTTTCAATATTTCCTAATGTATGATTAGGAATTATAGTAAATAATCTATACATTTATAGTACTTAATGTCTAAAAAATTATAATATTACTCTACTGTAATATGTAATATTATTTACATATAAATTATAAGTATGTGAACACTGAAGTAAGGTTAATTTCCCATTTGTTATCTTCGCCCCTCTTAAATGGATATTCTTATAGTAACTCTGTAAATAACACAATCAATCATTAAAACTACGGAATAGAAACAAAGTTTTCTTTTATAATAACATTATCGCCTATCAACTCCGAATTAATTATTAATATATAATTATTATTTATTCCTAAGTTCATCAGTTATGTAATGCCTATAGTACAAGGTCTGCTTAGTTGATAACATTGAAGTTATATTGTCAAGAAGAATCAATAATATATACCTCAGTCATGGTCATGAGTCATCTGCTCGCTCTCTGGTCGAAGTGAGTCTATGCAAGCAACGATCTTGAGCGCCGGCCCGAGCTTCATCGCGAGGGCCATCACTAAATGCTCAGGTTTGATTAACAATAATGCCTCTCCATCCACTTCCTGCATCAGGAACTCGTCTGCGTAACCGGCGCAGCCGGGAATGCTGCGGATGAAGTCGCACACCTCTGCCACCTACACATAAATGATAACTGTTAATCTTTTGATAGTTTTATATATTATTAGACTTGTTGAAAGTTGTAGAGCAGTTACCGTACGTCTACCGCTTCATCCAAATTGACAAATTTATATTTTACATATACATTTAATGCTTCTAATCACAACACACGATTTTATAATTTAAGATTGTGCTCCATAAAAATAAAACCGACTTGAGTCGTGAACAAATCAATTATTTTTTTCAACTTTCAACTTTACTGAAATATGGCAAAGTTGTAATTATCTGACAAGTTTTAAAAATAATTTAACCTTTTTTGATCGTATAAAAAAGAAATTCGGCCTCAATTGTGACAAAACAAAAAAAAGTTATTTTGATTTAAAAACTAAATTATTGAACGGATTTTGATAAAATTTCCTTAAAAATTTTATAAACTCTTATGTTAATGTAGTAGGCAGTTAAATAAATAAAACAAGAAAAAAAATCTCAATTGGATTATGACGGTGCACACGAACACTAAAATATTTGTTTAATAAATCCTAGGATTGATAAGAGTCTATGACCAGACCAGATGTTTCTATTTGAAATAGAAATGTTTAGGAACGGAGAGAATTTCGATGTACCTATGCACTCAATGAATTTGGTTTATGAAAAAAAAAATAAAAACATTTAGGCAAAGGAAGCACTTGACGTACCGTCCACTTATTTACGTTGGGTATCTTCGGCTGCGAGGCGGAGTCTCCATCAGTAGCGGTATCAGCTGGTTCTGCATTGGCGGCGCTCACAGCTGGATTCCCAGACTCACCATTGCCTTCCACACTTGAACTAATTCGGGGTAGACTTACACCCGAATCTAACTTTTGCTTCTTTCCTGTATCAAAGGAATAATTTTAGAAAAAAAGAAAACTATTATACTGTAAAATATTTAATAGAATGTGGTAACAATGTCAACATACGGGTTGATGTCCGATAAATTAAGTCAATTAATCGAATATTATTAGAGATCATTAGATGAAATATATCACTATAATATATCGGATAATCACTGACCAGCCCTGCAGGCACACCGGCTAATCACTGACTAACTAACTCAATAGTCAACGAACAGCAACGTAGAGAGCGTTACAATGTATTCGAAACGTCCATGATGCTATTTTTGACTATTAAGCGAGGGTTACCATTCACCAAGAGGAAAGTCGTTGGCTTGTTCGACACTTGAAGTCATATAAAGGAGAGATTGAATATATTGAAGTATGTAAGTAATTATATATATATAATAAATATAAGTAATTACGTGAAGGTTCATCTGCGGATGGTAGTTTATTTTCCTTATCCTGCTCTTTGTCACCAGCCGACCATTCCCGTAAAGGACGAGTAACCTAAAATAAATAATGACATTCATTGATATATTATCACTTTAAAGCCAGCTCACATTTACAATTTTTACACAATTTATTTGAAATAGTAAAGTTTTCTTATTAAGAAATGCAAGTCTTCCACATATCTCTGAAAAATCAGTCTTGATGCATCTAAAAAAAAACATGCGGTGCACGTGTATCATTCGCACCTTTTTTGAAAGTACTAAAAAATAAAAACAAATATTGACGACAACATCATTCAACTGTTAGAAAACTATTTTTTTCTGGTTTTTCGAACCGAAAAAACATATTATTATATAAGTATATACAGGGTACAAGGGACAGATTGGCGAAAACGAAAACAGCTTATCCAGATAAATGGTCTGAATCCGATGGCAGATTATTTTCGGAAATGCACACAAGCGTGTGTGTGGAAATCCACACGACGCGTGATACCAACGCGCGCTCAATGGCCATTCTTCGCCTTCTTCGTAGGCAGTTTTCATACGCTTGGGGCGTTGACCTTACACAGTTGATTCCGCGTGTAGCAGTAAGATTTTAATATGTGTATTATATTGTTGTTTTTTTAGTATTTCATTATAAAATAATATCATTTCTTTATATTATGACATAATATTAAAAGTTACATGATTTTAAATGAAAGAAAATTAAAAAAAAAAATCCGGAAAGAATTTCCACTGGTTTTGAGTTCAGAACAACGGTCTGAATTCACTGTTTTAGTGTTTGCCAACTTGCCCCTTACAGCCTGTATATACATATATATTCGAATTATTCTATATATTCTATATATATATATACACATACTATTAAACCACATATACTCACGGCAAATGGTTCGCTTGCTTCTTGTATCACGTATCCCTCTATAACGTGGGTCAGTATATTCGGCTTCACCATGGCTTTAGGTAGGCCTTTGTCTGTACAAATACGTTTTATATTTTCAAAACAATACATCATTACCTTATTATGTTAAAATTCACGATAAAAACAACATTATTTTACTAGTTATATTATAGAGTCTAGTTATACATTAAACAGGCTGGTGGCCGTGTCCCGGCTAAGAATAGGCCATTCCTTCCTTTCCTGTGGGTGTCCTAAGAGACGACTAAGGGAAGGCGAGGGATGGACAGCAGTTTTTTTCTTAAAATATCTCTTAAGCCTAATTGCGGTTGCCAATTTGCTTGCCGAGCGTGGCAATTACTGGCAAAACCTCGTAAGGAGGAGGCTTATGTTTAGATTTATTTGTTTGTTTAGACAGTCTGTGTTAACACATATCAAAACTCACCATGCGCGGCTGTTTGGTTGATGTGTCTGGGCGTGCATTGAGTGCTCTTGAATAGTGCCGAAGTGCCTCCTGAGGAGACGGGCGCAGTAATAGCAGCTGTCATAGTGGCAGAAGATGACGTCGATGAGGCTACAGTTGTGACCACCTGGTAAATGGAAATTAATAAATATATTCTAATGTACTTCTGGCAATTTAGAAAGTTTCTAATGACTTTTAATTTTTTATTAATATTGAAAATCCATTATCTAAATAAACTAAATAAATAATAATTTTTTTTTTATTCAAGAAAGATATAGTTGCATAAGGTACAATTTACAATTTATATTCAACGAGGAAATATCTGCATTACCATCAGTCCCTAAACTAGGCTAGACCTGTATCTTGGGGACTATGAGTGCGATTACCTATTTAGTACACTTTATTTACAAAATAAATAAATAAATAAAAATAACTGATAGATTAAATCATATTAAGCTATCCTGAAAAAGCTAAAAGCATAGATAAAACGAGTCAGTTTATTGTGACGTAATCTAAACCTGTCAAGTTTTAAAATACTTGTAATAGGTCCCTTTGTTTTGAGGACTGTGATAAAGCAATAGGGGGCCAAAAACGTTTCCACATTTACCTGCGGTGCGACCGGCGTAGTTTGCTGGGCACTGCTCGGTACTGGCGCCGTAGATGTGGGCACTGTGGCCGCCACCGATGTTGGAGTTGCCTCGCTCGGTGCACTCACCATGGATTCCGTCTTAGTGAGACTTGCTTTTGACGAATCCACTGGTGCGGGCGGACCTGTATATGTAAATTTACCATGAATTCTCTCGAGAGATAAAAAGAATTACAAATACACGAAATATATACATACATATATAATATATAACAAATGATTTAAAATAATTCATATAGAACACTCTACATGTTTTTTTATCCTACCATTAAATTCAGCAAACAGTAACATTCGGGAAGAAAGGTAATTTTTTTATACCACAAAGGTGGCAAACAAGCTCACAGCCCGTCTAAAGGTAAACGATCACTGTGGCCTACGGACGTCTGCAACACTAGGGGTATCTCGTGCGCGTTGCCGACCCTGAAGAAACTATATATTATACTTAACTTTTGTAACAAATTTAGTTCACAGTATGGTATGTGAGGCTTACCGAAAGCGGATGTACTGGTAGATATAGTGGCGTCAACAGTGGTAGATGTACTGACTGTGGTCGCCGTCGTGAGAGATGTAGTTGTGCTGAAGGAAGGTGTGCTCGCTGCCGGCGGTTCAGTGGTTGCGTCCTGTGTGATCATGGGCTGGGGCGCGATTTGTTGAACAACTGGTGCCTGCTGGTGTGATACTTTCATTAGCCTATTTAAAATGATCAATCAAAAATTGTATAGTAACTCAATAAATAGATTCTATTCATGGATTCCTCACTGACTAATTCACTTCGATATTCCTTGTTCGATGGTTTTTTTTTTTTTTACATCCAACATGGTAACACATCTACGAGTACCTTGCCTTGCTAAGTCAGTTATCAGAGATTTTGGTAACTTGCAACATTGATGACAAACCCAAAAATTAGGGGGGAAGGGATTGTTAATAATGGGGTCTAACTGCTCCATTGCTAGCAATATACCCTATCAGATTGACCTCTACGTGGTTCCCTCTGGAAAATATCGTTGTTAATTCTAGTGCAATTCGTCACGATAGGCGAACTAACCTGACAGCCTACCATGAAATGTTTTCCGAAATTTCGGAGCCAAACGAAAATTTGATGTTAATATTACATAATACATGCCGTTTGGAAATATTAAAAATATTAAAATATTGTTCCTTTTGACTTTTATGATAGGGTGTATGACGAACGAAATGTTAAACTCCATTAATTGGTCCGATTTTGGTATAAACAAAAATACGAAATTGAGTCTGAAATTTCGGAATTCCATTTCATGGTAGACCCGCTGCTTTCATCGTTACCTATCATCCCTCACTGGTGCCCCGCCAGCGCATACCGATAGCGCGGGCAGTGTGATCATTTCATTATCATCCATTAAAAAAAAAAAACAGAAATTTCACTGCCGTATCTGACAGAAATCGAAACAAAGCGTGCAAGTAACGACTTGACGGCAGAAAGAAGCAAAAGGGTACGCGAGCAGATGATTTTGTATATCTGCATTACAATGATTGGTAAAATAATATATATATTAAAAAAAAATTGCGTTTTGTATGAAACACTAGTGGACAACAACTCATGGAACTTAACAGAAAGTTACAATATTGCCATTCTTTTTGAAAAAACGATTCAGTAAAGAACATATGTTTAAAAAATATAAATAATATTAATACTTTACATCACTTACAGGTGGTGGCATTTGCTGCCCTTTGTCATCATCGCTCTTGACGTGTGCTACTAAAGTTGTAGAGGGTTGAAGTGGCAACACGGATCCTTGTACGGGCGCGGCAATTAGACCCACGGTACCCTGCGCCGCTTGCAATGTCAACTGCGGCGAGCTTAAGTTATTTGCTGAGACCTAGTTTATTATAAAAAACATCCATATAAATAAATGCTCTAAGATTTTTAAATCAAATGTTTAAAACTTTTTTAAATGTATTACACACATACATTTATACGTTTATTATTATCTATCTTTAACAAATCTTACTACAATAAATTACGGTCACAACTCTACTCTGCTGATTTCTTGTCTAATTGATATTCACTGATAAATATTGAAATTTGCATTGTTATTATGTATACTGTACATAGATGACATTGATTTTATTGTTCTGAATAAATTACAGTATTATTATAAAAAAGAAATATTTGATTGACTGTCTGTTTATTTGTAGTAGATATTCTGAAAAACACCTCAACCGATCTTACTAATTCTTTCACCTATAGAACATTAAAACATTGTCAGCTATTCGCTGATATACTCTATATATTATTATTAAAAATGTTATCTACAAACTAATACAAATGTATCTTTTACATTCTTCCTCAATAATAATAATCTTTTAATGAGGGATATGAAACTAACTTATATTGCAGTCTTTAATTTATTTAGTTACAGTTAAGTTTACAGTTAAGGCAAATGCACATGCGTTACTAAATATTTCACCCAATTGTATTGAAATCTCATGCATTTATAAAAACAAAACATTCTCCAAACATATGATCACATAATAAAAAAAAAAAACAATCACCATGCATCCATACGATTAGAAAAAAACCAGTGGCATGGCCATAAAATTAATATTTCAATTACAGGGTATGTAGAACTCTTTGCTATGGCATCAGTACAAATGTTAACATCCGGTAACAAATTGGAAACAATTGACACCAGAAGACACCACCAATAGTAGCAGTACAGGTAATTTTTGTGTTGTATGATAAAAAAAATCTAGCCTAGCACCATTTTATCACCCTAATATTAGATACATTCCCGTGAGTTATCACAGTTAGCAAATGATTTCATTTCTAAATATAGATACTCAACTTTGTCGAAGTATATTGGACCTTTGTTAAAATTGTTCAATTTAGTAGTTTACTGTCAATCAGTTAAACTTACAAGCGAACTAATTCATTTTATAAATATATATAAAGTAAGACAATAACGATATTGAAACAAAAACACTAAGTGTTGCTTCATCAAATGCTCGTGTTAACATGCATGGCAATCGGTATTTCTTTTTTTAATAAACAAATTATTTTAAGTATGGATGTAATCAGAATTAAAAAGGTCACGTAATAAAACAGAACAATTTAAATCAAAACTTTGGTTCAATGCAAGAATGTAGGAGGCCAATGACTCGGCAAGAATATTGACAGAACCATGCTCTTTTACACAAACTGGAGATTTAGACGAAGAAACGGCATTAGTTCTCTCGGCTTAAATCCACCAATCGCTTGAAAATTCGAATATTTATAAAAAAGAAAACACATATTTTAATACTAGTAATTCGAGATTACGGATTTGTATATGATAACGCACAATATGCACGTGTATCCGTCGTGATGATGGGCAGGATAGTATGAGCACATATTATTTTCTAATAATGCTATAATATAAAAGACATGCATTTTAAGGTTTTATATTTACATAGAACGCAATTAACATAATAAGACCCATCGTTTACTTTTGTTTTAATGGAATAACAATAAATAAAAATATTAAGGGAGACCATGCAATATTAGTAATATATTCAGACTCTACAATAAACAGAATATCAGAACATTAATACATAACTAATTTACATATAAAATATATGTCAAATATACCTATAATAAAGCTAATATGTTACTCGAGGTCGGTAATGAATATAGGATTTTACTCCTATTACTAATTCCTCCTGAATCCTAGAAATAATATTCGTGTAAACCATACAGATATAATAAGATAATAAGAAATAATATTCGTATAAACCATACACAACAATACACAAACCTATTGAGCCATTGAAATGTTACGTCTCCTTTTACCAAATTTCTTAAAGAGGAAAAAGTGATGGAAGGAATTATTAAAACAGGTCTATTGAACATTCCGTTTCATGATTATATGGTTATTAAGTAAATTTATCGTTATTGTATATAATATATATATATATATATATAACCACAGATGCAGTGAAATAATTAGTTAAAATATTTATTTACAATATAGAAAGATATATAAATAGTTGGGAAAATAAAGTTTTTATTATTATATTAACAAAGAATCACAAGTATATACATATTCCTTTATTAGGATGTACGCTATTGGGATTTTACCTTTCTGCCAATTTGTAAGGGATAGGATATTATTTTCTTTTGGAATAAATGTTATTTTTGGATTTAAGGCGTATGTATATAAAAATGAAATAATATTTTCTAAAGTATTTGGCTATAAGTCTCTATTTTGGCATTAAGAGATTAAAAAAAAATAAACCTGTTCCTGTCATCACATTTCATTACAGACCACAAGTATGTAGCATTTTTTCAATTAATTTTTAATCAAAATACGAATACTAGTTTAATGTTCATTACTTGTGAATACGTTTGTCACTTTCAAGTTATTATTTTATTTTACTTACAGCAACGAACAGATGGAGTAATTTGAAGACAGATATTTTTCAAGCGGTTTTTAAAAGTCAAAATAGTGTGCACCAGTGGATGTTATAACAATGAATGAACATATTTAATTATAAGAACTGTTTTTTGCAGTTTATAGTCATCGAGCGTTAAGTAATATAATAATTACATGACACTTCATTAAATTCACCCGAGGCTATAAATAACATTCTGGAACATAACCCTACCCTACACAATACGGAGTTTAGTATCATCTAATTGTCAGGTAAACTTAGTTACTAAAAAGGAAATTGGTATTAAAGCTTTATACCATTATAATTCACACTTGGAACTTAATATTGGATGGATGTTATACAAAACATCACGTTTCTGTATTCATAAATACGGAAAGGGATGTTTTAGTTCTTGTATTTATAAATACAAATACGTGATGTTTATTAAAATCATACAGCAGTATTTATTACTCTTAACATGAAGGAAGTAAATTCCATACTTATTATGTGGCATTTAATTAGATTTACTTGAGATAATAACATTGTGGAGCACAAACCTAAATAACAACTATAAATTATGTATTTTTTAGTATCACATCTATTATTACAGTGTGGTTGTAATTAATATTTAAGTACTATTAAGTAGTAATATTTAAGAATACTTATAATTAAAGATTGTATACCATGGAAAAAATCGACTTCAGTTGCAGTAAAACCAGTTATTTTGATCTAAAAAAATAAACTACTGAACCCATTTTGATAAAGTGACTATGGAACCAATCTGTACTTTTCAGATAAAAAAAATTATTTTTCAAATTGGTTTATAACTGACTGAGATAACAAAGAGAATAAAAATACAACTGAATTGAGAACATTTTTATTAAAGTTGGTTACGGAGTTTAAGTTCCCTTTGTTTAACAGTAATAAATATAGCTCTGTATGCTTTCAGTAAACATCACGTTTCTGTATTCATAAATACGGAAAGGGATGTTTTAGTTCTTGTATTTATAAATACAAAAACGTGATGTTTACTAAAATCGTACAGTAGTATTTTTTACTCCTAACATGAAGGAAGTAAATTCAATACCCATTACGTGGTACTTAATTAAACAACCCGAGATAAAAAAATAACAATCTGAAGCACAACTCTAAACAATACGGAGTTCACTTTCTTTTAAGTAAAAAAAAATGTGATCAAAATCACGTTTATGTATTATAAATACAAAAATGTAAACATCTCGTTTTCGTATTAAGTACAAGAAAGTGTTGTTAAATAAAATAATCTTCGGTATAAAGTTTCATATAATATTTGATTATAATTATATAAAATTTTAATGCCATCCTAATTCATTTTATTCCATTTTAATCCTTTAAAACAGGTATCATAAAATATTATTCTGAAACTCCTGTTTTACTGAGCCTATTGAAAATATATGTACCTTTGTATGTGTTGTTTATGTATATACTCATCCCCTTTAAGGGGATATAATATTACACATATACGTTATTATAATAATAGAATTTAATATAATTAATAATAATAGAATTGTTTGTGACGCTCTGTTGAAAGGTTACGTCAAAACCGACGGAGTGAGCGCGATTAACAATGTGATAGAGAAAAGTATAATTATGAGGACGTTTTACATGCAATGAAGACATTTAAGTATTTTATAATTTTTTTTTTTTTAAATAATTTCATACTACTAAGACATGAAATTCTCTTTTTTCGTAATATATTTGTCTAATACTACGTACCTATACCTGTTGTAGGGAATACAGATAGTTTGATAACACATTATATATACGTGCATTATTTTTAATTTTGTATTATTATTATTTTGAATTTTTGTATTATTATATGTTGAATTTTAACTAGATATTATTTACTATTAATTAGGTTTAGTAGTGTTTATTATCTTTAGCTATACACTTTTTACTCTCAAACATTATTCAGCTTCGCAAAGATTGACTGTAAGAAATCCCTCTATGAGATAAGTGCACCATTGTATTGTGCATTATTATTGTAACATATTGTGTGTTATCTTTTTAAGTGCTCAATGTAAATTAAATACAATAAAGATTTTACAACAACAACTATATTTATAGCAGCCAATGAAAATATATATATTTCTTTTTACCCAACGATTAAAAGACAGTAGTTATCTAGCATTAAGTAATATAACAATTACGTGATACTTAATTAGTGTTACTGGAGGCTATAAATAACATTCTGGAGGGCAAACCTAAACAATATGCGATTCCTGGTTATAGGAATAAATATAGCCCTGTATGCTTTTAGTATAAACATTATGTTTTTGAGTTTGTAAATATAAAAACAAACTTTCGTATTTATCGATACACAAACGTGATGTTTAGTAAAATAAGCTTCCTGTGTTAAGTACGTTTCATATATTAAGCCATATTTGAAAAAAAAAAAACTATAATACTAGAGAATAGCCAAGTTTGAATACAAATATCACCCTTACCGTGCTATTCTAATGAATGTAACATAAACGACCTATAAAAACTCCGTATCACGATTCGTTTTTATCTCTGATTTATAGACGGGACTAAGACTGCCATTATCTTGAAAGTGACAAATCAGACTAAAATTACAATTGAAAGAATGCTGTTGTTTAAGCGTATTCTACCTCGTGGTGTAGTATCGCCGGCGAGACCTGTACGAGGGGCGCCGACAGCAGCGAAGCACCCTCGAGCGCGAGCCCCGGCTGCCAACGTTACTACCACTCAGCTCGATATCCGACAATACTCATATATATATAATGTTCATACTATATTCTCATATAGTGATAGAAAGCAATTAAATATTTTTAATATAATAATATGATTCATATATAATAGTCTTTATATTTATGCACAACACAATGTATATTTGATGATTCGTAATCCACGTCACATTTAAGGATTCAAGTTCTGTAATAATATAGTTTTAGCTAATGTTTTTGTAAAGTATAAATGAGCGATTACACAGAATTCAAATAACACCTCCGTGTGCTTATTTGAATTCTGTGTAATATGTTTAGAAAAATATCAATTACTTTATGACGTGAATAAAACTGGATATTAATTATATCTCGAGTCATCAACAAGGATAATTTACAATTTATATTATATGTTTAATAATATATACTATCTGGTAAAGTTGTATATAGGAAGAATAATGTAAAGCCGCCACCGCCCTGGCATGGCAAAGAAGCAACGACGATGAAATATAATGTTTTTTGCCATATTAGTGCGGTAACTTTTCATTTAACCTCATGTATTGCATACTCTAAATGTATTACAGTACAAAATACTAAATGCACACACTCGCAGATTATCACTCTATTGTAAGTAACACGCACACTCTGTATTAGTCCACTCAAAAGCATTTTAAAGAAGAAAGTATAAGCTCTTGGCGAATATACTACTCGGTCATACAAATTATTGTGTTATACTATATATTCTAAGTTGTTTTATTCTGTCAATATATTGTACATGAAATGAAATAATTTATAGAGGAGATGTGGACGACTTTTTAAACTGTAAGTAATATAATATTAAATCATCCAAAATAACTTACAGTTTGCATAGGAGTGGTATGGTTTAGCGTTGACTGTTGTTGCACTGCCATGCCCACTGAAGTCTGCACCAAACCACTTCCGACCAGCGTCTAAGGCAATAGAAAAATTAAAAAAAAAAAGTTCTTTATTGAAGGATAACATTAATTTGAAGATTGAGTTATTCCACATTAATTTATAAACTAATATACAACGTAACATTAATGTTTTTTGTTTCATTATTAAGATTATAGGTTTAAGTGTTTAATCATACCTGCGGTTGCTGTTGTAATGTTTGTACTTGAGTTAAGGGCGCATTTTGTGGCTGTTGTGCAGTATTTATTTGACCCACAAGGGTACCCGGCTGCGCCATACCTCCAAGCTGTATGCACGAGAAAAAATATAATCTATAAAAATTTATAGAGAGCGTTTATTTATTGAGAAGTCAACGTCTCTTACAAACTACTGTTAATAACACTAAATAATTTTTCAGTCTGTTTGCTATCATCAATTCAGAAACTTTAATTTGCAGGTTTCTTACTGATTTATTCATAAAAATTATATCAACCAATTACAAACGCTCTATAAAAAAATAAAGGAGATATATTAACTCGTTATAATCAATCATAAATCCGTAAGTCAAAATTTTTATTCATTAACACTCTATAATAAACCAATAAGGAGAAAACATCACATAACGGTACAATAGTTATAACTGGCTTATGTCTATATATAATCTTAATGCAAAAATAATGTAGTATTTCATGATACTAAGTACAAAATTCTTCATTTTTATAAAATATTATACGTTCTATATGAATCCAGTGAAAATTTACAACATGAAAAATTTATATAATACAACATGAACGAACATCCTAAAAATGAGTTCACTCAGTATTCTTTAACTTTTATTTTTTTATTAATTGATCAATCATCCAAGTGCATTTTAATATTGAAAGAATCTTTAGTATAATTTTCTAATCGAAAACATATTACAATAATAGTGAATGTTTTTTTTATTAGAATTGTGTAAATTCACGTAATTTATACAACAGCTGATCTATAAGTACATTAGACAATGTTATATTTTCAACATAATAAGGTAAACCTGGAATATACCTACTTCACTTATGGACTTATTAAGCGTTTATTAATAACACGCGATTTTAAATATTCGACACTCTTGTTTGATGTGTTAGACAAAGAAGTTTGTAATCCTAAAATAAGTTTTTTATGGATGAGACGGCGTGTTTATAAATTTATATGAAGAGAGTGTCAGTGCTACTGATAGAATATAGTATCGTGTGTAAACAAGGCACTCACCGGATGAATTTGCTGCACCATCGATATGGTCTGCGGCATACCAGTCATCGGCAAAGATTGAGCCACCGAGCCTACTGGTAGTGTACCCTGCTGCATACCCAACGCCATGCCTAAACATAAATAATAATAAATTTAAAAACCACTCTTACAACATAACTTTATATCAGTCATTAGTAATTGAGTTGATATGAAGATGAATCAACAGAGTGTTGCACTTGACTCTAATAACCATCATACCCGTGGTATGAAATATGATAGGGATAAGTGGAGTAAGACATTATTATTTGCACATCGACACTTTCAAACCAACTCAATATCAATATAGTATAATGTTACTAGTGCCATGTTATACTAATTACTCAATTTACCCTGTTGATAGTGTTGAACAATTTGTTGTGTTTGTTGTTGTTGTTGATGTAGCAGTTGTTGCTGCTGTTGTTGTTGTTGCTGTTGCTGTTGTTGTTGCTGTTGTTGCTGCTGTTGCTGTTGTTGCTTAAAACATAAAATATCATGAATTTTTTTATATCAAGAAGGTGGCAAACAAGTAAACAGTGCGTCTAATGGTAAACCGTTACTGTAATCTATGAACACCTGCAACACTAAGGGTGTCACGAGCGCGTTGCCGATCCTGAAGAAACCTTAACCCCATACTGTAACCTCTAGAGAAAACCCTTGCAAAGAACTCATTTCACAGCCTGAACATTCGCGGGAGAAAACTCCTTTGACACCGCATTGTACGAGACCATTTAAGTTAAAGTCTATCTATCTATCCATTTAAGAGCTGCGCTCTTGTCGGTGGAGCTCTTGCCACTCACTACGATTTTCAGCGAGTCTCTTCACCTCTTGATACGACACGACACCAACTCCTTCCTTGAACTGCCTGATGTAACTATGTCTCGGTCTCCCTCTCCCCCTTCTTCCTTCTATCTTACCTTCTATTATAATGTTCATAAGTTCGTCGTGTCGTATCAAGTGTCCTAACATTTTTTCCCTTTCGTGTGAGGATAAATTCCCAGTCGATGGCGAGCGGTGCGATGATAAAAGGTAGCTATGGGTATCATTTTAAACAATTCCTCAGAAAGCAATCCATTATACAATCAGTCGAACACACAAAGGGAGGCTAAGGCTCGCCTTAGACTTTCGATACCGCCTGTGAACTTGGGATCGTCGATTATTCTCAAAGCTCATCTTTAAATCGAGTCAAGACGGCCAAGCTGGTATCCAGAAGCTCCAAATTCAAACAAAAATAAAAAATACTTGAATTTTTTACCTTACGTCGATATCTCTCTAGAGACAGACTTTGTACAAAAATCGATTGATTGTTTGGTGTCCCATTCGTGTTCCAACCGTAAAGCAGTTGTGTTTGCATGGCTATGTTTTAGTTTAAAGGGTGGGATATGACGTGAATTTACTAGGTACGGAGGAATAACACCTGAGTCCTCAGGAATGGCAACGCAAGGGGGATATCATGAGCGAAATAGTATACTCTGTTATGTCCATGGTACTGCTCATGTCTATAAGTGACGGTTACCACTTTCCATTAGGTGGGTCGTCAGCTTGTTTGCCATTCTAAGTTGTATAAAAAAAATAACTACAAACTAAACTTCTATCATGGAGTGATTTATTTCAGTGACTATTTCATGGTATAAGTGAGCTGTTTACAAATTCGAATACTAAGTAAAAATTTAAAAAATGTACGTTACACCAGTCAGAATACCGCAATACAAATGAGCCATATTAGTGCAAATAGTTACGTAATAACTTGATATAAAAGTACCTGCATAGCCTGTTGCTGCAACATCGCCTGTTGTTGTAAACTCTTGTTAATAGGCTGCTTATCCTGAACACTTGTGATCATCTGCCCCGATGCATTCATCACCAACAATCTGTACAAAATTAATAATTATAATGTATGACACCAAACTTAAGTACACAATTATACAATATATTGCATTGACATGTAGAAAGCATTTATGGGTAAATATTAATATTAAAAGACAGCTTGTACCTAAACTAGGCCGAGCCTGTATCTTAGATACCAGTCAGTCCCATAAACTTAGGCGGTACAGACAAAAATTATGTAATATTTCAGTTATGTAAGTAATTCTGTACTCAATATCCATACATAAAAATAAGTAACTTGCGAACATTTGATTGACAAATGTTTTCGTGGCTCATTCATATGTTCTCAAATAAGTGATCCTTATAAAGGATTGGTCCAATGTAGTTATTGCCACTTAAGCAAAACCAAATCTATTGAGTATTTAAAGCAATGTCTTACAACTTTTACTCATACAGTTAGTTAAATATACAAATATATATTACTGTTGTTTAGGTTGCTGCATCTGATGCTGCATTTTATTGGTCTGGTTGGCGGCATCTTGTTTTGATGTGGGAGCAGGCGACCGTACTCCCGGCTTTCCGCGATGTTTCGCCTGCAGGTTGCATAGTGATTATTAAAATACGATGATTAGAATAAGATCAAAATGAAAAAAAGGCTCACTTTCCGTGATATTGTGATATTTTAGTTATCAAAATAATTCAAAAATTTTGCAATTGTACAAACATAAATAATTTCCCGTGAATTTTCTAGATAACAGATGGCTAGTGGAGGTCAGTGTCTATCCTATTCCTATGCTTATATCGGTCGCATTGTACAAGAAGCAAGACAATGAAATTTTTACTTCTTATCTAATTTTTACCTTTTCTACAATGAATCAAGATATATATCATTATCATCATATCAGTCGTTAACTGGCCACTGCTGAACACAAGCCTGCCCTATATGGGCCAGTATTTGCCACGCTTGACAGGCAGGTTAGTAAGCGCACTTAGGCTTTGGTGATGTTTAAGAAGGATGCTGCTATCCATCTCTCGACCACTTCAGACTCAGAATAAGTTTCCTTAGTCGCCTCCTACGACATCCACGGGAAAGGAAGAGGTGGCCCATTCAATATATATCTTACGGTAGCGTTGTACCACTTTACGTTGCATTTGAGTTAAATTTCAAATACAGAAAAAGTTTCTACTACACAGTTTTACATATGTTCATAACTTATTTATTGTATTACTAACTATGCGTAGCCTACCGATATATTAAAAACAAAATACAATAGAATGCCTGATTAAAGTAATATTAAAATTGTAGAAGTCTAAAACATACCTGATTTTGAGCTTGGTTCGCACTGGTCTGCGTAGAAACAGAAGAAGCTGGCCTTATCCCACCGGAGGGTAGAATGTTAGAAAGCGGCCGGGGTGGCTTCGCCATTCCATCTGTGGAAGCTCTAGGCTTCGTAACCGTGCCCGTAGCACATGCCACACTGGCACCTGTAAAGAAATCCTTACATTATTACAACAGCACCCATAAATTTATTACTAGCATACAAGATATTATAAAATATTTAAAAGTCATAAATAATGAAGAAAATATTTTTTTTTTATAAAAATGATAAATAAACTGAGTAATATATATAATAGTATATAAATTAGACATAAATACAGTATATACGTTATACATATTCTTAATTAGAATAAACTATAAAAATTGTGGAAAAAAAAATTGCTCAAGATTTCGCTTATGCAAAAAAATATATAAGAAATCGCTCTGCAAAATTAACAAATAAGTTATTAAAAAGTAGAGAAATCTTAACTTACACCTATTACAATATAACGTAAATTGAAGATACTAACTGTTATGCTGAAGATTGTTCTGAGGAGAATGCTGGATGAACATGGAAGGTTGAGCATCGGGCTGCGTGCCCCTTATGAAGATAGGATTGGGTGCGATGAGACCGCCTGCAGGCAATGTCCCAGTCTGCAGCCCGCCTGTCCAGACCTGCGGTAATGCCCCCGAAATCTGCCACGGAGCAAACTGCATCGTCTGACCGCCAGTCTGAGATGAAAATATCAATATTAAAACTCATAGATATTATAATATGACCCCAATTTAATGTAACAACACGAGTTTTTAATAAAATTTAACTCAAATAACACTACATGCATTGTCTGAGTTAATTTTATTTATAAGGTGAGACTGGTAGTTCTATTTATGTGTTCTATTTATAATAACACGACGACCTCGATAGTATAGCGGTTTAAGACGCTGCCTCACCTTCCGATAGTCGTGGATTCGAATTTGCACAATACAAACATTTGTATGACATGAGTACGTATGTTCGATTTTTTGTTTATAGATTTGGAAAGCATTCCATGTATAATATGTCAACTCAGCACAAGCTTCATTTAATTTGAGTCTAGAAAGCTTTAAGCCCAGGAATAAAAGTTCGACAAAGTGAAAATTTGGACGGCTTGAGAATAAAAATAAGAAGCCAACTTTCTTGTCGTAAATTGTGCACGTCTTCTGCCTCTGTCTTGGTTTTATTTTTTGGTCTTGTTATAAACAATTAGTTCTTGTCTATCAAATGTTTTAACAATTAGCTAGAAAATCGGTAAGAAAGTAGTATTTATGTATTATTATAAATATCAAATTCATTCACAAATATGCTCTAAAAGTTAATTACAGACTAATCTCTGCATAAAATGGACAGTAATGTAAGAAGAAATAATCCACTTATTATTGTGCGATTAAAAATTTGGAGCAGGCTTTGAACTAGCAGCTTTTATGTTATGCTAGGGCTAGTGCTCTTTCCAGTTGAATTGAACTAAACTGACTAATTAAAAATTGTTCAGTGGTTCGTTTGATGGTGAAAGTATCGACGATCTATGTAGTGTCCAAGTAGAATCGCCAAATGTAATGACTTATAATTCCGAAAAGTATACAAAGTTAAATGGTAGCTTGTAGCAATGATACTATACATATGATAGTTATAATGCAGTATTATTTTATTTTTTAAATTTTATAAAATATTTATATTGCCCATTAATCTTGTATGTTATAAACATTTCACGAATGAAAACATTAATATAATCGAGTATAATATTGGTTGTATGCAAGAACAGTAGTCTCTAGCAATCGGTTCTCTCTGCCTAGCCCGCAAGGGAATTAGTTTGAAGTTACATGCGTATTTTATTTATAAATATAATTTAGAATACCTAATGACATGCTGAAGTGGACCATAATGAAATTGAATCTTATTAAAAGGAAATTGTAAAAACTACTTGATTTCATAATAAAATTTAATTGTCTGTAACTCAGTCAACAAGATGATGACATAATAATATTAACTCTGAAACCCTACACTATTTGGTGTACTAATTATTCGTAGTACATATTACGTAGAATATTTATTATGTTTAATTCATTGGTTTAATATTATCTTCTTTTTTTTTTGTTTTGTAAATACAATTGCTTGTCAATAAAGCTCTTTTTCTTTCTTCTGCTCCTGCATAGAATATACCTATACTAAAATAACTATAATTTATACATATAATAAAACTGTAGAGACCGAATGTGTGTACATAGAAAAAAAAACACTAAAAACTGAGTCAGCCAAACTTTTTTTTTTCAAATCTCTGAAACTGTAGGAACGATTTTAATTAAATTTTAACCTTAGGTACCCAGTCTCACATTTTAGATACTTTTAATTCCGGGAAATTAAAAAGTTCCCGTGTGATGGTTAAAAAACTATAGTACCTTATACAGCTTAGTACACGACCTACTTAAAGTCATTTTGACCTGAGGCAAAAAGTGAGAAGAGACACGTTATTTGTTAATTTTGGTTCAGTATTACATCGATACATACTAAACAGGAATAACAAATACCAGGCGGTTGGGGGAAAGGGATTGTTAGCAATAGAGTTTGACAACCCCATTGCTAGCAATATGCTCTATCAGGTTGACCTCCACGTGGTTCCCCCTGGAAACCATCGTGAACAATTCTTTTTGAATTCGTCACGGTGGGCTAACTGACCTGCTTCATCCTCATCTATCATCCTTCACTGGTGCCCTGCCAGTGTATGCCGATAACGCAGGCGGGGTTACTATTTCATTATCACCCATAAAAAAAAAATAAAAAAAAAATACCAGGCGGTTTGGGGGGAAAGGGATTGTTAGTAATAGAGACTGAGAATCTCATTGCTAGCAATATACCCAATCAGGTCGACTTCCTCGCGGTTGTCCCTGGAAAATATCATGGTTAACTCCTGATGAATTCATCGTTATGGGCTAACTGGCCTGTTTTCATTCTCATCTATCACCCTTCACTGGTGCTCCGCCAGCGTATCCCGTTAGAGCAGGTGGGGTTACCATACCAATTTAACCCATAAATAAAAACCACGCGGACAAAGTCACTAGTCATTAGATAGTTTATTGTATAAAACCAATTATTGAAGCAATTTTTTTTAATACGAAATAACATTAAATAGAAAATAGAAATAAAAGAAAGAAAGAAAGAAATAATTTAATTGTAAGAAAGTGTTACTTTCTTTCAAATAATGTAATATTTATAAATATTCTATACAAAGATTGACCCCACAAAAAATACCCACTTCAATTGAGACAAAACCAGTTATTTTGTTCTAAAAAGTACTAAACAGATTTTGATAGAATTTCTATAGGACCAATCTGTAAGTATATACGTATGTATATCCTTTTAGGTAAAAAAAGAATTTTCTAAATCGGTTTATACTGCCGGAGTTATGAAGTAACAAACATAAAAAAATATAACTCAGAACCTTCTTCTTTTTGAAGTCGTTGTAAAATATACATATGTAGGTTTTAGTTTTTATGAATAAGGAAATATAAGTGAAAATCATTTATTCTCCTATTTCTTTATTAAGTAGAAGTTAAATGAAACAAATAATAAAATATCTAAATCCCCCTAACTCGACCTTCAACATGTGTAATCTGAAATAAAGTTTTGAATAAGATCTGTTGTTAATTTGTCATTTAATTGCCAGTATTAGCAAATTTGTATCATTTTAATGAAGTTATAAATGTTTTAAAGACAGATAAAAGATCTTTTCACATTCATAACTTGCGTCAGTTTCTACATAGGATAAAAAAAAACCTTTTTAATATGTTGTATAGTTTTGAAATAATTCATCAAAAATCTTATTTCATCAAAATTTTTATTTAATATTTATAACCCACTTCATTCATAGGTGGACATTTCTTGCAGTCAGTCAACTCAATAAATAAATATACCAAGTTTGAATTTTGCAACAACTTCATCCGTTTCTGCCTTATATCCCCATTAGTTTAATTGACCTATCTAATAATCGTTTAATGTTATAGTTATAATAACTTGTGTAATTCAATTACAAGAAATTCACATACTTAATATTGGGAATGTTCCGATACATAAAGAAAAGGAATACTTACGCTATTCCTACACTGAGGTACTAACGCACCCTATAGTGATTATTATTTAAATATACCAAAATTCGAATTTGAAGATTAACCACCACAAACGGAGAAACTTAAAAAAAATAAACTGCCTTAGGATGCCTCAGCACCCCACCCCGTTATTAATCTTATAGTTAATAATTTAATAAAAATAGAACACATATTAATAAGCAGTCGCTTCGCCTTATAAGAGATATTCGCAACACGCACACATTTGATTTTTAATTCAATTAGCAATTACGTTAGTAAGTCATTAAATTATACTAAGATATCAATAATATATCTAAGATATCATATTCAATATTTTGTTATTTATTTATATATTTCTTATAATACCTACATATATACTAATGTATACAATCTATGGTCTTGTTGTGTTGATAGACAAATAATGCTTATACGATTAGTGATTTGTATGTACGAGGTCTGTTCAAAAAATACGTGATGAACAAAAATATACTGTATTTAGAAGTTGCGTGTCTGGGTCTCCTTCAAAGTATACTCTTGCCTGATGTACACAAATCCTGATGGTGTTTCTAGTTTTAGAAATAGTCCTGGGATTGCTTCTTTAAGATATCCTTCAGGTTTTTCGTCACATGTACCTCAATCTCAGGAATCATCTCAAATTATCTTTCCCAAAGGTTTTTCGAGTTAGAACAGCAACAAGAAATCAAAAGAGCGAGGTCAGATGAGTACGGTTTGTGGGGAAGGATTGTTAAGGAAGAACAGTGATCATGTTTGGCCAAAAACTTGCAAGCTCTGAAGAAGTGAACGGAATAAATTTCGAATTTCTCGATCAAAATTTCATCAACTTCTCTGACCTCTCTAATATTCAGATGCCTAAGTTGCCTGAATTAAGGTATTGATTTTGTTAACGTGAGAGTCGTCGCTTGAAGTGGAATGACGTCCAAGATCCTTATAGTGTTCAATCTTTACTTAAAACATGCAGCACACATCGTAGCAACTTCACCGCACGCCATATTGAACATATACAAATTTTCAATCACACATTTTTCAACTTTAACACAAAAATATTACAGCAACTCATTGCTGGTTTAAGTCATTCATTCCTAAATCCGCCAAATGAACAACATACACTTCACAAAGAACCGCAGCTAATCGATCAATAATTATATTTACAATCCAAAAACTGCCTTGTAATCAACTGATCTGTACGACGAAGGCAACACTAAGCAGATTTCTCTGAACCAATCGGGCCCTTACAATTCATACAGTTATGTATTTTTTTTAACAGATCTCGTATATGTATAGTAAACATTATATTCAATTGTTTAAAATAATATAATTTGTTTTATACATGTGTGTGTGCGTGTGTGTGTTTGTGTATATCGAACAACACGACAAACAAAACAATAAACAAACAAACCTGTAGTGGGCTAATGATTTGGGCTTGTGCAGGTTGTTGAGCACTGAGCACTGGCTGGGAAACTTGTACACACTGCGCCTGCACCGGTACAGTCTGCGCGCTGCCTCCATTGCCGGTCCCCACTTTACTGCCAGTCACTTTGCCGCCACTCATCACCTACAGATATTGCAGAGTTAATATTAACAAATGCATCATACTATAAAACATTATATTAATTCCAGTAAAAGTCGTAATTTAAAAACGTTTTATTTCTTATTTTAACAATTACTAACTAGTAATCGTATATAATTTAACTGATCCGCAGAAGTAAAGCTGCTATAAGTGCAATTATAATGGAAATATTCCTGAATAGGAAATTCAGCACTTTAAATCTGAGAGTATTTTTTCCGACACAATAACGAGGCATGATTAAAGAATATTTCCATTTAACAAAATTTTATATGCTTTTGTATTATAATACTAGCTCTTTGCCCGCTATTTGCACGTATGGATTTCAGAAGTAAGAAAATCAATGAAATAGAGGTCTTCTAGTTGACATATAAAAATGAAACATATGCCGGATTTTAAGTTACACCTTCAGAAATACATCTGTGAAAATTGTATTCAAATTGATGCAATAGCTTTTGCTTGATCCCGGAACATTGAAATGAAATTTTGTCTGTATGTTATAGACAAAATTAAAAAAAAATATTGTTTTGGTTTCTATTGCCATTATTAAGTAAGATCCGTCATATTAATTTTTCCTAAATATCTCCTATGTACAAAGATCGTCTAGTTACAATTTTATAGATAACATTATTTATGTTTAATTAATGTCTACGAGTATGTATGTATTAAATAGGAGCCCTATTAAAAAAATATTTAAATAAATAAACATACCTTATGCATCTCTGCCGGTTTCTGCTGCTGTCCTATTCCAGAAACGGTGGGCTGCGAATGTGCGGGCAGAATGCTAGGCTGCGAATTGATCACGCCCAGTGGACTGAAGACGAACGTTTGGTTCTGCGTAGTCGGTATCGCTGGGATCGTCGTATATCCGGGAAACGGAGCTGTTGTTTGGTAATATATTGTGTATATAATTATACCACATCAAGCAATTTTCCTTTTTACCTCTCAGGTATTTCTAACGATTCACAAGCGTGTAATTCGGCCAGAACATTAATAAAGTAACTGGCTACTGTTTTATGTTTTTAGAACTTAAATTTGATTTATAAGATAGTAAGCTCACTTTTAATGATGGTGTATTGATAATGAACCTCCCCTACTTACACTCTCTCATTTTAATATTACAAAATTTCAAAACCAAATTCAATGTTGTTTTAATAGTATATTAATAAAATTAATCTTAAATATATTCTTTTTATTACTATAATTATTATTGACCAATATAGATTTACATAATATTGTCATTAAAATAATAACAAATAGCCAATTACTTTGTATTTTAACAAAATCAAATCGAAAATTATTATTCTAGTAAGTTTCCTCTAAAAGCACTGAACGATCTTTAGGGTTAAGAGAGAATAAATGATTGAAACACGCTTCTAAATCGCCGGAGTATAAGTGCGGTATAAATACCTCATGCATTAAACCAAAAATACACTTCAAAGTATCAACTTTCGTTTACCACAATGTTTCATTTTAATTTTACATTTGTTCTGAACACATATATAAATTACCAATAAGGATGAATTCGAATAGAAAATGAATGTATTACAATTTATTTAAAATTTGTTTTTTAGTACTTTTATGACTTATATATACAGAATAAAAAAAATTATATGCTCACGCCTGTAATCCCTTAAAGGGTAATCAAAGGCTTATGTCGACTGTTACCGTTGTGGTGAATGTAACATAAATAACCTAATGTGCCTTCAAACTCGTGCACATAAACAGTATAATATTACTTATAAATTTATATTTATAGATTTTATAGATTTCAGTCTTTGACCACCTAATTTGAAAAATTTAAAGAAAAATAATGTTATCCTGTTAACTTGTGGTTAAAAGGAATAGTGACTATTACAGTATTCCAGATGTTGACAAATCATCAAACCACTATCAACTGTTACGTGCGACGATATAACTGTAAATGCGTCAAAAGCTGAAACAATAACAAGCTGCACTTGCAATGGATAATGTGAAAAATGATACTTTTAAAAAGCTTATACGCTTGCTGCGACTTATATTTATACAAATATATCTAAAGATTTCGAAAAAGCTTCAAATGAATCCCAGAAGATGTGCCAATTAAATATACATTTAAATAAAGTAAAAAACAAAATTTATTCCCCAAAAACAAAGTCACATTCACGTAATCCAATCACGAGACTCGTAACAAATATAATAATTCAGTCTTAAAAATGTATAAACCTTGCTCCTGATATGTAGTGAGACCTGTAAAATTTACTGAAAAACTAAATAGTGTTGAAGTTCGTAGCCCTTATTCCACTGATTATTGGTTGTTGTTTTGCTTTAAATTTTAAAAATAAATTGTTTTAAATTTTAAGCTTTAAATTATTGTGATCTGATATAGTGACAAAATCAAGTGCTGATTTATATTAAATTGTTATAGTGCTAATAGTGATTAATATTATGGTGATAATGTAATTAGTTTACAGTGGTTTATATTTGAAATTGCTGCTATAATTTCTTACAAAATCTCAAGTAAAAGCTTCTATATGTATACCAAAATAACATGGTGATATAAAAATATTTTATTTACATAAAAATTATTAATTGCATATATAGGAATCATTTTCATATGAAACATACGTGAATATGACAATATGATGATTATGATGCTTGTCTTTGGATCTAAGATAGACAATGAGGAGAGGCAAAAGAAACAGTTACGACATTTCATTTAAAACAAAATATTTAAAGCTCTTTAAGGCTTTATCAGTTGAAAAAACCACAGACAATATTTTATGCTGTCGAAAATGTTTAATAGAAGAAGTGTTGTGTAGATGTTTAAATATATAATCATTAAAATAGGTAGGACATGGTTGGAGAGCTATTAGAATATTATAAAATATGAACAAAGCTTAATAGCACTTCAATTATTGCCATCATAAATATTTTTGTACTATACCACGTATATATGATAATTTTCATACGTAAAGAAATGAGTAGCAGGTTCAACTTTAATAAGTTACCTGATTCCCTTATTACGTTATACCATTTTGAAAACCCAGTCGCGATATCAATCCCTAAATATATCATGGGTCTTCGTGTCTATACATGTACTCACTTCGAAACTTTAGAAGAGAGCAGGATGGCTCACTACTACATAATTTATATTTAAATAAAATTTCGTAGTCTAATCTCTGTACAATTTGTTAATAAGAAACAAATAAGTTAAGAAACAAAGACTAAGATAAATCATAACGGTAGTTTGATATATTAAGAATACTAGGAGTATTTTTAACTTGTAGACAATTCCAAGGAGTATAACTAAATAAATTAACTTACCAGCTTGCCCTTGGAGTACTTGTTTACCCTGAGTTGTGAGCATATGAGGTGCAAGTTGATTGCTTTGAAATGGTTTGCCGGCAGCGATAACCTGTGATATGAAAAATAAATAAATATATTTATCTTTTTAGACCCACAATGAATTTACAATATAAAGGAAAAGTTTTATATTGGCCAAATAATTGTACAGTATCTCAATACCTTAGAAAAATATGAGTATTATCTGACTAACATATATTAGAAGTTTGATGCAAAATACTTTAGACTATTTTTTTTTATTTATAATTTTAAATCTTCATATGTCGTAGCCGAAACCAAAGCAAAACAAATTGTGATATTCCATCATGTTTGACTTTCAGATTGGACAATAAAAGAATGAAAGAAAATGTTGAAATCTGAATTTACTTTGATCCAGAAAACAAGGCCAAATTATGAGAAATTATTAGAAATTAAAATTAATATACGTTTATTCTTGTTACATTAACATTAAACATAAAGCCAGATTAATTTTACTGCAAGTAAAAAGTGAGTTACTAGTGAGTTAAAGTAACCAACTTAGTGTTAATAAACACGGAATAATAAATGAGTAAGTTAGATCACCGTTACTTTCAGAGTAAAAATTAATTTAGCGATAGAATGAGGGTGAAATTTCGAAGCATCCATTACTGTTATTTTATGGTTCGGTCTCATAATTAGCTGTCATTATTCACTACGTAGGTACTTTTTATTGTTTGCTGTTTTATTATTGTTAAAGTTAAAAAAAAATGCCTAAATATTATTACAATGATTTAAGGCTGATATAAGAAAATAAATGAGGTTTGGAACCTACTACACTGATAAAATTGGGGTTTTATAACGTAACGTGAGAATAAGAAATATTTAGTACTCAGAATTGATAACCGATGGCGAAGAAAGGCACTCTAGTAGCGACCCCGTGAAGGCAAACGCAGTGTATCCTGTAGGACGACCGCCACTAGAGAAAGTGATGACCTTCAATGTATTACGTGGAATCAGTGAATGTAGAACAATGACCAACTGAAATTATGATGAATTAAGAAGAATTTCTCGAAATTTCGATAGGAATAATAAAAATAGGAAGTAAAAGTTATAGAAGTTATGTATTGGGGACAAGTATACGAACGCCGCGACAACAACTCCGCTGCGAGCTTGTATATCGTGAACTAATTATCATAGGACAATAAATAAGGTTTTATTTTAAAGGTAAATGCAACTAGACTAGATTAATTGTCACTTTGATGTTTTATTACAACAACGACCGTTTTCAGAAAAATGAGAGAAACTGCAAATAAAAAAAAAGAATATTTATGCATTTTGGGCAGTCATATCTCATAACACATTAGTACTATTCAAATAAATGATATGTAAATGTTGTAAAGAATTTAGTGAAGATTATATTTGTCTTTGACAGTTTTATCTCCAATATTTTTGAAGAAAAATAAATCACAGTTAGGGATATGTTTATAAGTAGAAGGGAGCTGAGGGGATGGTACTGGCAAGAATCTTATTCATCAGGGTCAAATTACCCTAAAAAAAAATGCAAACAGTGTCACAAAATACCGTTAGAAGTAAAAAAATTTTAGATTTTTCCACTAGTATTTAATATAAACTTTAACTCAAAGTTGTAACTTGTCATTGTCAGAACAGCTTCTGATTATTAGGGATGACCATGAATAGCGCATTAATCCTAGAGTAAGGACTGTATTGTTATTCCGAGGTTACTTTATGTTTATTAATAATACTGTCAAAACTAAGTTACATGGTTAATCTAGTATTCACTGATCCAAATGTAAGCTCGAATTAGAATAGAAACATCATGTTTTTATTAATAAGAAAATTAGGGATTAACTTTTTTACAGTAGTATACAACAATTGGATTGGAAAAGTTTTAATACTTTATTTGCGAAAATTACGTTGTTTAATTAACGAATGATCTACATGTGCATTTAAGTTAAATTCTAGACCTGTATTTGTTGTGAGTTGATCCCAGGATGAAGCGGCATCAGAAGCGGACCTTGAGCATTGTAAAGCTGTTGCAGGTATGTGTTGTTTTGTAACGGCTGCTGGATCACTTGGACTCGACTGTGGCCCCATTCCGTACTGCCAAAAAATATCAATAAATCAGATATATTCACATTATAAGGGGGTGATTTCATTTTAATAATAAAGATCATTCCCTAATAACGCTTTGTCAAATTATTGAAATTTAACTTTCGTCCTTCTATCTTGCTGTTACGCTTATTTTTCTTCAGTCAATGCAATTTAAAGGTACCATTTGTGCCAGGAATTTGTGAAGTGTTTTAGGAAGCAGACAGCTTAAACAATTGCATAAGACAGGAAAAGATACTTCATTTTAGGAGCCCTAAAAGATCTAATTTTAGGCTACCTACTAAATAAAAAAAAATACTCGATTTCAACTACTATTATTTAATATATAGTTTACGTTTTTTTTTTAAATTCTATATTTTCTGTATTTAGGACCAGTCAATCAATATTATAACTACTTACATTTCTTTGATAAAGCAGCAACACATGTTATTTTATTCCAGTTTAAAGGGTTAAGATACCCAATAGAATTACAGGTACAAGAGGCATAAAACCTTAAGGGGATAAAAGGTCAGGCAAGACACAAAAAAATATACTTTTGTGATATATTTAAATTATTTTTTTACACTATTTTGAATTATTCAGAATTAGCATATAAATTTAACGAGATAAAACATGTCCGTTTTGGTCATCAACTCTGTGTTGGCATACGATAAAGTAAAAGAAGTATTGAAAGGGGAGCCACTTAAAATGTTTCCACAAACTGATAAAATAAAGAAATCAGTCCGTTGACTGGTGATAGCCTTCTTATGATAAAATCTTATCAATACATATATGTAAAATAGCAATAAGTACAATGTTATTAGGTAGCTATCCTTTGAAGGCCTCTTATACAAAGAGAAAATATTAATGTTGAAGCGCAGGTATTCAAGTTATCTCTCAAACAGAGATAATTATAAAAACAATAAACATGCTGACTATTGCACATCGAGATGTGGTTATTGGATACATGATACATACCTACATTGTCGACTGTCACAGTTCTGGTAAATGTGACATTCGACTTGAGGACATTTCGCCGTATTTATCGAAATCCAACATAGTAAAGACGAGCCCCGCATTCTCTTTCAAATTAATTTACTGTACACACGATGTCAACATCACACAGAAACACAAATTTATATGAAATCACCAAAAAGCAAAAGACTAATTATTCAATCAATCACGACATATTTCCTAACAATTTAGTTAATAGAAAAACAGGTTGTGATGACTGTACTGTGGTTGCTGCTTCACTTACATAAAAATGGTCCGTAGTAATTTTCATTCTCGCTAGATATAGTGTTATAAGTGATGTGTTTTGGTTTGAAAAGTAGAGACAATGAAATCACAAAATACAGAAGCATACCACTTTTGTCCTCGGGTATGATAAGAGTGACACAGTATATTCTGTTATGGTCATGGTACAATTTGCTAATGGTGTCAATTTGCAAAGAGAGAGAGCCATACACTTTTAAAGACCTTTAAAACCGTATCATTTTTTATTTTTTATTTATGTTGTTATGATGTTAAACACAATTATTCTATTTTATTAGACCTAAATATTATATAGACTTCATATATTTATGTTAAAAATTTAATGATAGTTCTCTATATCACTAACATAGTAATAGTTGGTAATGACTATTTTAAGAGTTCACACAATAACCAAAAATTTAAAATTAATTTTTAAATTTCGAAAGAATAACAGTCGAATATCTTTTCCATTTTATTTTTTTCCATATCAAATCGGTCGATAGAATATACAACTCGAAAGAATCTTGCAAACTCCGTTCATCGTGTGAATATTTTGAACTGTCATCAAAAACAGTAAAGCAGGAGTTATCTTACTATTCACAAGGAAACAACCCACACGTTGTCGTTCGTTTCACAGCAATATGCTGGCGAACGTGCCCAGGTAATTCAAAACCGTACACGGAAAAACAGAATTGGATATTTTCTAATTAAAGATAATGTATGATAATAATATACCTAACGATGTAACAAAACTATCACTGTACCAGTAAACAATTATAAGATCGTAAAAAAAGGAAGCTTTTAGTGGTCGTACCTAATTTGTTGTGGGTGTTGAGCGGTCGGTGGTAGACTTTGCAATGGTGGCATGGTGGAAATGCCAGCGCCTGCTTGCTGCTGGATGCCGGCAGCGGTCGGCTGTTGTTGTTGTACCTAAAATAATAATAGTAATAAAACTCAGTACACCTATATTCGAGATAATTTGGAAAAGTTCATTTCCTAAATTACTCCGACCGGGAATCGAATGCGGAGTCTCATATACGCAAAGCAACCTGTCCGTTACTGCTCACTTTAAGGTTGTCAAAAGAAACAATAGATGCCATTTATATTATTGCTGCTTACAATGATTCTTTATTCGTATAGTACATACGAGTATATACATATTTGTTACGGGACAATTTTAGGGAGCTAATTACAAAAATGTGATCGTGAGTCGACGATGATCATAAATCATTGGCATCTTATTTAAAAAAAATACAAAAAGTTATTAATTTAGGATATTATATAATTTAGAACAAAAAGATATTATTAAGGAGCATCAACGAATAAAAAGTATGACAATAACTGATTATGAAAACAAATTGTAATTAATAAATTTTAGTAACAATTCCCATTAAACGTCATGAGAATGGAATGTTAAGCCCGCCTGAGCTATGGGTATATGCTGACGGGGCACCAGTAAGAGATAACAGGTGAGGATGAAAACACGTCACATAGCCATCGTGACGAATTCCACAAGAATTGATCACGATAGTTTCCAGGGGGAACCGCGTAGAGATCGACCTGATAGAGTATATTACTAGCAATGAGGCTGTTTTATTTTTCATGGATAAAAATGGAATGGTAACCCCACCCGCGCTATCGGTATACACCGGCGGGGCACCAGTGAAGGATGATAGATGAGGATGAAGTAGGTCAGTTAGCCCATCGTGACGAATTCAACAAGAATTGTTCACGATTGTTTCCAGGGGGAACCACGTGGAGGTCGTCCTAATAGGGCATATTGCTAACAATGGGGCTGTCAAACTCCATTGCTAACAATCTCTTTCCCCCGGCTGACTCTTAGACCTCATTACTAATAATCCCTTTCCCTCTGTAGTATCAGTATTAGATCGAAATACATGTCTATCCTTACCAATATAGTAAATGTGAAAGTGAGCTTGTTTGTTACCCTTTAGTGCTTTAACGGCTTAACCAATCACTATGCAATTTAGTATACACATATTATATGGGACAAGAAGGATATATGCTACTTTTTATCGCGGCCAGTAAACATATCCAAGTAAAGCGAGCGAAGTCGCGGGTAAAAGATAATATATAATATGCTTTACTTACGTTTGTCTATGCCTATACTTTCTTATATTGCTTTCTTTTCTACCTACACACTAGCATACGAACGAATAATTGTCTTTTTAAAATACGTAATAGGAGTGATATCGTAATGCCAAAAAATATTGCGAAATTTAATATACCCGATAAAATATCACCGAATTCATTTGATCAAGTAAGGACAAAGGATAGATTAGATATTTACTATTATTTTACTACGATGCCGTTCACTTCTAAGACAGAACGTAATATTGGATTATATCTATTTTCACTTTAAAATTTTATTAATAACAAGATTAAATTCTGAGTAATTTTTAGTAAATGCGTTGCCCAAATATCTAAATCCATTTTTCTAATCGGTCAATTTCTGATAAACGAATGTAAACAAGCAAGGTGAAGTGGCAATGGGCTGGTCACATAGCCGGACAACCGATGCGAAAAAAAGGTTAAATAGATAAGAGAATATCTCTGAAGTTACATACGACTAAATTATTTTATTATTATTATATTATTTATAATATATAATTCCTTAATATTAGGGGAGACTGGTGCCTAAGATTTTTATTTTATTCATTTATTTATTCATTAAAAATAATTATAACATTATAATAGCAAAAGCCAAATCAATGTAATAAATCTAGTGTGCTAATATACAAAGTTATAGTAAATGTATTTTACCTAAATATATCAATGATTATAATATTATTTAATAACCGTACTGCGTGAGTTAAAGGAGCGTGCTGAAGTAGGTTAGTTCTTATTGGTGGGACATTAAACGTAACAGGATGACAGCGCGCGCAAACATAACCATTCGGTACTCGCTGTTGGACTGTCTCTAGCACTTGTGGGTGATGCACCCATCCGCGTAACACATTCACAATGCCATTATCCTTTAGATATAAAAATCGAGTGATTTTATTTTGTATTTTTTTCTATCATCACATTATATTTAGTCTCATAGGGATTCCATATAATCGCATTCGTTTCGGTTTGACTGCGTACGAGCGCCTTATATAAAACTTTAATTACCGCTGTATTATTAAAATAATTAGATTTAAAATTAGTGACTGTTAAACCTAATTATTATTATTATATTAATAATTATTATTATAACTATTAATATAATAATAGCTAATTTAGACCATTTTTACGGAACTGAAAAACTAATGACGTTTTATAAAAATAAGCGAGCGCCTCTTTCGGATCTTGTATTTTATATAATGCATCCTAGTCTGTAGAGGCAAAATTATCATACAACTCCAATAAATTTGTCTTATTAAAATTCCATTTTAATTTCTCTTTTGTGACATTATCCCTATGTTGGAAATGTTGGGATAATTGTTGTTCAATCATAGCGGACGCACGTCGCCTTGTTATGTCAGTTGACGAGGGGGGATGATGTACATCTATATCCACTAATTGCTCCTCAGACAGTTGTACCTCTAAGTCATTTACCGATAACGTAGTTAACACTTAGTCCAAAGTACGGTTATTAATATTATAAACATCATTTACCTGCCGAAATCCACAGAAATTATAGACATATTCATAATAATTTTGCACTTCCAATGTGGTAGAAGACATATTAAAACCACCTATAACTTTATAATACTTAACACAAAGAATATTAAATAAACGCATATATTCCTTTATATCACATTTAGAAGGTATTTAAAAAAACACAACATAAAAGGAGGTAGTTATTTCGAAGGTGTACGGTTGCACAGGTTATTTCAAATAAGGCCGAGTCCACATCATCTATTGTAACGTGATTTAATTCTATGCGAGATGATGAAGCTAACAACACGCCTCCTTGTTTACGCCCATCCATTCGATTACAACGTAGTATAGAAAATTCAGGGGGTAATATTTTCCCATCATGTATCAAATTATTAAGACCCGTTTCTGTAATAGCAAATAAGTCATAATTTGAAGTCGATATATTATTGTAGAATGTTTTCAATTTTGTTCGAAGTCCACGAACATTTTGATAAAAGACTTGAATTATGTCATCAGTTTTTATCACTGATTTTTGCTACTTTACGGGAGTTTTGAAACCACACCCATTCATTAAATTGGGCATTCAGAGGCCAACTATTCTCGTTATTTAATTTATCGAATTGTGACTCCGGGACACCAATCATACATGCTCAACAATTGCTTCTACCGAGGTATCAGGATGAAGCGACCATACATGCAGGAATTTCTTTTTTTCTATTGCTCGAAATGCAGAAATATGTACATTACTTCCTTTCAGTACTGGTGAATCTTCCTATTTCCCTTATTAGTGGTGTACGGTTCTTGATACACATTGCTATTAGATTTCCCTTTAACTGGTATGTTTGAATCCTTCGCGAGATTTGCCCGCTTTCGCTTATGTAATGTAATTACACGCTTAGAAGATCGCTCAGTTGCTCGGCGGGCGCGCTCCATCACATCGGTTTGCGATAAGGCAGCAACCTCCGTAACTACTTCGTTCTCATTCGCCCGTTCCAAACAAACCGTTTCAACTGGGTCTTCTACCACACTCTTTGCCAAAGACGTCAATGTTTCTATATTATCAATTTTAGCAAATATTTTTTGAATTACCTGCATTCATTACATTCATTAATTATAGTGAAACAACTTTTTTTTATACAACTTAGAATGGCAAACAAGCTGACGACCCACCTAATGGAAAATGGTAACCGTCGCCTATAGACATGAGCAGTACCATGGACATAACAGAGTATACTGTTTCGCCCATGATACCCCCCATGCGTTGCCATTCCTGAGGACTCAGGTGTTATTCCTCTGTACCTAGTAAATTCACGCCATATCCCACCCTTCAAACCGAAACACAGCCATGCAAACACAACTGCTTCACGGTTGAAACACAAATGGGACAGAGGTACCCAAGCAATCGACTTTTGTACAAAGTCTCCCCGTGGTATCTCTCTCAACAACTATCTAATGACCGTTGTTGATCTTCGATTTTCTTACTTTGTGCTTCAATTTGTGATGTTTGCAGCGTAATTTTTTATGTTAAAGTCGCCACTTTCTTTAGCAAATCACCAAAAGCGAACTCAATGTTAAATTTCGACACATTTACTGCTAAACAGAATAAAATCACGGAGACAACTGTTCGCGTGTCAGGGGGTAGACACAGACTGTAAATAAGAGATAGACAGACTACAATAAGATATAGACTACCGCTTAGTTTAGACTCTAAATTTCCCAGTTACAATATTTTTGTGTAAAAGTAAATATTCTGTACACTTTCTGTAATTTGTAGAGATGAAATAAACTTTATAGTTATTATTGACACTATCTATTATTTTTTATTACCTATTTAATGTAATAAATAATCTATTTCTTAAAGCTGCAGAGTATTAGTTAAGTTTGGGATTCATCTTTTTCATACGTTAGAACACAGTTATATATACTACAGTAGGTTTAAATAGACCTTAACAAAAATGTAAACAGTTTTGTTTAAATTATTGTATTTTTTAAATGAAATAAGTAACAAATCGAGATATTTAAATAATAAATCGATTCATTAATTGAATCAAAATTAAATAAGTACTTTACATGAATCGATAGAAGATAATAACAATATAAAGAATACGACTGTTCACTCGCACCGCCACATTTTTCAAACTTTTAGCATTTTTATTTCCGTCGTAACCTCTATACGAAAGGTCCGATTCGAATGAATAATTTACATATACATAATCAACCTTGATAATAAAATTAATATCATGATACGAATGTCTGAATCTTTCAATTGTATCGGTATTTTGATCGATTAATTTGAATAAAAAAACATTTATTTTGACTTAACAATAATAGTTAGATATCTAGTTTCGTAAAATTTCATAAGCAATGATGAGTACTATATACATATAGTACATTATTTTATACTAAATAAATACTTTTATCGGCAAATTTTCAATGCCTTTTTATGTAATCCACATAATTGTAATTTTCGTAGGGATCTATAATTTTTTCAACATAATATATCAATATTACTCGCTGATAGTAATAACTTTCTATAAGTGAGTTTTTAGTATTTTTCAAATTAGTTAAGTATTTACTGAGTTTATCCATTACAAACAAACAAACACTCAATATTTCCTATTTATAATATTCAGACAAACCTGGTGCTGTGCCATGCTACTCGGCATAGATGACACGACGGTGACTGTTTGGTGATGCTGCTGACCAGGCTCGTGCTGCGCCATACTCATCTGTTGTTGTACCACTTGTGTTTGTCCGTCCACTATCTACACAAAACAGAAACATTACTCATGATTTTTTATCTTTCAATTCGATACTATTACGTTATTTCTTAAGCTAACAAAATCATAAGACTTTTGATAATAATAAATACAAATGTATTTATTAAAAACGAAGAAATTAAAAACTATAGATATACATTTTAATTATGTATATAGGTATATTTATCGTCATAAACTGATTAGATAAATATAGATACAAAAATAATATTATACTTTAAATTAGAAAAATTTAAACAATATATACTACATCTGTATTGCTATACTCAGTGTGCTATATGCAAGTGCCACGGCAGTTTCAGATCAATAGTGACAAAACACAAAATTATTACTTCTACTTGTGTTGTAAGGATTAAAACACAATCTACCAAGGTGAAAAATTATGAGACAGTGTTTTATTAATTCATTCTAAATATTCACTCAAACTAACTTTCGTCTTTTCATTGATCATTAAGAAATATACTCAACAAATGTTCTTTGTAAACCGTAATAACTTATGTATGGTATTGTATATTTCCACAAACAACTTTACGCGTAAAATGTAAGGAAATTAAATACGTTATTACCCAATGTTATTATTAGGCAGAATGAATCCACAAAAGCAACGTAGACCAAATCAATCAAAACCGAATCGGTGGTTGAATACGTTCGATCGCCAGTGAATGTGCTCAAACAATGCATATACGCCACAAGATCCAATGACAGGATCCAGTGGCCGTTTCATTACAAAACTGCTGATTAACGACTAGTTAATGCAGTAGGGTTCAGTAAGATAACGTTTAAAGGATGAACAGGAGCGACGAAATATTATTAAAAAATGAAAATAAAAACGTACTTAGTTGACATTCGAAATAGTGATTTTTAAATGGATTTTTGCATACATATTTATTAGGATAGCTCATCGAAGATTAGATTGCTGTTTATCACAGTTAATCAAGGATTTGAATGAATCACCTTAATGTGGTCACATCAAATCCTGTCTTCTTTTTAAATATTATTTTATTTTAATGATATTTTTACTGAAATAATAAACGATAATAGTGAGAATATGTGCATTTTTCATAAATTTCAATTGTCATTATGAATTAACGCACAACGAATATTACAAGCATTTTATACTGTTTACACTGTAATGTAGTATTAACTTTATGCGGTAAAATGATTTTACCTTTTCTCTTTCAGGCCTGCAATTTTAGATTATTGATAATATTCATTCAATATTTAATAGTATTAAACGGATAACGGTCATTTATTGTGAATTTATAAAAATCTTCTTTTTAATAATGAAAACTGCTAAAACTTTAGATTCTAATAGGTTATGAAAATTAAAGACAATATTTAAATGTTGCTGAATAATTATAATGGAGACTACTAGAGATACCCAAATGGACTATATACAAATCAAGGCAAGTTGGCCGCCTCACACCACACCTACACCCCCTGGCAGATCACAGTTGCAGTATACTCGCTTAATGTTTCTGTTATCTAGCAACTGTTTACTTTGTGATACAGCAATTAAATTACTAAGTACATCCACAACTCCTTAGAAATAAGAATGATTTATCTCTACAGGAGATGCTAGTCACTGTCAACTTTTTGCCATATAAAGTCGTAAATAAAAAAAATAAATAAACATTTGAGGATTTACCATGTTTAGTTATACAGGACCAGCACTCAAATGCTTTCTTTGACTTAGGTAGGACCTTTGGTTGTTCATGGATTGTGTAGAAATTCAGTGGCCCAAATATGGCTAGATTTCTCTACATTATCATAGCGAGATCTATTTTACTGTAGTTAGATGCACCTCTAGCGGATATATTCAGAAACTCAGATTTCAATACAAAATTAATTAATGTAAATGATAACGGATAAGTAAATTTTGTTCAGTGACATTTTAAACCCAGATTAGTGTTTCCAAATATATTATATTTTAGGTATTATATACTATATTTTGGGCCAAAATACTGTAGTTAATGTAGGTAGCTAAATCTACTACACTTTAGATGTTTGAAACGCACGTGATTCCAATAAATTTAAATACATATGGTTATTAACTGCTAAATTTCTTTAGAAGGATAGTGTTATACTGGTATAGTTTTTATAAATACTTCATCACAATTAAAAGGCGGAAATGACAAAGTCCCATGACTTTTCTAGAACTCCATTGAATGTGCTGTAATCTTACTAATATATTAAAAATGTAAATAAACAAAATCTGTACAAGGGAGATATTTAAAAACAATATATAAAGGGTCTTAGTAACAGCAACAGAAACCAAAACAATGATTTATAACAAATTTTGTCTGTCTGTCTTTAAGTTTGTTCCAGCATCACTCAAAAACTACTGTCTTTAGTTAAAATCAACTCCATACATACAGCCTATTTATTTATTATGACATACAGTCACAATATAATACTCTATCTATATCACTCATTCAATATATACACTTTAAAGATACCATATATATATATATATGAAATATAAAAATAATGTCTATTTGTTTTGTAAATGTTTTAAAAATGTATTTTTAAGTATCTCATATCAGTTATCTAGTGCCCATAATGCTAATTCCAATGGTATTTATTTCATAATTTTAATTGTGAAACATTTTATTAGTGACAATAAGGAAACTTAAAAAACGTCACAAGGACCTAATTCTTATAAGAATTAATATTAAAAAGTTCTTTTGGTTAGTATGAGAGAATAAATAATACAACAATATACCTGACCTCACACAAACGACGCACAATTTGTAACATCACTGTTTTTGTTTTAATACTTTTGATCACTGAACTCTTGACATAATTTGTTGTCCAATTTATCGCTTGTACTTGTATCTTGTATTAATAAACAAGACAATGTCGCAACCAGCGTAACTAACACAACATTCCTTCAAATTTACTTCGTTCCAATAGCTACAATTTAACTTATTTATTTTTTAACAAAATATAGTTTAGACTAAAATTTGAAGCTTGAAACTTGAAGCCAAGTTATGATTACACATTTTGAATGGCACATACAGCAATTTTAAATGTAACAATAGCCAATGAAATCTTAGTTATAACAATATAATTTAAATATTTATTTGGGGTCGGGCTTTTGTATTTTAAATGCTACGAGCCAATCCTACCAAACAACGTAGATTTGCAAGGAAAAAGTCAGTCCAAAGCCAAATTAAAGTCTTAAAAATTGGAACCTGAATCGAAATCTACACCCTGTAATTTCATTTGCATATCCCACCCTTTAAACCGAAACAAAGTCAGGCAAAGACAACTGCTTCAAGTCAGAAACACGAAGTCTCCGTTTACCTGCGAGTTTGTTTGCACGACCAGAATACATTTATTAACGATACCTGATTATATGGCACATATAAAAGATAAACTCATTTTTTAAGAATAAACTCATAAATATTCGTAAGGAGTAAAAATATATTTAAAATCGAATACCAAACACATTAATGAATTTGCTCTGATTTTATAATTCATGCAATACCGAGTAATCTATATAGAATTGGTATCAAGTTTATTGTATTAGGTTAGACACAAAAAAAAAATATAATTATAATTTAAAAAATTAATGTGACAATTACGGAAAATTATATTACTTGTAAAAGCAATCATCAAATTAATCCAGAATCGACGAAGATACTGTATACAAGTAATAACATAAAAATACAAAGTATAATTGAGAGCCTACTTCTTTTTTACTTTAGTAGTAGTAACAGAATCTTTTAAAGTCTCTTCAACTGCCACAAAGTAAATGGTTAATTTCCTGAAATGAACGAATGCAATATTTGTCAATTTAAAAAGGACATTTAAAAGCAGGTTAGTAGCTGCTATTGTCATAGATCTATACAAAGAAACAATCAAGGGAGTTTAAATTGCAGTCTATGCAAGTTTCAACGGACAACATGTAGTCAATTGTAACAAATTATATATTAAAAACAAATAATCTAAACTTTCTTCTTTACAACTTTATAACAACCAATAGACAATTATTATCCTTTCTTTTACGTTGAAGTTTGTAGCTTGATTCATATGGATGTGCCTACAGAATTTAGTTCGAGACTATGTCACCAGTTGTGCTATTAATTAATTAATGAAATTAAAGCACTCCATATGCTTAATTTTAAAATAATTATAAGAAGCTTATATTTATAAACTGTCATTTTTAATTTGCTGCAATAGTACAATAAATAACGGCAAAATCATCTATACTAATACTATAACAATGAAATATTTAATATTTTGTATGTTCATAATACATAGATAAACACAAAAACTACTTAAACAATTTTAGAAATCCTTTCACCTATAGAAAACTACATTGTCTACGAGTAACACAGCTATATATTATTTATATTAATATAAAAAAATAGAGATCACTACGAAATATGCGATTAGATAAGGAAAAGTATTAAAAATTTGTCTATTAAAGCTAATAAAAATACTAATTTATCTTCATTTCATAATTTCAGTTGATTTTTTTTGTTTTTTACCTTATAATTTCGTTAGTTCTAAACCGATTTGGAAAATCCTTTCCTTTTACCTGAAAGGAAGCTTACAGATTGGTCCCATAGAATTTTTATCAAAATTGGTTCGATAGTTTAGTTTTTAAATCGAAATAACCGGTTTTGCCACAATTGATGTTGTTTTTTTATGAACTACAATCTTTAATTATACACCTTCTACCCGTCTACAAAATCGGGACGGATTACTAGTAAAATTATAAAAGGGATAACGTTACATTCATTATAGGTAATTGGGAAGTGCTACTGTTACTGCGACTGTCATTTCCACCTTTCAGAAATGTACTGTATGTTTGATTGTAATTATAGATTCTATTAATAAGCGTAAAGGGTAAATAGTGTGAAAACAAATGTTTTGACACGAACTTGTTGTGGTTTAATCTCGCCACTCATGCCGCCCTTATTCTTGTCGAAAAGTAAGTTGGTCGGAGGAGACGCCAGAAAACTTAGGTTGATCTCTCCAATGCCTGGGACGTTGAACTGTTGCGTATGCACAGGCTGTACAGAAATACATTAACATTAACCAAAAATAGAGTATACATACGATGGAATTTTGAGACTGGGCCTGCCCTGAAGTCTGTCATACTGATGAGTGGATACCTAAACCTTTATAGTTTCAAAAACAGATACCATCTACTATTAGCTAGAAACTATTAAATTCATCTATAAATTTTGAGAAAAAATGACAGAGTAAATAACACAGAGAATGAGAATATGTCACTCTAATTCTAGTCAACCTTTTATATCAATAAACTATGTCTGTATCTTTTTAAAATATATCGAACCACTGAGATTAGTGTTAGAAATGTTAAAAACTTATTTCAAATAAGTTGCAAGCTCAAAAATTAAGGACTTTTTTATACTATTTTCCTGTTCTTAAGATACTTTCCCTTGACAGACTGGCTCAAAAATTCCACCTGTATGATATTAATAACAAATATAAATAATAACATATCATAAATAATATTTTAACAAAATGTATAAATATAAATTATAAGAAAGTGTCAAATTTAGATTACTACTAGCTTATGCTCGCAACTTCGTCCGCGTAAAATTTGATAAAAAGCAGCCTAATTACTTCTTTGTTCCTTAAACGCATTTATTTCTGCATTTTAGAATGGCAGATAAACTGACGACCTATCTGATAGATAGTGATAACCGTCGCCTTTAGACATGAACAGTATCATGGATATAACAGATTATACAGTGACGCCCATGATAGCCTTCATGCGTTGCTATTCCTGAGAACTAAAGTTTTATACCCTGTGTTTGTTTTGGTGCTGTACGATGTAATTTTATTTCTACGTCCCAGCCTTCAAACCAAAACACAGTCATAGAAACACAACTGCTTCATGGCAGAAAAACGATCGGGGCAGAGGTATCCAAGCAGACGATTTTGTACAGTCTCCCTCTGGTATATTATATTTCATTTTAATTTAAGGCCACGAGCCACGCGGCTCACCCACAGACGTTCTACTAAAGATATTCTCATCGTCGTAACTTTTAAATTATATACCCAAATAACTTACTATAAAAGACAAACGTCCTTATTAATAAAAACGTCAAACATCTTATAAACCTAATTTAGCTATTGAACCTTTTTGTTCTAAATTTCCAATTTGAGAAAAAATTACAAACATTACAGACATAATTCCACCATACATCATTTTCGTGCAACTCTAATGATGTATACAGCACACAACAAAATAATTCTTAAATGACAGGATTTACTTGACAATTATACTTATAATACGAACAATTTACACACTATATTTGTTTACTATATCTATGTGCTATTCTGATATAAGATTGCAAAATTTCATCAAAATCTGTTCAGTAGTTTTTACGTGAAACAGTAATGAACATCTATCCATTATTCTTTATAAAATTCAGCTTTAATGATAATTTCTATGTGTACACTAGCTATTCACAAATTTGAATTTTTATTTTATTAGTGGAAAGTACATATTCAAAACAATATTGTTTGAATTTCTCTAACTTTCTTACATCATCATTAGAACTTTTTGATGCAACTTAGAATGGGAAACAAACTGACGTTTTCTGGTAACAATCGCCTATTTCATCCTTTATCGTTGTTAATTAAAAAAAAAAAAACATTATATCACTTTAAAATACAGCAAAAATAAATTAAAATATAACTACGACCTATCTAATTCAGACAACATAAATTGGATGGATTTTTAACTCCTAAATCAATAATAAATTTAAAATAACAAGTAATTAGACATAATATTATACTGATTTGTAATATATATAAATTAATATCCTTATTTTTTTTATTGAAATCAATGAATGAAATATCCCTCCCACATCCAGTGAATACCTACACAAGTAATATTATTTTTACAATATTACAACAAAAAGGGAAACCTGCAAAAATTTTTGTTGTTGTAACTCTGGCTGCTGAGACACAGACTGGAGCTCAGTTTGCTGTTGTTGCTGTTGCTGTTGCTGTTGCTGCTGCTGCTGCTGCTGTTGCTGCTGTTGTTGTTGCTGTTGTTGTTGTTGTTGCTGCTGTTGGAACTGCTTCTGTAACTAAATATACAAACACATCATTTAGTAACAACTTTGAATGAGACTAAATTTAATGGGATTGATAACAATGCATATATACATATCAATCTTCCATTGGGGTAGGCAGAAACAATGGAATGCTATTTATTCTGATTCAAATAGACATCTTTCGTTTTCTTCAGATTCATTAATTTATTTATACCGCTCGCTGATCTCTTGTCTTTTCCTGACATGCTGTTAAACTTTCAATCCTCTCAATAACTATTATCTTTGTCTTCCTCGCGTTTATTTTCATACCTTTTCTTGTATGCTTTATAAGTAAAAACAATATTGCTAATCACATATAAAAAAGGTACATACAAAATCCTTTTTTTTTTTATACAACTTAGAATGGCAAACAAGCTGACGGCCCACCTGATGGAAAGTGGTAACCATCGCCTATAGACATGAGCAGTACCATGAACATAACAGAGTATACTGTTATGCTCAATTTAAATTATTTAATTCTTTTACCATTAATATATGTGTATCGGCCAACTCTTGAAGATTATATAAAACATTTTTTTTAATTTAGTTAAGTAGTTTTTAAGTTTATCCATTACATAAATATATTTTTATAATATTAGTATAAAACATTCATACTTTACATTACACCTAGTAATAAGTTGAAATAATAATATAGTAATATTTAAAAAAAATCTGTTTTGAGAATATTCAGAATAAATATATACTGATAATATGTTACATCAGATAACATCATCAACTATTCATGATCAAAAAATTATATGTTCATATAGTATTTGGTTTAATATCAAGTAGTATCTTTATAAAAAAAATATCTTACTAAATCTTGTTGATCTTGTTGGTTTTTGATGTGTTGCTGCAAAGCCTGCTGGTGTTGTTGACGCTGCAATGCTTGTTGTTGCAACTGTTGCAGCTGCTGCTGCTGCAACTGTTGTTGCTGCAACTGCTGAAACTGCTGCAGTTGCTGTTGCTGCTGCTGCTGTATTATTTGTTGTTGAATCTGAATAATAAAAAGAAAATATTTAAACTTACGTTATCAAATAGTGAAATCAAATGTTAATAACAATGAACATTACCCAAATACTGCAGTTAAAATTTTATTCCACAATAAAAAAGACTTCAATTATTACAAACTAAGTTATATTGATTTAAAATACTAAACCGATTTTGATAAAATTTATATAGGCCCAATCTGAAAATATATCCTTTCATGTAAAAAAAATTTTTATTATCAGTTTATAACTGAAAAAGTAAAGAGGTAACAAACAAAAACGAATTTGAGAACCCTGTCCTTTTTTTTCAAGTTGATAGAAAAGGATACAAAAATAATTTAAAATTACCTGTAGTTTATCATCCTCTTCTTTTTGGTTCCTGTACCTGTATTCTTCGGCTTGACTGTGATTTTCTGGCTCAGATTTAGGTTGCTTTAACTCAGGAGCCCTTCTGTAACTATTTTGTTTATCTAAAGCTATTAATGTATTTGCTGCTTCGTATTTGTCTTCAAAAGTTATTCCTGCTTTTTCTGCTAGTGTTTCCAAACACTGCAATGGCCTTTTCACAGGTTTTGAAGATACTTTACTCTTATCAGACTGACCATTCCCTGGTGATTGCTTTGGCACAGTTCTAGTTATAGTAATACTATTTTTATTGGTATCATCTTTCTTATCATTTTTAGACTCTAATGTAAAATAGTTTTTGGGGAAATTATCCTTATCCTTATCACCATTAACATTAGCGTTCTCAATTAAAGTTATTGTAGTCGAGTTAGCAACTTTTATTGTCTTGTCTTTATGATCATCCTTTGTTTGTACAGTTTGGGCTGAACCATGAGTAGGGGATAAAAGCTGTTGAGTTGGGACATGCTGAGTTACAGGTGTATTGACATTTTGATCTTGAGCATGTAGTTTATCAGCAGACTTAGTAATTTGTTGCTGGAAATTAGGGCTCTGTGGCTCTTTATCTTGTTCTTTCTTCTTCTGAATATTTTCTAAAATTTCAGACCTGAAAATTTAAGTTAAAATATTATGATTAATGAATTAAAAAAAAATTACTAACTTACTATGATATTATTGTTTATGTAAACTATGATATTATTGTTTATTCTACTTTTTGTTTCAACATTACTTTTTTATTTTATAAAGAGAATAAAATTTTAGCAATAATTAACATATATAAAACAGTTTTTACTATAATATATAATAATAACTGTTTTATATAATTTATATACTATGTACTAATTTATATATAATATATAAATGAGTAATTATAATATAAAACTATTTGAACACTGATGATCTACATTGTAATAGTCTTCTTCATATTAAAATCACCAACAGAAAAATATACCAGACTATAAAATACACTTTCTCACATTAGGATCAAAATTCCTCATTTTGGCTCTTTTTATCCTCAACAAACAGTCTGATAACCCCCATTATGACAATAAATGATTAAACAGTTCATTAAAATATATGTTAAGAGACATTGTCAATTGTTTTTATTGCTCTCAGTGTATTGCACTTATTAGTTTTTATAGATGTTCTATTTATTAGTTTAAAAAACAACAAAAAGCCTTTGGTACAGTTTGACATTTGAAGTACCCAGCTATTACTCGCTTTTCAGGTTGATAGTTATATATTAGTAACTCATGACTGAAAATTACTGAAAATGTAAAGCATTAAAATATTTAAAGCATATGAACTGCTAGTTAAGCATTGATTTTCTATTAGACTTCTATTCATATATTGGTATGACAGATGATAATAACTGTTCACTATAATTGTTTGCTAAAAATTGGAAACAAAACTGGAAGTGAGATGTTACTAAAATTATCTGCTAGAAAGAATATCTTTATTAATACTATAAATGTGAAAGTCAGTGTTCGTTTGTTGCCTCTTAGTAGTTTAATAACCTTAACCCATCATTATGTATTTGGTATACACATACTATATAAGATGGAGATGGGCATAAACTATTAGTTTTTATCACTATTAGTACATATTATACAATTTGTTTTTTACACCAATTGTGATATTGATATAATAAATAAAAAAATCATATAATTAATTACAATTAATGGAAAATATAATTTCTGACATATTTATTATATTTGTGTTTAATTAGTTTTTTTTTAATTTAACAATTTTATAGTAAAATAATCTAATTCGAATTAAATGTCACTATTTACTGATTGATGATTATCAATTGCAGTTTTTTTCATGCAATAGCAAATGATACAAAACACACAATGATACAAATCATTGGATCAGTGGATACCCTTAATTTGAATATACTTTGTAATAATCTCGGCGTTTGTTAATATTTTCTAAATGAAAATAACTGTAAGCCCTGTACCTACAATTCTCAGTAGCATATACATATAATTTTTTTGTGATTCACAGACATACCTGTAACCATGATCTGCCATAGAGAACATAATAAAAACTATATCATTTAATTAATAGTAATTAATAAACAATAATACAAAATATGGAGCAATGAAAATAAATCAATGATTTAATTAATGGTAAGAAAAAAATCAATTTTGTAAATGGATTTATCTAGTACACAATACACGAAATTAAGCATAAATTGTAAAACTAGTGAAGTAAATGTGACACAATAATATAACTTAGAATCATATTAGTTATTGTTTTATAAACAATAACAAAATTTAAAGCTATGAAATTACAACACAAAATAGTTACCAAATATAACTAAATGGGTATATTTTTGTACCTATATCTATATTGTATAAAAACGAAAATGTCAAAACGTCTAATTTGATGCCGTCACTGTCACTAGCTGTAATTGTCAATTTAAGAGTGTTCCATTACAAGCATTTTGTAATTAAATTTCAATTTATAGGATTTGTATAGATGCAGAATATGTCCATAATTCTGTAAATGTTTCATAATAAGATAACCATAGATATATATCATACATAAGGGCTAATCTTAGATACAAAAGGTAGATAATATGCGTTTTTGCTGCGACCGGATTTCGCCCTTAAATTGTTATATGACAAGAGTCAACTGGATATAAACCTGATAATAAGAAATCTTGACATAAACTTTCAATTTAGGGATTAGATAGCAATATTAATACAATACATTGGATACTCTCACCCCCGCAATTGTAATGACTACAAAACCCTTATTAATGTAATTCTTTATCACATTTCCATAATTCATATTTCTTAATCAAGATTATAAAGTATAGATAGGCTTTGAGCTAAATTCAGTAAGATTTTAATATTGAAACAACTGAAACGTAGATATTGACTCGTATATTTACGTTTAGTTAGAGCTAGTCAGAACTAAGACTTAGTTATTGGTTATTGATAATTGATTAAGCTCGGTATTAGAACAATTGGACTGAAAAAAAAATATCTAAAAGCTTAAATTTAAAAAAAAAAGTAGAACAATATTGACATTCAGGTATGAAATAATTTTAAAATTTATTTTTAAGATATTATTTAAATTAAGATTTTGAATTTATCGGTGATATCCTTGTTTCATAATTCCTAATTTCAGAAATAAGTTTAAGCACACTTCAAACTTCATATACAAACAGTTATTAGCTATATGTATATTAAATAATTTCAATTATGTAATTTAATCTATTGATAAAATATCTATATACCTACACTGAAATTTTATTGAAAAATCTGCTAAGAAACCTAGAATCTACAAATATAAATATAGACATTAGTTTGTTTGTTTGTTCTTACTTCACGCCTTGATAGTTCAACCAATTTCTATGAAATTTCATGTATGTATATGTATATATGTGTATATATATAGCAAATAGGGTGAATTACGTTACTTTTTATCCCGGCATACAGATGAAGTCGTAGGTAAAAACCAATAAGTAATAACATTGACTTTTTTTTTTTAATTATGGATCTGTCTTTCACTGACTATTACGTAACTACAAGAAAGCAAAATGGATAAAACAGATGGTAAATTACAATTCTTAGCCACAATTATATCGAATATAGAAAATATTAACTTAATAATCAATGTTCCTATGTTTTATCTTTAGAGTTTACGTAAATTAACCGAAAGATTTACGTTTCTTATATAGCTTCATATAGTATAAGGCAAGATAATATAACTCGAATTATTAATTATATAAAATTGCGTTAGTTTTTGTCAATTTTTGTTTGTAAAAAGATTCCTTATATAGTATTAGCACAAAATGGTTAACTTCGAAAACTAATGATGAAAAAATCAGAAGCATAGCAAGTAAACACTTACTAAAATCTTTTTTTTTAATATATATATGTTTCATAACTTATAATACAATTAAACAATTAAAATTGCTACAGTATTCTTATTTTTTTAATATTTGTTTTATTATAAATCATTGACTTCGATCGTCGTTTCATGTATTTTCCGAGATATTATTTCATTTTTTTTCCGAGATATTATTATTTCATTTCAGCGGTAAATTAAAAAAAATGTAATGACTTTTCAAAAGTGCTTCAATGTAAGTTTATTTGAATAAATGATTTTCTATTCTATTCTATTCTATTCTATTCATCTATTATTCATCTAAAATAAGAGATTAAAAAATTTCTAATTTTCGGTTTATAGTTACAATAAGCGTAATCACACTAATATTATAAATGAGTTAGTTTATAAAGAAATTTGTATGTTTGTTACTCAATCAAACCCAAATTAAATAATTTGGGGTTGCGGCAGTAGAGTAGAAAAGCTACTCTACTTTTATACGAGTTTTATTACTGTTTGTAGGAAGCAGAGCTATTGACATGCTTGATTCAAGTTATTTGATTATTTACTGTTCGATCCAAGAAAATTGCTATATTCATTCACACGAGTCGCTATCGATAAAAAGTCGCAGCGTGCGTGTCAGTGGTGCGGACTGAGCTTAATTTAAAATAAAAAAAAATTTAACAACTAAGTCAGAACAAAAAGATATGGCTTATACGATATATACACTGCCAATGTTCATTTCTTACATGTTTGTAAGCAATTAGCGGGTGAATGATGGTGCTGCCTCTATACAGCAATTTAGAAACTAAATTTACTATTATAATATTTTTTTTATTTTTGTCATTTGTTTGTTAATATATAAGTTAAGTTAATAAGTGCTTTTAACCAAAAATTTTGTGATTAATTGTAAACGTGATTTAACCCATATAACAAATAGAAGCAATAGTGCCAGTTCTTTACCATCAGCAATTGTTCGTGAAATACCGATAACGCAGGCGAGACTACCATTCTATTATTACCTATTAAAAAATCGTTTGCGAAGCATTTGCTGTTATAGCGAATCGCTCCCGGGCCGCAGTCACCTAGCGACACCTAGCAACCTAGCGTCTTTTATGACGTATCTATCTATCTCGCTCTACATTATATCGAACTGTTTTAGCGCGGTACTTGTAAGAAGCGCTCCGTACACTGTGATTTTAGGATAGCACAAAAGTGCCGTAACTAAAAGTGTTTTTTTTTTCAGAATCAACAAAAAAAACTCATGTTTTCAAATGTAATTTATCAAAATTAACTATTGTGTAATATTAATTACCAAAAGCAAATTATTGTTTATTTATAAAATATTTTTAAAATGTATTGGGATAAAAATATTCAATATTTTTAGTTAAAGTTATTTTTGGAGAGGAATTATTTCAGAATATTAAATTATTTCTAGTTGTAATATTATATATAATGTATATATATATATATATATATATATATATATATATATATATATATATATATATATATATATATATATATATATATATATATATATATATATATATATATATATATAATATAAAAGAATTTTAAACGAAACCAGTACGGTGAGGGAATAGATAGTTGGAGAGTACTACTAGAGCGTAGGTTACGATCATGAGTTTCTAAATGGTATTGTAATTTGCTGCTTAAAAGCGTATAGCTTGGTTGAGGAGACACTCTAATTTATTGAGAAAATCTTCGTTGAGATCACATCAGCATAATCGGTAATAGGAAAATTAAAGCATGAATGAGACTAATGTTTGTAACGGTAGACAAAAAGTTCTTAAAGCGGTATAAGGAGTGTAGACTAGCGATAACTAAGCGACTCACTTCCGCAACTGATGTGACCAGCTGAGTACTGAGTCTATGAAAAGACCAAAATCTTTAACGTAAACTTTCAAATAATTATGTAAATTATTAAATATAATTGGCACCACAGTGTTAACATTAAGTTTAACTAATTGTCTAGAACTACCAACTAAAATAGCCTGACAATTAGAAGGGCTAACAGATAATCCATAGTAAAACAACCATTTACAAAATCATATATATATATATATATATATATATATATATATATATATATATATATATATATATATATATATTATATTATTATATACTTATTTATTATATACTATATTAATATATTACGGTAAAAAAGAAATTGACTCTTACTAGAAATACTAAATTTAGAGAGTAGATTTCTTTTATATACACCTATAGAAGCAGGGCCGTGCCTGGGTATATGGCCGCCTGCGTGCCAGTCTGTATGGCCGCCCCCAGGATAACATTAAAAAAAACTACTTTAATTTTTAATGTTTATTATTATACACAGGGCATCAAACTTCGTATCTTAATGAAAACAAACCGATTGTATTTTTGCCCAGTAAACAACTTGTAACGATTTGGCCGCCTCTTAATTTCGGCCGCCTGCGTGCGGTGCACGCAATGAACGCCCGTCAGGCACGGCCCTGTATAGAAGTAATAAAGGATTTCTTTTATACAACTTAGAATGGCAAACAAGCTGACGGCCCACCTGATGGAAAGTGGTAACCGTCGCCTATAGACATGAGCAGTACCATGGACATAACATAAGGATGTTTTAAATTCGGACCCTAAGGATGTAAACATAGTGGTGGAAATTTATATGTAAAAGTATATTTGTTTAACTAATTCACTTGAAATTAATCATATTTCTACTTAAAACTAATGAAATTTAATTTAAGTATTTCTCAAAATAATCCCTTAAGTGTTATAAGAGGATGATATCATTTTTCGACATACGGTTATTAAGTGAAAATCTGCACTTTTTTTGATAAAATATTTCCTTGATAGGATGCTAACGATTTCTATTTCTCTCCGTATATAAAAAAATAAAAACAACACTGCAATAGCTAAAACAGGTTTATTTGAGATATTTTATGTGAAAGGGCGACAAACGAGCATGCGTTTCACCTAATAGTAGTGATCATCGCAGTCCATGGAAATCACAACACCGGGGAGTCGCTAATGCCTTGCCGGTTTTTTAAGGTTTTAGGTATAAATAAGAGGGTTAAATGGTATTCTACTTCCTACTTTATCGTACGAATCCTGTTATAAATGCGTGAGTTTGGGAGGACTTTTGATATTTGTTACTAAATCATGCAAACAGCTGAAGGGATTTAAATGAAATTTAATACTTTCGGGTAAATTATATCCTAACATTCCTAAATTAACACATAAGTTACTTTATACATTAATTTCAGTGGGTATAGTAGCGGGAATAGCGATCTTTAATATTTCAGTATTCTTATTACAGTTTTAAACACTATTATATGCATATATAATAATATATACATAACAATAAATATTATAATACTGTTTGCAACGGTAATAGTTTACTAAAACACTAAAATTATCTAGATCATCAGGAATACGTACAGGTCATAGAGGGTATCAATATGTATTTACATTTTTTTATTACACATGGGGCATACGAGCAAGCAACTCATCTGATGATAAGTGAATACTGTTACCCATAAGCAACCGCAATACCAAAGAAATTGCAGGTGTCCTGTTTACCTTTTAAAAAGTAATATGCTCTTTTCTTAAAGGTTACAATGTCATATCAGTTCATAAATACTATTGCTGAAAGTTAATTTTAAACCATGATTTTACATGGAGGAAAGTGACTTAAAAAACGCTCATTGGACCGCCACTCATCCAGATGGTTGAGATGGAACTTTAGTTGGTAACAGGTTGTATGATGATGAAATTCAGTAGCGGGTATCAATCTGAACATATTCAATATTTGCTAAATACTTATAAATTATGCTCAGTCGCAGAGAAAGGCCTATGTCCGACAGTAGACTGCAATAGGTTGATTATGATGACGAAGGTAATAAGCTGTATGTAATATTTCTTTCATTTTTCTTCCTTCTAAAAAAAATTAAATTCTCTAGTCGTCTGTATTTTTGAGGTAATATTCTATAATTACGTCGATAATTCGGAATAAATTTTTCATCTTTCTGTTTGCAATCAGCCCTTTTTGCAATTGATTTCACTGTGTAGATTCCATGCTATATATTAATTCTGTAATGACGAAAGCTCCAATTTTTCTTTACGAAGCAAAGTCTAATTCTAAATCCCAATATAAATAGATTACTATACATCTTGCCATTTATTGATTTGTGTGTATTGCTATTTTCTGCGTAGCAAAATGTATTTATCAACATTTTGTTTTCCTAAATTTGTGTTTAGTAAAGTTATTTGAATTCAAAATGTGACGTAAAGTTTTATTGTTTCCGTAAGTATCTATATATAACTTATTAACCGTAGGATAACTTACCCACAAAATTGATATAGTACCTAATGATATAGCCGTTCTAGAGACGTAAGTACCTAATGAAAATTTAAATTATTGATGGACTTACTACTTGCATATCTATACTTGTTGCATTTTTTAATTATCTACTAACATGTTAGTAATACGATTTAATACTAACGGGATTATGAGATAAGGAGGTAACATCCTACATATATACCACGCAAAGACCATACACAAATTTGTTTTTATTGTAGGTATTATATGACTTGAGATATCTATGTAAATTTTAATACCATGGTTAATATAACGAAACATAAAAAAAAACCTAAGTAATCAAGTGAATAAAGTAGATGAATATTACTAATTAATAATAGTTTCTTGAGGTCTTGCATCCTTTGTTTTATTTTATATTTCTCATAAAAATGAGCGAAGTACCTATTATAGATAAAGATTGTTTTTTATTATAATAAAAGTCGATATGAAAATTTATGGCTAACTCCGACTTTCGCTTGATATTTTCGTATTATACCTACTTATAACGTTTAATTTTGATAAATTGCGGTTATACTTGCACTTGAATTTACTTACGGAACTATATTCGCAGCAAAGTATATATATTTAATATCTCTCTTTCTTAAGATAAATTATAGGACTTGCACATGCGTGCCAACTTAGCTGACCGACGCAAAGCCGTCGAATTCGCTAAATCCCGCGTATTACTTGAAGGGACCAATTAATCGAGGTCTCTGCATTATACGCGACTTAATACTATGGCAGGAGAGCAAGCTGTATCTCAGTATTAGATGACCCAATTCGAATAAAACTAATTTCAGGTCTCAGCTTTAAGTCGAACTTATATCTATTAAAATTATAAAAAATATTTCAATTTCAACTAGTTCCAAGTGATGTCGTAGCAAACAAACCGATAGACATTATCAAAAATAATTTGCGCCTTTTGCTTGAAATTGGCCCTACTGATTATCATTTAAGCTGTAATACAAACGAAGGTGATTTGAAAACTCTTGACACAAGACAAAGATATGGTATAATTGTTTCGCTACAATAGCGTTATGATTTTCGTTATAAAAATGGAATAGAAGATTGAAATTCCAGACATAGCCTAACTACAATCTCTCCGATCTATGAAATAAGTCCGAATGGTGGTATAATAACCCTATTTATAAACCTATTGCTCTATAAGCACTTTTAGTAACTGGGTGTACGATTAATGTATTATGCAAACGAAATTAAAATTATGCAGGTATTACCTATATATTTTATATCTACTTATTTATTAAAAAATATAAATATATCCTTAAAGATAAACTCATAAACAATCTTGTGTAATATTATGTATATTTTTTAAACAAAATCAGTTACATATTTTCAAAAAATCTACATACTACCTATTTCTCAATATGATTGATATCACATTGATATTATCGCTGATAATATCATTGTGGCAAAATTCCTACCAATTGTTTAAAATATTGTACATGACTACCTTAACTTAATGTTTATAGATTTAAATCAATATACTTATTAGTCGCTGTATAAAATAGTATTAGTTGTAAAAAGATTAATTTTAGTATAAAAACACTCAAGTTTTAAAAAAAGAAACAAAATTAATTTCATAGAATTGTAAAAAACCATGCTTCATTCTTCTTTGGTTATACTTACCATCTATTTAAAAATATATATGTATATTTACACAAAAGCTATACAGCTATTTTAAGGACAGATACCTAAATAAAAACAGCTCGTCTGACATTATTTCAAAAGGGGAAGCAAAAAAATAATGAAAACGTGCGATCGAGATGGCATTATACGGTCGCGTGTGGCGTATAAAAGAGACAACCGAAGCCCACTAGGGGAGTTAGAGCGCGAACCGGTTCTGCATGTGTGCAGACAGACGGCGCCCTCCCTCCCCTCGGCTGTCGACCCTCGGGTGCGAGGGCCCCACATTGTCGGCTTTTCCCCGAAGCGTTGCAATAATAATAATACTAACAAAGCCCCAATACAGTGGGCTTCACCATCAAAACTCAAATGATTAAAGAACATCAGAATCTTAAGTACTAGTCAATTTGCAGTAAGTATAGACCAGCACCACTTTTCTTAAATTGAATCCTTTCTCTTTCACTGGTAGTCATTACAATAATAATGCCACTAAAACTGTAATCCACTCAGTAGATAACACCTAATCCACCATATTTACCCACACGCGACGCGCACTTAACCACAACAGATCGCAATCGTAAAGTAAAAAATAACATAAAATACCTTTTGGTGTAAAAACCATAAGAACAACGTTCCATCGTTTCAAAATAAAGGGTTAACTGAAACGTAAGCGCCGTCCCATGCGGCAATGATTAAAAGAAAAAACAAACAAAAAGGTAAGGATCGAGACATTCGCACGGGAGAAAGTAAACACAACACTTATTATCGACGAAAACGACATACAAACACACTTTATCGACAGTCCGATGCCCGTCTCATTGTAACAATAACCTTCTTTGCGAGTGGCGAAACACGACTGTGGAGTACGCGCGCTACCAGTGCGCCGCACCCATACCCCGCATCGCAAACGCTCTCCATCGCCTGTCGCCAATGGTACGCCTGCTGTGAGCCGTGGCTTCTTATTGGTCGATTCGTTTTACGACCGTTCCACAAACAAAACCGGTTGCCAAGAACGGCACGAAAGGGCGCGAGGAACGAAATTAGCGTTTCTGCGATTATTATTATTCCTAGTATATCCTTCTCTTTTCAACTTTCAATTTTATTCGAAAAAGAAAATCTAAAATATTAGCTCTACAACACCGCACCTTTCTTTTTTGTTGATCGTTTTGGTTTTTAGTGTATATTAAAAAAATATCATTGCAGTTGTATTAGAACGACCGTTGGCTCCTGTAATTTCCTGTTTATATCATATTAATAATGTTGAAAATATAACAAGTATCTAGTACATTACTTAACAGCCTTAGTTATTTTAATTTATTTCAATTCCGACTTAATATTTAAGATTGTAATAGGGGTGTTTATTGAAACGTAAAATATTCAATGGCAACCGAGGCAAGCAATAGGTATGGCTTCCTTAACCCACCCTAATAATATAGCTTTGCTAATAATAGGGTGGTTACATTCCCCCTAATCTAAACTACAAGAGGGATGTGTAATGTAAGTACGCCTATGACAACTCCGAAGTAAATATAAAAATGAGAATTATTATTTTGTATGTCATGTACTGTCTACAAAGAGTTTCGCAGTCATATATTTTTCATTACTTATTGTATATGAGTTATGTTGCACGTAATTTTTAGCAATATATCAATAAAATGTAGATAAGTACTTATTCCCTGAAAAAATAGTATGTATGTACAAATAACTTATTATCATACATACATGGAAATAAAATAAATGCACTATTCTATGACAATAAAAGATATTATAATTTGCACGATTGCGTATTATATGGCGCCATCTGGCGCTTAGATTTAGTATTTTTTAAACTACTTATACAGCGCCATCTACAAGATAAGGTATTAAATTACAAGATTCACGAGTACATTATTATTTATCTTATATCCACTGTGTAAAGAAGTGCTAATTCTTTTTATAGGTATAGGTAGGTAAGTCGAAAAGGAATACTATTCGTAGATATGAATGTTGAGTTTCTTGCGGGTTCGTCTCAGCAAATGACAGCATTCCGAACCCAGTAGCAGAATAAAAAAAAATTTACAATTTAAAAGAATCTATTGTATTCTAGATGTTGATACCAATTTCAGATCAGCTACTTTACTATGTAGTTTATATATTATATAATATAATATCATTAAAACCTCGGTAAAAAAGATGAATTAAGTACAGCACCAGTTATTATTTAATAGAAAATAATATACGAGGAAATCATACACAATATTATAATACCAGAGGGAGACTGTACAAAAGTCGATTGCTTGGGTACCTCTGTCCCATTCGTGTTTCAACCGTGAAGCAGCTGTGTTTCCATGGCTGTGTTTCGGTTTGAAGGGTGGGATATGGCGTGAATTTACTGGGTACAGAGGAATAACACCTGAGTCCTCAGGAATGGCAACGCATGGGGGGTATCATGGGTGAAACAGTATACTCTGTTATGTCCATGGTACTGCTCATGTCTATTGGCGACGGTTACCACTTTCCATCAGGTGGGCCATCAGCTTGTTTGCTATTCAAATTCAAATATATTTACAATGCCCGCTTTTAAAATTTTTATTATAAATTTATTATAACCAGGGCATCAAGTCCAAAGTAACTTACTATTTGGATAGTTTTCGATTCACACGCCTTTTTTATATTACTTTCTATAGCAGTTTAAGTTAAAATAAAATTAGATTGTAATAAGAAAAGGGTACCTTATGTAGATACTTAGAGAAAAAATATATAAACGTAAGCAATGTCTAAATAAATAAAAAATAACTATATATTTATATTTTATTACAAAAACAGGGTTGAGTTATTATTATTTCCATAAAAATAAATGATAATATAAGAACAATATTTAAGTAACTGTTTTCATCTAAACGCTAACCCTTATTCACAAAAACGCCACACCTCATATAAACCTATTTTAGCTATTGTACTCGTACTGTTTTGTCTCTTATTTTATACTATATTCCCTATTTAAAAGAAAGTGAGAAAGCACTGTAATTGTTAAAAATAGATTTGTAGGTTAGTTTTTATGTATAAGAGTTAACCCTCTTATACAGAGAGGAAAGGGATTGTTAGTAATGGAGACTGAAAATACTATTGCTAGCATTATACCCAACCAGGTCGACCTCCTCGCGGTTCCCCTGGAAACTATCATGATTGATTAATTCCAGGGGGAACCGCGAGGAGGTCGACCTGGTTGGGTATATTGCTAGCAATGGGATTCTCAGTCGCCATTACTAACAATCCCTTTCCCCCCAACCTCTTACATTACATACTTACTCTTACATAAAAACTATAAACTTCTTGTTTATTTGGTTTATCAAAACCATATATATATACTGGTGGGAGGGGATTGTTAATAATGCGGACTATCAGTTCCATTGCTAGCAATATACATGCCATATCGACCTCCACGTGGTCCCCCCCCCCGCCCCCCTGGAAACCATTGTGATGAATCCCAGACGTATTCATCACGATGGGCTAACTGACTTGCTTTTTCATTCTCACCTGTCATTTCTCACTGGTGCCTCCCAGTATACCGTTAGCGCGGACGGGGTTACTATTTCATTAACATCCATTAAAAAAACCGTATATAGTGAAGATAAAGGGATCGTCAGTAATGAGTTCTAACAGGCCCATTCCTAGAAATGTCCTGCTCCATCTTCACCTACCAACTCGAACTAGTGCCCTACCAGCGTATATCGAGAGCGTAGGCGGAGATACCATTCTATTATAAATAAGTGTACGCATTAAAAAGATGCAGAATTTATAAGACAAAATAAATATAGAAGTAATAAAGGAATCACTCAGAACTATTTATCATTCAAAATTTTATGAAAAAGTTGACCTGTTTTTCTCGAAGCATTTCTATAGAGGCACTCTATCTATATAATAAATAAATATTAATTATTTATTTATTTAAAAATGTCTGACATTACTGTGAAAATGTGCATAAACTTGTTTTTATAAAAATTTCACACCACTGAAAAATTCAAAATGTTAAAATGTTTAAAAGTATTTTATATTTAAATGCCAAAAATTGTTATAGTACAGAATTTAGTATTTGACCTAATAGTGTTCTTTTCATTTATCAATATTTAACTCTGAATGTTTTGAGTTTTAACAGATTTTATAAAAATCTGTTAAAACTTCAAGTCTACTTAAACTTTATAATATTATTAAAAAAGTATAAATTTTGCAAATGTAATGAAGAATCCTATTAATCAGCATTTTGTAGACATTATGCGCGGGAGATATCGATATCTAGTTGTATATTAATATCTATCCATCCCTAGATTGAAGAATTGTGTCAAGTTGATATTGACATCTGTCATATAACAGATGAATGCTGACAGCCGGTCTCTATATAAATCATTATCATAATCTATTTAGATATCTATGGAAACGCACATAACAGGATAAGGTGAATCCTCATAATAGATAACAAAGGCTACAGAGCAAACTTTGGGGGGGGGGGGAGATTATTAGTAATGGAGTCTAAGGACCCCATTACTAGCAATATATCCAACCAGATTGACCTTCACGTGGTCTCCCTGGGATTGTATCGACGAATTGGCTTGCCACTTGTCTAGACGGCCAGGTGAATTTTCGTCATGATGGGTTAGCTGACCTATCTTTTTATCCTCATCTATCATCACTCACTGGTACCCTGCTAGTGTATACTGATAGCGCAGGTAGGGTTACCATTCCATCATCACCCATTAAAAAAATCATTGCTCGAATAGATTGCTAATTACAAACATACATAAATTAGTAATATAAATTAAATGCGTAGAACGATCCTAAATAGATGACGTAACGACCTCAAGTGCATTGTAGAGGGTCAACGGATGCAAGTGACTCAGGATCGTTAGTTAGGGCAGTTTTTGGAAGAGGTCTATGTTTAGCACTGTTCTGCGCGGTTAAATGTACAAAAAAATGGTATCACGTAGCAAGATTGCTTTTTCATTGCTAGATGGATTAAATGCAACTTATTAATGTATCGCAGTTATTTTAGTTCCTAAATCGCTCTACAGAGGCAGCACCGACGGTCGCTTGCAATACACTTTTAATTGTTCGGAGTAACCATAAACAAATAGTATAATTAAAAATTCCTTATCACTATATCCATTTTATACTTGTTATTTCATCCTAAGTTTTCTAACTAGGAGGAAGGGATTATTGGTAATGTGGACCACCACTCCCATTGCTAGCAATATACCCTGACAAGTCGACTTCCACGTGGTCCACCCTGAAAATCATTCCAGATGTATTTATCACAATGTGCTAATTGACGAGAAAAGAATCAAGAGAGGTCACTTAACCTACTTTTATCCTTAGTTATCATTACTAGTGCTCCGCCAGCATATACCGATAGCGCAGGCGGGGTTACCATTCCATTATCGTCCATTAAAATCCTACTACTTAATGTAGAACAATATACATAAATTAATCGATGTAACTATAGGATAATAAACAGCGTTAAAAATTAAAAACTATCACATAAGTTCCTAGCACAAATCATGCAATAAAACATTTCTGATTTAAGAATTGTAGAAGGTATTGTAAAGCTAATTAGGTAAGAAAAAAAATCAGACTAAAACGAGTTTTCATAATGTGACTGGATAATTTACATTTAACAGTTTAGTAGAAGAGTGGCTTTATAACTGGGAATATGTATTGCTTTCTCCAATACTTCTCGTCTCGAAGTGCTATTCTTAAAACATAATTACTATATACTTTTTAAACAAAGACAAACCTATAAATGCTTCCTGATTAGTGTAATCTTTACATTCATTCAATCATTTGTTACAGTGGCAAGTATATATATAGTCCTCCTGGTGCTATGGGCATTACGC